GTAACATGGTCTTCCCGCGAAGGAGCACTCTTCCTCTAAAAATATCGAATATAAATAAAACAAAAAATAAACCATATAGCGTATGCAATAGCATAAACCATTGAATTTCGCGGCTGGCTATGGTTTCGGTGTGCGTGCATTAATACTTACCCCCTATGCTGTCGAAGGATTGAAACCGGTGTGGAGAGTCCTTTCCCACGACAAGTTCCGCAACAGCATGTGATGCTCATTTGCCACTCAATCGCATTCGAAAACATGCAGAAGCAGCCGGATGGCAAACGCGAATAGAACGCGAAAATGTCTCATCGCGCTTATCGTGGCACAGACGACACCATCAATCTCGCCATCCTGCCTTGCTGTGTCGCTGGGCATATACTGGTTGAGGACGCGCCGGGAACGGAAAGACACTCTCGCAAAGGGCGCTCGCTCATCGCTGCATTGCACCTTCAATTCAAACTTCAATCGCATCCAGTTTCACGCCGACCTGATGCGACCGATTTGCTGGCGTGAACTCGACAATCAGCGAACCTGGCCGACTTTTCAGTTTCGCGGGATGGTTTGGGGTTTCCGATATTCAGCCGATTCTGCTCGCGGACGAGATTAACCAACCGCGCCACTTACTCCGCGCACGCAGTCGTCCCTCCTCGAAGCCATGCAGGAACGGCAAGCTACCGTCGATGGCGAAACCAGGCCCCTCCCGGAGCCGTTCCTCGTAATGGCTACACAAATCCCATAGAGATGGAAGGGACGTTTCCGTTGCCCGAGGCGCAACTCGACAGGTTCATGCTTCGCATACGGCTCGGCTACCCTACCCCGGAGGAAGAGTCGGATATACTTCTGCGCTTCGAACGCGATTTCGAGCCGCCGGAGATTGATGCGGTCATAGACGCCGCCGAACTGTCAGAAATGCAGGCACTGGTCAATCAAGTTCTGGTGGACGATGCGGTGCGGATGTACATCGTTGACATCATCCAGTCCTCTCGCACAAATCATTCCCTCACCTTAGGCGCGAGCCCTCGCGCAGGACTCGCGCTCTATAAGACATCCCAGGCGCGCGCCGCCCTCGACGGACGCGACTTTCGTTACCCCGGACGACGTAAAGGAACTCGCCTTGCCCGTGCTCTCTCACCGACTCATTGTCGCCTCCAACGCCCGCCTGAGGGGACGCACGGCTGGACAGATCGTGCGCGAAATTCTCGCCGGCGTTTCCGTGCCTATCGAAAGGTAGCCCCATGCTGAGCCAGATGTGGCATGAGTTATGGATTCTCATCTTCGTCGTGCTGATCATCATCGGTGTCTTCGCGGGCGAGGGCTTGCTCATTGGCTTCAGCGTAATGGGCTTGCTGGTTGTGGGCACGGCGAGAATATGGAACAAGGCATCATTGGAACACCTCACTTACGAGCGCGAATTCTCCCAGCAGCGCGTATTTATCGGAGAAAAGGCGACGCTTTCCATTACCCTGACTAACCGTAAGCCGCTCCCCCTTGGACGAGTCCGCGTCGAGGACGAAGTTCCGGCATCCATGACGCTTGAAGGCGCCGACGTAGTTGGCAGCCCCAACCCGGAAGGAAAGACCCTCCGCCATTCAACTTCAATGTCCTGGTATGAGCGCGTGCGCTGGACTTATGACTTTCAATGCGACCGCCGCGCTTCTTTCGTGTCGGCCCCTCGACATGACAGCGGCGACCTCTTTGGATTCTTCAGCAGTGAAAGAACCACGCAAGACCGAGACTATGTGCTCGTTTATCCAAGAATAGTTTCCCTGCCGCAGATTGGCATACCCGCCGCGCGCCCTCTTGGCGAGACTCGAGGTGGCATACGCATCTTCGAGGACACATCTAGGCCGATGGGACTGCGTGACTACCAGATGGGAGACCCGCTCAAAACGGTTGACTGGAAAGCAACCGCCAGGATGCAGGAAATTCCAGGTACGCACCTTCGAGCCAAGCTCGTCTATGACGGTCGTGCTTGCCGTGGCTGTTGACACTATGGCGCACACATGGGAAGGCTATTCGGCAGTTCATCTTGAACGCATCATCACCGCTGCGGCATCTCTTGCAGTGTACGCCTCCGAGAAGCAGTACAGTCTTGGATTGTTCTCAAACGGCACTCCCCGTGCTTGCTGACAGGCCAATGAAGATTGCGCCAAGCCAGTCTCCCGACCAGTTGACCATGATCCTTGAAGCGCTCGCCTCGATCCGTCCACTTCCGATAGGCTCGATTGCCTCGCAGCTAGGACAACAATGGCGTCGTTTCCCGATGGGCGCTACCATCGTCGTCGTCATATCTTTAGTATCTGAAGAACTGCCGCAAATACTGGAAACGATGCGCTCTCACGGACACAAGGTCGTACTTGTCTATGTCGGCGACGAACCCTGCCCACCGATGCCGGAAGGAGTCCTGCAGCACGAGATTGGGAGTTCGTTCGAAGGTTTGGAATTCGCTGATCAGAGACAAACAAGGCGTTTCGCGGCTATGGGTGCCGAGGGAGTAGAACCGTGAGTCCTACTCGGGACAAGTTGGTCACCGGCGCCCTGCTCATATCTGAAAGCGCCTGGCTTGTCGCGCTCCTAGGCGTGTTGAGCTTTCCATTCGGCGCCACAGCAAGCCCAATCTCGTGGGTCGCTGTGCTGGCAGTAATGGCAATCTCTCTCATAACAGCGCGCACTCTGGCAATGATTGTCATGCCGTCCTTGATGGCTTATGGCTTGCAGATGATCGCCGGGGTCATCGTTGTGTATCTCATGGTCGCCTCGCAAGTCTCGCCCGACACAGACGTCCTGAATCTAGGCTGGATCGGCGCAATGACTTCCGGAGAGGTGTCTGACAGGTTCATACTGAAGGCGATTTACGGCAGCTTTGGCGGGGCGGCGCTCTGGTGGCGCGGCGGACATATCGGCGCAGCGGACATGCCTTCGGAGAGTCTCAGCACCAGCTTCAAGATTGGCATCCTCATTCTTGCCATCGCTGCGGTTATCGACATCGCCAATCCTGCCGACCTCAATGTATTCCCGATGATGTTTGTCTTCTTCGCCTCGGGTGTTTCAGGACTCATTATCGCGCATATGGCGCCCACATCCCAGCAGACTAACGGAACCCGCACTTGGACGCGCCTGATTGGCGGAATGGTAGGTGCGCTGGTTATCCTGGGCTTACTGTTCAGCCTGCTCCAGCGTAATGTTCTTGCTATAATCGCCGCTCCGTTTCTATGGGCACTGGAACTTATCGCCAAGGCAGTGTTTTACGTTTTCATATACCCTTGGCTTACGTCGTTGACTTTCCTGACGAGGGCGTTGTTCGCGTTGCTGGTTTGGCTGGGCGGCGAGCCCCAGCCGGAGAGAACATTCGCACCTCCACAGGGCGTCGGCAACTTCGAAGGTTTCACTAGGGACGGCGAGGCAGAGCCGGTAGCTCTTTTGCTCCTCCAAATCCTACAGTGGTCCGTGGTCACCGCTATCATTGTCGGCGCCCTTCTGCTGATGGCGCTGGCATATAAACGGCGCGCCAGGCGCAGAAGCGAGGAAGTTGACGGGCTGCGAGAATCCCTGATTGAAGACGCCGACCTGACTTACGACTTCGCCAGCCTCCTTCTCAACATGCTGCCTTCCAGATTCCGCAGGCGCAGCGCGCTGCCCGGTCTGCGCCTACCCTCAGATGATCCGAATATCACCGACGTCTTCCGAGTTTATTTCGGCCTCCTGACGCTGGCGGAACAGCGCGGGCATCCGCGACAATCCAGCGAAACACCGTCCGAGTTCCAGCGCACATTGGAAGAACTGTTCCCTAGGTCCCTCGTGCGCGCCGCTACCGCCGCTTTCACGAGAGCTTGCTACGGGCACCATCCCGCCACACGCGAGCAAATAGACGAGATGCGAATTGAACTGGAGGAAGTGGCTAAAATCAAAGGCAGTTAACGAAGAGATGAGGATCTTTCACAACGAAAAAGAGATAAGAAGGAAGGAGATCCACAATTTGAGTGAGATTGAATTTGCTTCAGGCATCGTTCTCTGGAAAGCTGTGTTGCTGACTGCAATTTCATTCGCCGTTGGCATATTTGGTGGATTCGTCGGCCTCGCGCTCGGCACCATTCGCCTACCCGCGATGCTCCTATTGGGAATGCCCGCCCCCATAGCCGGCGGGACAAACATCCTCGTCAGTGGGCTCGCGTGTCTGTCAGGGTCAATCCGTCACCTCCGTGAAGGCCGCGTCAACGTGAGGATAGTCCTCGTGATGGGCATACCCGCGTTTGTTGGGGCATTCATTGGCGGCTTCCTTAGCGATGTTGCGCCCGAAGGAATCCTGATACTGTTCGCCGGATTGCTGGTATTTTGGCAAGGAATCGAATTCCTGATTATGGCGCGGGAGCGCAGGAGAGAGGGCGCGTCCGACACCAATATGTTCGGCGGCGAACTGTCAGGCTCGGCAGGCCTGTTCACGCCGGGCCGCATGTCGGCAGAAGCCGGAATCGGGCTGGGAGTTGGCCTGCTCGGAGGCGCCGTAGGGTTGATACTAGGCAGCATTAGACTGCCGGCCCTGATTCGAATACTCCGCGTTGACCCACGCATTGCGGCGGGAACGAACCTCTTCATTGGGATGTTCATAGGAGCATTCGGCTGGGTGGGCCATGTGCTGCAGGGAGAGGTTGACTATGTCTTGCTCGTGCTCATGGGTGGCGCAGCGATGATCGGAAGCTACTACGGCGCAAAGCTCACCGGCAAAGTGCAACTCACCAACCTGATATTGGCTATGGGTCTGGTCTTGTTGGCGGTTGGCGCCATTCTTACAGTGCGCGGCGCAACTGACATGTTTTAAGCTGTCGCATGTGAGGGAAATTCGCCGCGCCCCTAAAGCACCGCCCTGCCCACAGCAATACCCGCGAACGCCGCGATTACACCGACCACTATACTCCCTATGACATTCACCGCGGCGCGGAACCAGTCGCCGTCGCCCGCTAACTGTACGCTGGCAACCGTGAGCGTTGAAAATGTCGTGTACGAGCCAAGAAAGCCCACCGCGGCAAACGCCCTTGCTTCGTCCGGCAGACCCATCCGTCCAGCCCCCGCAGCCACCAGCAGCCCAAGCAGAAACGACCCGCTGATGTTTACCGCGAATGTGCCGAGCACCGTCGTGCCGAAAACCCCATTCACCGCGCGGTCAACGCCGTAGCGGGACATCGCACCCAACGCGCCCCCCGCCGCAACCAGCGCCCAAAGAAGCAATCCTCTACCCTCTCGGCAGACCAAGCCCGCGGCTGGCGATAATGTTGCGCTGTATCTCCGATGTACCCGCGCGTATCGTCAGCGACACTGAATCCATCCACTGCTGCGCGACTCTTCCATTGATGTAAGCCCACTTCGAGCCCTCGTCCAGCAGCCCGTACATCCCCAGCATCTGCATACCAAGCTGGCTGATACGCTGGCTTATCTCGCTGCCGACCAGCTTGGCTGCGGACGCTTCCTTATTCGGCACAAGCCCCTCACTCTGCATCCACGCCACATTGTAGGCGACCATCCTGCCCGCCTCATTGGCTGTCCAGAGTTCCGCCAGTCTCCGCCGAAACTTCGGGTCCTTGTTCATCGTGCTTCCGTTCAGCCTTATCTGCTTCGACAGGTCTGCAAGCTCTTCTAGATCGCGGCGGTTCGAGCCGTAGCGCCCAACTCCCGACCGCTCAAAGTCCAAAGTAGTTGCGGCGACATACCAGCCACGGTTCTTTTCCCCGATCATATTCTGCTTCGGTACGCGCACATTCTCGAAAAACACCTGATTGAAGTAGTGTACGCCGAACATATTTATGATTGGCGCTACCTCGATTCCCGGCGTGTTCATATCCACGATGAGGACACTGATGCCGCGATGCTTGGGCGCATCCGGGTCAGTGCGCACCATAATATAACAGCGATTTGCGCGCTGCGCCCCACTCGTCCATATCTTGGAGCCATTAAGCACGAAGTCGTCTCCATCCTCGACGGCGCGCAGTTGAAGCGAAGCAAGATCCGAGCCGGATTCAGGCTCGCTGAACCCTTGGCAATAGATGGCCTGCCCTTCGGCAATCTCGGGCAGGTATCTCGCCTTCTGTTCATCAGTGCCGTACAACATAATGGACGGGCCGACCATGTGCGTTCCCATGCTCGTGTCCCGCGTGGGAGCGCGGAAATAAGCCGTCTCCTCGTTGTAAATCATCTGCTCGATGTGCGGCCTTCCCTGCCCGCCGTACTCCTCGGGCCATGCCAGCGTGAGCCAGCCGCGCTCAACAAGCTTACCCGTCAGACTGCGGATAGTCCGCCAGTTTTCATCTGTGAAGTAGTCATCCGGCACGATCCCGTTCCAGTCCTCGCCGAGATTCTCGGCAAGAAACTCGCGCACCTCCCGTCGGAAGTCTTCTTGTTCATTGGTGAATTGAAAGTCCATGTTGATCCTGTCATTTCCTTCTGGTTACAGAGAACGATATACATCACGGCGATGATTCAATCGAGCGATGCTAATCAATCTTGAAACATCATCGATTTCATAAATGATACGATAGTTACCGACTCGAACTCTGTAAAGTCGGTCATACCCTCGGAGGTTACGATAACCAGGTGGCCGTGGATCTGTAGAAAGGCTAGTTACGACGGAACGAATGCGTCGCTTGATCTGTCGGATAATTGTCTCAGTTCTCTTGCTGACGCTGATGAGAACTGAATGGAATATCCATCTTCAGTCATCTACCAGTGATACCTGCCATTCTTCCCCTTGTTCTAGCTCAGCGTCTAACTCTGCCTTCAAAGTTTCCCAGGGAATCATCGGTCCCTCATTCAAAGCGTTTTGGGCGAGTATGCCATCGTAGAAGTCCTCCCACAAGTCTCCCCATTCTTCAAGATCTAAAACGACAGATTTCGCATTACCTTGTTCATCGACAAGGAATTGTATGCCTTTCATCTTCTCTACTCTACTTCCCTTAGCCCAATTACATCTGCTAGCGCAAGGACAGCGCCTCAACATACCGCCGCGCCGCGATCCCAGCCGTCGCCCCATCGCCCGCTGCACTGACCAGCTGTGCAGCCGAGTTCTGCCGTATGTCCCCTGCCGCGAAAATGCCGCGCGCGGGCGTACTCATCCAGATGTCCGTTGGAATGTGCCCCGCATTGTCGAGCGGCAGAACATCTTGTAGATACTCCGTGTTCGGGTCCAGTCCTATGTAAATGAAGACGCCCGACAGGTCAACGCGCGATGTTTCCCCTGACACTTCGTCCTTTATGCCTACACCTTCAACCTGACCATCTCCTAGCACTTCACAGATTGTAGTATTCCAGCGCACTTCAATCTTCGGATTGGACATCACGCGCTCTTGCAGGACCTTCTCGCCGCTGAAGGTGTCGCTCCTATGAAACACGATGACCTTGCTTGCGTACTCCGTAAGCACAAGAGCCTCGTCCAGCGCAGAGTCGCCGCCGCCCACGACGCCGACCGTCTGATTCATGAAGAATCCGCCATCACATGTCGCGCAGTACGACACCCCTGCACCATAAAGTTCTCTCCTCACCGGGAACTCCGAGCTTCCGTAGAGTTGAACCGCCGGCGACAATGACCGCACTGCCAAAGTAGTCCTCGCCCCAGGCCGATGCCTGCCAGTAGGAGCCATTCTGCGTTAGCTCCTCGACCTCGCCCAGACGTATATCCAGCCCATACTTCATCGCTTGCTGCTGCATCAACGGCCCGATTTCAGCTCCAGATATGCCGTCAGGAAAGCCCGGGAAGTTCTCGATGTGGGCTGCGTTGATTACCTGCCCGCCCGGCATCAGCCGCTCCAGCATCAGCGTCTTGAGACCGGCGCGGCAAGTGTATATTCCAGCCGTGAGTCCGGCCGCGCCACCACCGATTATGATGACGTCATAGGTGTTATCCCGCATATCCGACCTTCTGAACGCGCTAGATCAACCCTTGTTCCCGCACTTCCGCCAGCGCATTTCCAATGCCCTCCACTGATTCGTCTATGTCCTGCTCCGTGTGCGCCGCGCTAAGTATGAATCGCGCGCCGCCGTGCGCGTTCCCCGCGTGCACTCCATGATTCAGCATCGCAAGGCCGAGTTGAGTTTGCAGTTCCGGGTCATCGGAATTACGCATATCGCGCGCCGCGTTGAGGTTCTTGTCCGGGATCGGCGGCATCGCTGATCAACATTCAAGCGCAAGAAGATCAGCGAGTTGATGCCTGTCGCGCACCCCGGAATCTCCAACTTCGTGAGAAGCTCGTTCATACCTGACTTCAAACCGCTCGCCCATTGCGGAAGCCCTTTCGTTGACATCCGTTGTTGCAACCAATTCCAGCGCCTTGATGCCAGCCACCGCGGATAGCGGGTTGGCGTTGAAAGTGCCGTTGTGCGCGATGCGTCGGTCAGGGTCGTTGCCGCCCTCTATCATGTTGATGATGTCCGCCTTCCCTGCCACAGCGCCACCCGGAAGCCCGCCACCCAGGATCTTCGCCATCGTGGTCATATCAGGAGTCACGCCATATAGCGACTGAACGCCGCCCTTCGCCACGCGGAAGCCCGTCACTACTTCGTCGAAAATAAGAACCACACCGTGTTTCTCTGTAATGTCCCGGAGCTCGTGCAGGAAGCCAGGGCGAATCGGCTCCAGGCCCATGTGCGCGCCCGTCGGCTCCAGTATGATAGCGGCAATGTCATCACTCCGCTGAAGCGTCTGCTCCACCGCGTCAATGTCATCCGGCGGCAGCACGATCATCGTGCTCAGCGTCTCCTGCGGGATGCCACCTAGTCCTGCGCCGCCCGCCGCGAGGTAGTCGCTCCAGCCGTGGAAGTGTTCCTCAAACTTGATGACTTTTGTCTTGCCCGTGTACGCTCGCGCCATGCGTATCGCCATCATCGTCGCTTCAGTGCCCGAACTGTGGAAGCGCACCTTCTCCGCACTAGGTATTAGCTGCTGCACCAACTGCCCCCAGTGCATCTCTAGGTCCGAAGACATGCTCAGATGTGTGCCTATCGCCACCTGCTCCTGCACCACCCTGACAATCTCAGGATGCGCGTGCCCCAGCATCATTGAGCCATGCCCGGTCCAGAAATCGACGATGCGATTGCCATCGACATCCCACTTCACGCCGCCCACTCCATGCGTACCGTAGAGCGGGAACGGCGACATTCGCCGCCCATCGTGCGTCACCCCGTCCGGGAAAATGTCGCGCGCGGTCGCCCAGCGCTCAGCCGATCCGGTATGCAGGTCAAGGTAGCGTTGCTCTATCGTAGATACCATAGTTTTCCTTCCATTTGCGCTTGAAGTCTCATCTGCTAGGGGCTGTCTGTATTATATCCCCAAGCGTATAATATGCAACGAAACGCCTAACGACTTCAACGAGACGGGACGGACATAACAATGAAGAGCTTTCTGACGAACCTCGAGTGCACATACTGCGGCATTGAACTCTCGGCCGATGAGCCGCACCGCACTTGCCCCGATTGCGGCAAGGTACTATACCCTCGCTACGATCTGAAGTCCGCGAGCGCCGCGCTGAAACGCGAAGACCTCAAAGAACGCCCCCCGAACATGTGGCGTTACTTCGAGGTGATGCCCGTGCTCGATGAAGCAAATGTGGTCACCCTTGGAGAAGGATTCACGCCCATCTTCAAAACAGATCGGCTCGCCACCGACACTGGCTGCAGTTCGCTGTTCATCAAGGACGAAGGCCTCAACCCGACCGCATCATTCAAGGCGCGTGGCCTTGGCGCGGCGGTCTCCAAGGCAAAGGAACTCGGCATTACACCCGCCTGACAATGCCCTCGGCAGGCAACGCGGCAGGCGCCATGACCGCTTACGCAGCCAAGGCAGGGCATGGAGGCGTATGTCTTTATGCCCAAGGACGCGCCCGAAGCCAACCGCGTCGAAGTTGAAATCAGCGGCGCGAACCTGGAACTGGTGGACGGCTTCATCACAGACGCCGGACGCATTTCCGCGCAGCGCGCAGAGGAACTCGGGCTGTTTGATGTATCCACCCTGCGCGAGCCTTACCGCGTGGAGGGCAAGAAGACGATGGGCTACGAGATTGCCGAGCAGATGGGGTGGACCCTCCCCGATGTCATACTATATCCCACTGGTGGTGGCACCGGCATCGTCGGCATGTGGAAGCGTTCAGCGAGATGGAGGCAATGGGCTGGATTGACGGCAAGCGCCCCAAGATGTTCGCCGTGCAGTCGAGGGCTGCGCCCCAATCGTCCGCGCCTTCAACGAAGGCACAGAGTTCGCCGAGCCGTGGGAGAACCCGGACACGCTCGCAGCAGGCATCCGCGTTCCCGCCGCGATATGGCGACTACCTGATACTGCAATCGCTGAGGGAAAGCGGCGGTGGCGCGATCACGGTCAGCGAGGACGAAATCCTGTCAGACTTGCGAGCCGTGGCTTCCCTTGAGGGCATGTTCATCTGCCCGGAGGGTGCGGCAATTGTCGCCGCGCTGCGCAAACTGCTCGCCGACGGAACGCTATCGCCCGACGAGTCTATCCTGCTGCTGAATACAGGCTCAGGACTGAAGTACCTCGATATGATCCGGTAACAAGGCCTAGAGAAGTTCCAGGTCTCTGACGTACGGCGCGAATGTGGACATTGAAGTGCGGAACATCTGCTCAACGAGCTCGTGGTCCGGCACGCACTCGGGGCACTCTTCATTCACGCCCTTGTGATACTTCACGGTCAGCTGCCCGCCCCTCATATCGATGTACTCAAGCGACCCGCCTTCGGATGCCACTATCACCTGTATATTGTCCAGTATCGCCTGAACGCCGGGGTCTGTATTGACTGCCACTGAGGGCCTCCTTACTTCCTGCAATCGAAACCATTCGTGAGATTATTCGTTGTGCGGGACTTGTCAACAATCCTGCTTGTCCTGAGGTCAAAGTTATATGAGAAGTCGCGCGACCGCTTTTTATATCCTGTACAGCGCTTCCGTATTCCGTGCGAACAGGTCCCTCTTCTCATCATCCGAAAAGTCCGAGACTATTTCGGTGTAGGCATCTATCAGGGTATCGTAGCTGCTGAACAAGCTGTCCACAGGCCAGTTCGTGGCAAATATACTGCGTGGGACTCCGAAAGCCTCGATGCAACTAAGGACATACGGGCGTATGCTCTCAACCGTCCAGTTGTGATCGCCCATCCCAGCCCTGAAATCTTGCAGATAATATTCTCCGCAAGTGCTGCTGTGGCCATGCCCACGCTTCCAATGCTCGAAGTACTCTTCATTGCGCTCGGCGGGATTTCCCGCATGGTCGATCACGATTATTGTGTTCGGGAACTTGTTCGCAAGCGCGACCAGCTTCTCCATATCCTGCCACTGTGCTGCGATGCTTGCATGCAGGTTGTACTTCTCGAGCAGAGCGTATCCCCTGTGAAAGTCCTCGGACACTAGGAAGTCCCCATAAGAGAAATCCCGTATCCCGCGCATTCTCGGTAACTCGCAGTGCCGCTCAAGCACAGCTTCAACATCCGGCGCGCGCAGGTCCGCATGCGCGACGATCGCGTGAGGAAAGCCTGTGCGCTCCGCCGCTTCCACCAGCCATTCCGTCTCCTTAACCGGGTCCTTTGAGCCGATAGCTGCCTGCACATGCACTGCCTTCGTGACATTGGAAGCGCGTGTTATCTCGATGAAATCCTCGGCAAGGAAGTTTCGCTCGCCCAGCTTTCGCATCTGCTTCCCAATCACCGGCGGGTCAGCATCCGGTTGCCAGTGGCCGTAAAACAGTTCCGGATGGTGCATGTCATAGAAATGTACATGCGCGTCAACAAACTCCAGCTTACCCATGAGCACAATCCTCTGCTAACTTAATCTAAACGATAAATGTCTGCGCTACCACTGGCTAATTTCGCTCTGCTCTGAGCGCGTCAATGAAAGCGCCGATCTTCGGGGTTAAGTCGGCATTCTCCAGCAGATCAGGGCGTCGTTCCCATGTACGGCGCAGCGATTCTTGCCGGCGCCAAGTCTCAATATGGCCGTGGTTCCCGGACAGAAGGACTTCTGGAACTTCGCGACCGTCATATACGGCAGGTCGCGTGTACTGGGGAAACTGAAGCAGGCCCGTGGAGAACGAATCATTCTGCGTCGATTCAATAGATCCCACCGCGCCGGAATAAGACGAGTTACAGCGTCTATGAGGATCATAGCTGCCAGCTCACCTCCACTGAGAACATAGTCCCCCACGCTGATTCACAGGTCGCAGCGCCCTCCCGCACTCGCTCATCCACACCCTCATAACGCCCGCAGATGAGAATGAGGTCGCGGTGCGTCGCCAGCCGTTCTACGACAGGCTGGGTCAACGGTGTACCCTGGGGCGTCAGCAGTATGACGGGAGCGGAGTCTTCAAGGCGGGCGCCCGCCTTTACGCTGTCAACCGCTCTGAGTATCGGCTCAGGCTTCATCACCATGCCAAACCCGCCGCCATAGGGATAGTCGTCCACGCTGTGATGCTTGTCGGTCGTGTAGTCGCGAATATCGTGCAGGTTGATTTCCACCAGCCCACGCTCAACGGCGCGCGATATGATGCTCTCCGACATGGGCCCGTCGAACATCCCGGGGAAAATCGTCAGCACATGGAAGCGCATCGCATTAGCCCATGGCATTAAGGAATAGCGTGAGTGCGCCAGCCCTTAACCATCTCCAGCCCATGGACAAGGGCGGGCATCACAACGGCCAGCGTCTCGCGCACTGCCTTCTCGCTGCCAGGCAAATTGACAATTAGGCAGCCGGACCGCACGCCCGCTGTGGCGCGACTCAGCATTGCAAAGGGCGTGAATTGCAGGGTCTGCATACGCATCGCATCGCCGATTCCCGGCGCCTCAATATCCAGGATGGCCCGCGTCGCTTCAGGCGTCACGTCGCGCGGACCCAACCCGGTGCCGCCCGTCGTCAAAACGAGGTCAACGTTGCCTCCATCGCACCACCCACGCAGCCTTTCCGCTATTTGAGACTGCTCATCGGCAACAATATCCCGTAGTACAAGCGAGTAGCCCTCCGCGGCCATGATTTCACAAATCGCATCACCACTCCCATCGACCGCGCGTTCTCCACTCGCCCCCGTATCGCTGACTGTGAGCACGCCCAGATTAAACCCATTGCCCATATTCACTGACATTGTCAATAAATCACCTAAACGTTGTTTCGGAACTGTATTAGAAATGTTGCAAACATATACACAAAAAGTCCTTGCGTAATTTGTGAAATCTTTGCGAAACTCTTTGCACGGTGATGCAAGACATAGCTACATGCAACGAATCCATTCTAACATGGACGCTTGGCTTCACACCACAGACCGCCTTAATCACAAGAGATCATGCACAGGAGACCATGGGGGAGGGACTAACTTGCAGCGGCAATCCGTGACACGAGAGCAACTCGATCAGATCGAGCGGTGAGAACTTTCCACACGCCGGTAATGGTGGAGGAAGTTCTCTCAGCGCTGCAAGTAAGAACAGGGGGACACTATATAGACGGCACTACTGGGGAGGGGGGTCATTCGCTTGCGATATTGGGCGCAGTATCGCCCCCACCGCATCTGCTCTGCCTTGATGTAGATGCGGAAGCTTTGGAAGCAGCAGGAAATCGAATGATGGAATACGGCGGGAATGCCACTATGAGGCAGGCAAGCTACAGCGATGTAGCGGAAGTGGCGGAGGAAGCGGGTTTCCTGCACCCAGACGGGATGCTACTAGATTTAGGGCTGTCATCACTGCAGTTGGATAAGGGAGAGCGCGGCTTCAGTTTCAGGCAGGAAGCGCTATTGGATATGCGCTTTGATCCATCGCAATCGCTAACCGCCGGTGACATCGTAAATGGATACAGGGAAGTGGAATTGGCGGATATTATCTACCGCTACGGGGAAGAAAGAAGGTCAAGGCGGATTGCACGGGCAATAGTTGGCAGCCGTCCGGTTGGAACAACGACACAGCTTGCGGAAATAGTAACAAACTCGGTTGGAAGGCGCAGAGGCAGGATTCACCCTGCAACAAAAACATTTCAGGCGATACGCATTGCAGTTAATGATGAGCTCAGCAACATACAGCGCGGACTTGAGGGAGCGGTTGACACACTTGGCGCCAAGGGACGCCTTGCTGTCATCGCATACCACTCCATCGAAGACCGCATCGTCAAGAACGCACTGCGTTTCATGGCTTCAAGTTGTATATGCCCGCCTTCAGTTCCGCAATGCGTATGCGGACATGTTCCGACAGTCAGAATTGTCAACCGACGAGTCATTAAGCCTTCAACCCAGGAAGTGCGCTCGAATGCGAGAAGCCGCAGCGCCCGCCTTCGAGTTGCTGAAAGATTACAAATTCAGGCCATTTAGGTCCGTCCCTGCCACAACAAATGTCAAATAGGCATAGGAAGGAATCAAAAATGCGTGGAGTAGGAATGCAGAACTCCAAGTTATTTGCAGCAATAGATATTGGCACAACCAAGGTGCTGACCGTCATTGGCAAGAAGGCCGACGACGGGCGGATAGAAGTACTTGGGCATGGAATGGCTCCCTGCTCAGGCGTCCGCAAGGGCGTGGTCGAGGACGTCGCCGCCGTACAGGCTTCCGTTCGCAGTTCCGTCGGTCAGGCGGAGCGGGCAAGCGGAGTGCAGGTGGATACGGCATACGTCGGGATCACCGGCATGGGCATTTCATACGAGAAGCGCCGCGACACCATCGACTGGGTTGGCAAGCATGGAGTCATAACCTACAACGAAGTTGAGAAGGTGCCAACGTCGGTCGTAGGAAATGGCACGAACGGCCACAACTTCGGTCGCAAGGTGATCCACGCAATTCCGCAAAGCTACTCAATCGACGGCAAGATGGGCGTCTCCGATCCCATGGGCATGCACACGAGCAAGGTCGACGTGGAGACCCACTTGGTACAAGCTTCCGAATGGGAGATTTCAAAGCTTACCAAGGCTGTCGAAGGTGCCGGCATCAAGATAGAATCGCTGGTCCTCGAGGCGCTCGCGAGCAGTGAGTCGGTCCTGATGCAAGAAGAAAAAGTCCGTGGCGCGGCGCTCATAGACATGGGCGGCGGCACCACCGACGTGATGCTCTTCAAGGATGGCGCCATGCAATATTCCTCCGTCATTCCAGTGGGAGGATACCAGTTCACCAACGATATCTGCGTTGTGTACAACACAACCTACGAAGCCGCAGAGGAGATTAAGCTCCATCAGGCGAGCGTACTGGCAAACGCTGCAAAGATTCATGAGGAAGTATCACTTCCCGTACCGGGTGGGCACACCTGCCTCAAAGTCTCGTTGCATGACGTCTGTCAGTTGACCAGGGAACGCGCTCAGGAACTGACCCGCCTGATCATCCTCAAGTTGCGAGAAGGCGGCATCGATGACCTAACCGACTATCGCATCGTGCTTTCGGGCGGCGCCTCTAGGCTCACAGGCTTCTTTGACATGTTTAAGATGGGCACTTCCGCAGATGTTCGACAAGGAGCGCCACTAGGCTACTTGGGAGTACCGCGCGAGCTTCAGACTCCGATGTGCAGCACTGCAACGGGCATCCTCTTGTGGGCGGCCCATCAAGACGATGATGAGCCAAAGCCCCACGCCATCGGCCAGCACGATAGCCGACGCCAAAAGAAGCAGAGCAGACCCAAGCCCAGCAAGCCTAGTGTGAATGGCAACGGGCACCACAACAGAAGCGGCATTCTCAGTCTATTCAAGAGATAAGACGCGCATCGCCGATCTCTATTATCGTTTGGAAACAAAAATCTTCTTATGCTAAGGATTACAGGGGAGGAAACAATGGCTACAGCGACCAAAGAACTCGAATACATCAGAGAAATGGACGGTATGGCGCGCATCAAAGTCATCGGCGTCGGCGGGGGTGGCTCGAACGCTGTATCTCGCATGTTCCGGGAACGCGTGCCATCGGTCGAGTACATGATCATCAACACGGATGCTCAAGCCCTCGTCACTTGCGACGTGCCGCTGAAGATGCGCATCGGCGACGGTCTGACTTCAGGCAAGGGCGTTGGCGGAAACGCCGAACTCGGCATGAAGTCGGCTGAAGAAAGCCGCGAAGAGCTTTACGATGTCATTCGCGACGCCGACATGGTCTTCGTAGCCGCCGGGATGGGCGGTGGTACGGGAACGGGCGCCGCGCCGGTCATCGCCGAGATTGCCAGGGAAACGGGCGCGCTAACGGTCGGCGTTGTCACAAGGCCCTTCGCCTTTGAGGGCAAGCGCCGCGCCGACTCCGCTGACGAGGGCATCATTCGCCTCAAAGCGCATGTGGACACGCTGCTGGTAATCCCGAACGAGCGCCTGCATATTATCTGCGAAGAAGAAATCACCGCGCAGAACGCCTTCCTCATGGCGGACGACGTCCTGCGAATGGGCGTGCAGTCCATCGCCGAACTGATCACGGTTCCGGGTGAAATCAACCTTGACTTCGCAGACGTACAGTCCATCATGCAGGACTCGGGCCCTGCATGGATGTCCATAGGCTGGGGTGTGGGCGAGCACCGCGCCAGAAGCGCCGCCCAGACCGCTATCACCAATCCGCTGCTTGATGTTTCCATTGAAGGCGCGCGCGGGGTCCTCTTCAACATCACCGGCGGCAGCGACCTCAAGCTCTCCGAGCTGCATGAGGCAGCAGAGGTCATCCAGAGGGTAGTGGATCCTGAGTGCAACATCATATTCGGCATGGCGACCGACCTCAAGATGGAAAACGAGATTAAGCTCACCATCATCGCCACCGGCTTTGAGCAGCCGGGAGACATAAAGGAAACCGACGATGGCTATGCCAATATGCTCCTCGACGCAATGGCAAGCGATACCGGCAAGCTCGATCTTCCTCCGTTCTTGCGGCGCTACTCCAAGCCCCAGAGGGCGCAGGCCTCCAGAAACGGCGCTCGCTAACTAGGCGCGACTACTAATCAGGCAGACAGCAGCCTCCCCAATTGAGCAGGTCGTCGGTTCCGGCGACCTGCTCATCTCGCGCTACATAGGACAGAACCAGAATCCCAGGCCGAGCCGTGCAGCGCAATCCGCCTCTCCCTCTCCACAACCTATGTCCCCTTCATGTAAGAGACAGAGCGTCGAATCAGAAGTTAGCCTCCATATCAAAGACCTTCTGCATCCGGCGCACATGGCGCTCTTCACCGGAAAACTCCGCTGACACGAACGCGTCAACAATCTCCTTCACTAGTTCTTCGCCGATTATGCGCACGCCCATGCAGAGTATGTTCATATCATCATGCTCCACGCCCTGATGCGCCGAATATGTGTCGTGGCAGACGCTGGCACGTATCCCCCTGACCTTGTTGGACGCAACTGACGCCCCTACGCCGCTGCCGCATAGCACCACGCCCCTGTCAGCGTTCTCCGCCGCTACATACTCCGCAACAACTTTGGCAAAGTCAGGATAGTCGTCCAGCGCATCGTAAGTATGCGCCCCCAAGTCAACAACTTCGTGACCTGCCGCTTCCAGCAATTCTTTCACCGGCTCTTTCGCCGGGTAACCCGCGTGATCTGCCCCGATTGCAATTCGCATTTTTCATCCTCTCGCATATCTCTGTATTGGCATTCAGAGGCTAAATTTACTCATCTATGGCGTCAATTATAACTCAGGCGCATGCTCGATACTCGCAGCCCATGCCACGCGCCTCTACCCACGCGCCACCACATTGAGATAACAGCCTCCGAATGCTACACTGCGCCCAAATCAAGCAGGGCAAGGTGACGCAATGAAAATAACCGAGGTCAAGGCATTCGCGACCAGACCGCCGGAAGCAACTCGCAACTACGTCTTCGTCAAGGTTTCCACCGACGAAGGGGATCATCGGCTGGGGCGAAGCAACCGTCGGTGCAATATCAGTCGGCGCAGTAGTCGAAGAACTCGGCGAGACGCTGGTCGGCAAAGACCCCTTCCGCATCGAAGAGCACTGGCAGAATCTCTACAACTTCGGGCACAATGTGCGCGGCGGCGTGCTCCACATGGCAGCGGTAAGTGGCATCGACATCGCCCTCTGGGACATCAAGGGCAAGGCGCTGAATGTACCCGTATACGAGCTTCTCGGCGGCGCGATGCGCGACAAGTTCTGGGCTTACGGACGCTTCGACGGACGCACTCCCGACGACGCTGTGCAAAACGCCCTCGCATGGGTCGAGCAGGGAATGACCGCGCTCAAAGGCGACCCGTTCGCCCACCAAGGCATATTCACCACCGCTGAGTCCGAACGAGACGCGCTCGCCAAGGTCCGAGCAGTGCGCGAAGCCGTCGGTGACGACGTCGAGCTTCTGATCGAAGTACACGGCAGGCTCGCACCGCACGAGGCAATCCGAATGGGCAACGCGCTCGAGGAATACCGTCCATTCTGGTTCGAGGAGCCTGTTCCGCCCGAAAACATCGACGCTATGGCGAAGGTCACGGCAGGCGTCAACATACCCATCGCCACGGGTGAGCGCATCTACACTAAGTGGGGCTTCCGCGAGCTGTTCGAAAAGCAGGTCATAGACATGGCGCAGCCCGACATCTGCCACGCCGGCGGCATCCTGGAATTGAAGAAGATTGCGGCAATGGCAGAGACCTACTATGTCGGCTTTTGCCCGCATAACCCCTATGGCCCAATCAACACCATGGCTGCGTTGCATGTGGACGCCACCTGCCCCAATTTCCTCATCCAGGAAGGCGGGCACGGCGCTTGGTATCAACATGTGGTCAAGGGCGAGTTCCCCTTCCAGAAGGACGGCTACTTCAGCCTGCCGGAAGGTGTCGGACTCGGGCATCGAACTAGACGAAACCGCGATGCTTCGCCATCCGCCCGGCAACGACAGCCACCCCGAGGGCTATCTTCAAGCGGCGCACTTCCCTTCCCGTCAGCAAAATATATGGATCTGATTTGAAGAGGCAGACGCAAACAATCATAGGTGGCCTACCGCACGTAAGCAGAAACTTGGGAAAGACGACCCATCCGTATTGAGGATAGAGAGTTTTCCTGCTAACATACTCGCGCAGCCAATCCCCACAGGAACGGTGAGCGCTTACAATGAAATCTCTCATCATTAGGTTAGCTGTCCGCACGGACAGCGTTACGGACACTCGTATTGGAAAGCCTTCCTGCAAAGGCGCGGGAAGGCTTTTTGCCGTTTGAATTCACATCGTTTGTGTAAGTCATGAGTCGATCGAGCATAACAGACGTGCCCGGCATAAGCGTCGGTCACTACACCGATATTGCAGCTGCTACCGGCTGCACCGTGATCATCTGCGAAGACGGCGCGGTCGGCGGCGTTGATGTGCGCGGCGGGGCCCCCGGCACCCGCGAAACCGACCTCCTGCGTCCCACCGCCCTTGTGAACGAGGTCCATGCCGTGCTGCTCAGTGGCGGCAGCGCGTTCGGATTGGCGGCAGCGACCGGTGTGGTTCAACACCTTGAGTCAAAAGGTATCGGTGTTCAATTCGGCGGCGCAGTCATTCCAATAGTCCCCGCCGCAATCCTTTTCGACTTGGGACTTGTTCAAGGCAACGTCCGTCCCAACGCTGAAGACGGTGAAGCCGCCTGCCGGAACGCCTCCGCCGAACCGCCTGCTCAAGGAAGCGTGGGCGCAGGCACAGGCGCAACCGTAGGCAAGATGTTCGGAATGGATCGTGCAACCAAGGGCGGCATTGGTTCGTCAAGCGTATCCCTTGGTGAAGGACTCATTGTAGGAGCGATTGTCGCCGTAAACGCCATTGGCGGTGTATATGAAGCAAAAACCGGACGCATCATCGCGGGTCCCCGCACAGAGGCCGGCGACGAAATACTCGACGCAATGGATGTAGCGGTCTCACCCAACGTTGGCTCTCCCCAGACTACGACTTCTTCAAACACCACCATCGGCGTTGTCGCAACGAACGCATCGCTGAATAAGGATCAGGCGAACAAGCTGGCATCCGCAGCGCAAGACGGAGTCGCGCTCGCCGTGCGACCGGCGCATCTCATGGGAGACGGCGACACGATGTTCGCCCTAGCCACGGGCAAATGCGATTCGGCATTCAACATGAACCAACTGTTGGCAGCAGCCGTTATGTGTGTCAGCGACGCCATCGTCCGCGCCGTCACCGAAGCCGACTCACTCGGCGGCGTGCCGGCAGTCAAGGACTTACAAAATGTATAGCCTCGACAAGTCATCCAGCATTGGCTTCATCGGTGCCGGCAGAGTCGGCGGCTCGCTCGCCCTCGCAATGTCGCGGGCTGGCTATTCTGTCGTCGCCGTATCGAGCCGCACGCCTGCGTCCGCACGGCAATTCGCCGCCCGCATCGAAGGCTGCGTCGCATACACAGATTTTCAGGAAGCCGCTGACACTGCCGACATGGTGTTCATCACCACATCCGACGACGCCATTCCATTGGTCGCCGCATCGGTGCAGTGGCGCGCAGGCCAGGGCGTTGCGCACTGCTCGGGCGCGGCATCCCTCGACGTCCTGGAGACCGCAACTCAACAGGGCGCGGTACCGGGCGCGTTCCATCCCCTGCAGGCTTTCTCGTCAGTGGAGAACGGCGTCAGGAGCATACCCGGCATCACATTCGGCATTGAGGGCAACGACGACATGCGCGAATATCTCGCCAAGATGGCGCGTGACATCGGCGGCAATCCCGTCTTCCTGAAGCCGGAGGACAAGGCGCTCTACCATCTCAGTGGCGTAATGATGGGCAACCTGCTGACCTGCCTCGTCGGTTTATCCGCCGAAGTCTGGGAACACATCGGATACACCCGAGACGATGGCGTGAAAGCCCTCGTTCCGATGATGCTCGGAGTGGCCCATAACGTCGCGACATCAGGCATTCCAGCTGCCGTCGCGGGACCATATCCGCGAGGCGACATCGGCACGGCAACCAAGCACATGGAAGCTTTGGCATCGCAGCACCCCGATCTGCTACCTCTTTACCGCGAACTCGCCTTGGCGGGCCTGCATCTCGCCGTAGAACAGGGGCTAGCAGAAGACGCTGAGAATCTGTTTCGCCAGATACTGAATGACAGTCGAAATAGCGAATGAGGAAGAAACATGCGCACCACAATTCGTGACATAGGGTTGATGAAGCGCCGCGCCAAGCCAATCGCCATGATTACCGCCTATGATTACACCTCCGCCCGCATCGTTGAGAACGCAGGCGTTGACATCATTCTGGTGGGCGACAGCCTCGGCCAGGTTGTACTCGGCTACGACTCCACCGTTCCCGTCACGATGGAAGACATGCTCCACCACATCAAGGCGGTCGTCCGCGGCACCAATAAAGTCCACATCGTCGGCGACCTACCATTCATGAGCTATCAGGCAAACAGGTCAGACGCGATACGCAACGCAGGTCGCCTGCTCAAGGAAGGCGGCGCGCAGTCCGTGAAGCTTGAAGGTGGCAGGCACGTCGCCAAAACCGTGCAGCGCATCGTGCAGGCAGGCATTCCGGTTATGGCGCACATCGGCCTTACGCCGCAGGCGGTCAACCAACTCGGCGGCTATCGCATACAGGGCAGAACCACGAAGGCAGCGGTCGAGCTTATAGAGGACGCTAAGGCGGTCGAAGAGGCGGGCGCTTACTCCATTGTGCTCGAAGGCGTCCCATCTCAGCTTGCCCAGATTGTCACCGAGCGTCTCTCGATCCCCACAATCGGCATCGGAGCGGGCGTCCACTGCGACGGGCAGGTGCAGGTCTTTCACGACATGATGGGACTGTACACCGATTTCACACCCAAGCATGCCCGGAAGTACGCCAACCTCGCCGCCGATATGAGTGGCGCGGTCGCCGACTATATCCACGATGTGCGCGCCCAGACATTCCCATCTGAGGACGAGAGCTTCACATTATCTGCCGAAGTGCTCGCGGAACTTACAGGCGAGGCGAGCATCGCAGCGAAAAGCGAACTCTAATGCAGGTCATCGAATCCGTAGCCGCATTCCGCAAGGCTCATGCTCAGGCGGAAAAACCACTTGGGCTTGTGCCCACTATGGGCTATTTGCACGAAGGCCATGTGTCCCTCGTGCGCCGTGCCCGTGCCGAAAACGCCACGGCCGCCGTCAGTATCTTCGTAAACCCCACACAGTTCGGTCCCAACGAAGATTTCACAACCTATCCCCGCGACATGGACTCCGACCTCGCCAAACTCGAAGGCGCGGGCGTTGACTTGGTTCTAGCGCCGCCGGTGGAAGAGGTCTATCCGCCAAACTTTAACACGCACGTCGATGTCGGGCGTATCGGCGAGCGTCTCGAAGGCGAGCACCGCGCAGGACACTTTCACGGCGTCGCCACCGTCGTCTGCAAGCTGCTGACTATCGTCCGCCCCGACAGAGCGTACTTCGGCCAGAAAGACGCACAGCAGTGCCTGGTCGTTAAACGCCTCAACGAAGACCTGAACCTTGGCGCGGAAATCGTTGTCTGCCCCACCATCCGCGACCCCGACGGCCTAGCCCTCAGCAGCCGCAACGTCTATCTTGACGCCGTCGAGCGCGAAGCGGCACTTTCGTTATTTCGCTCACTCCAACTTGCCAAGGAACTGCATCAGGCCGGAGAAACTGACGCCGCTGAGATTCGAAGCCGAATTCGCCGCCTCATCAACGAACAGCCTCTCGCTGCCATCGACTACATCAGCGTAGCCGACGCCGAAAACCTGAACGAACTTGAAACAATCACAGGTACAGCGCTCGTATCCCTCGCGGTCCGCATCGGCAAGACGCGCCTTATAGACAATGTGATAATATGACCGATGGTTGGAGGGAAGCAGAGATATACAGGATTGGCAAGCACAGCATAGAAGGGATGGAGCGACAGCCTTGAAAATATTGGTAACAAACGACGACGGCGTTGAAGCGCCGGGGCTTTGGAAGATGGTGGGCGGCGCTCAAAAGCCTCGGCGAAGTTGTAGTCGCAGCCCCCGACCGCGACCAAAGCGGGATAGGCAGCGCAAGAACGCTCCTCGATGTCGTTAAGGCGCGCGAAGTGAAGCGCCCGCCCGTCGAGGCATAAGACTTCGCAATCGAAGGTACTCCCGCAGACTGCGTCATCCTCGCCGTGGAAATGCTCTCGCCCGGCAAGTTCGACATCGTCCTGTCCGGAATCAACGAAGGCTCGAATCTCGGCATGGACATTCTGGTTTCCGGCACGGTCGGCGCGGCAATTCAGGGCTACTACCGCGAGATGCACTCCATTGCAATGTCAGTCGCATCCATCACAAACCTGCAATACGACGCCGCGGCCAGCGCCGCAGCCTCACTTGTGAAAACCATCGCTGCAAACAAGGACTTGCCGCCCCTTTTCCTCAATGTTAATCTGCCCAACGCAGGCGCAGACAAAATAAAGGGAGCATCGATGACCAGGCTCGGACCCCGGCTATATCTGGAAAACGTCGAGCGCGGCACCAACGGACGCAGGACGCACTACTGGATAAAGCACAACAAGCTGACGAATCGGCCCGTCGGCGAGGACACCGACATCTTTGCTGTGCGCAACAACCGCATCGCCATCACCGCCCTCAACGGCGTCTTCGAGCCTGATTTCGAGTCGCCGGACTTGCAGCCGCTCGCCGATGGCGTGATGAGCGCCCTCGGACATACCAATGGCGTAGTTCCAATCTAATATCAGAATCACAAGGAAAGACAGGACAGGAATAAAAGGAGAAAAGATATGATCTACGAATACCGAGTATATGAGACGCTCCCCGGCAGGCTGCCGAACATCAACGCCCGCTTCCGCGACCACACCATGAAGATATTTGAGAAGCACGGCATCAAGAATATCGGCTACTTCACGGCAGACATCGGCGACTACAGCGACCGCTTGATTTACATCATCGGCTTCGAGGACGCCGGCCACCGCGAGCGCGCATGGGAAGCATTCCGCAACGACCCTGAGTGGGCAAAGGTGCGCGCCGAGTCCGAAGCCGACGGTCTGATCGTCCGCCGCGTCTTCAACACAACGCTCACTCCCACCGACTACTCCCCGCTGCAATAGACTGGCTTAACATTCTAGAACGGTCGGGGGATAAGCGAATCCTGCGCGGATGCCAACCATGAGACTCGCCCTAAAATCCCCTGACCGTCTCGAAAGACTCGAACGCATCACCGAAATGCCGCTGATGCTGCTCTCCTTCGCCCTCATGCCCGTCATAGCGGGCCTCTACCTATGGGACCTAACCCCAACTGAGGAGCGCATTTACACCGCCTTCGAAATCGCAATCTGGGCGCTCTTCGCCATCGCCTTCATCGTTAAACTCGCCCTTGCCCCAAGCAAATTGGGCTATCTGCGCCACAACTGGCACGAAGCGCTGCTGGTACTCGTTCCAGTCCTTCGCCCGCTGAGAATCCTCGCAGCCATCCTGTTCGTCGTGCGCGACGTCTCCCGATGGAGACACCTGGTAACCTTTGAAACCCTGCTTGCATACGGCATTGGAATCGTCCTGCTTGCCGCCACCATCGTAACAACCGTGGAGCAGAACGCGGACGGCGCAAACATTCGTTCCTTTCCCGACGCCCTCTACTGGTCGCTTGTTACTATCTCCACCGTGGGCTACGGCGACCATTACCCTGTAACGGTTGTCGGTAAGTTCACCGCAGTCGCCCTCATGTTCTTCGGCATCGGCATCTTCGCCGGAATAGTCGCCACGATAGTCGCCGCATTTAGCGAATCCAAGTGACCGTCCACTCCATCTGACCATGCCAATGGCGACAGATCCCTCACAGAACATAACGCTTCATAATCCGCACATTAACTTGCCTTTAATCCCGGCAAGGTATATCCTGTTTGGCGGCGTTTGGCGCATCGCGCCCGCCCAAAAATACAAACTGCAATTCCGCAGAAACCACACGGGAGGTGCCATATAAGATGGCCGATTTGAGCAAGTCGGTTGCCATTGTTGGAGTGGCAGAATCCGACGAGATAGGAAGAGTCGAAAAGTCCAACCTTCAGCTTCACGCTGAGTCCGCATACAACGCACTCGAAGACGCTGGGCTGTCCATGAAGGACGTCAACGGCCTGATGACCGCGGGCACTTCGACAATAAACCTGGGCGAATACCTGGGCATAAACCCCACATACACTGACACGACCGCAGTTGGCGGCTCGTCGTTCATCATCCACATCGCGCACGCGGTCGCCGCCATCAACGCCGGCTACTGCGACACCGTGCTCGTAACGCACGGCGAGGCTGGCAGAAGCGCCCGCTCCCGCGCAGGCGGCAACGCCTCCGACGCTGGTCCGCAGTACGAGTCCCCTTACGGCTTCATTGGCGCGCCCATCAACTATGCCATGGCAGCCCGCCGCTACATGCATATGTACGGCGAGCGCAGGGTGCGACAGGGCATGGCAGAAGTAGCAGTCGCCACCCGCAAGTGGGCAAATCTGAATCCCAAAGCATACTTCAAAGACACTCCGATGTCCTTTGACGACTACCACAACTCGCGCTGGATTTCATGGCCCTTCCATCTTCCCGACTGCTGTCTGGTAACGGACGCGGGCGGAGCGTATGTCGTAACTACGGCTGAGAAGGCGCGCGACCTGCCCAAGAAGCCCGTCTATGTGCTTGGCGCAGCCGAAGGCCACTCCCACGGCGTACTCAGCCAGATGAAGAACCTGACCCGCACCTGGGCGCGCTACTCCGGACCTGCCGCACTCCAGATGGCTGGCGTAACACATGACGATATTGACCTCGCCATGATTTACGACTCATTCACCTACACAGTGCTTGCCACGCTCGAAAGCCTCGGCTACTGCGAGCCCGGCGAAGGTCCCGACTTCGTAGCAAACCAGCGCACCGCTCCCGGCGGCGACTTCGCCATGAATACAAGCGGTGGCGGTCTATCCTATACCCACTCCGGAATGTACGGCATGTTCCTCGTGCTGGAGAGGCCGTCAGGACAGCTTCGCGGCGAGACCGGCGAGCGTCAGCTCGACGATCCCAGCTCTGCCTCATCAACGGCACGGGCGGCTCCCTGTCCTCCACAGGCACAGTGGTGCTCGGCATCGACTAAGAAAATTGCAAAAGTCCCTTCCCCCTTGATGGGGGAAGGCTAGGATGGGGGTGAAAAATGCCCGCCCCTGCACAAAATACTCAGGAGAATATGAATGACGCAAGCATACAACAAGCCGCTGCCGACACCGCAGGTCGAATCCGATGTGTACTGGCAGAAGGCAAAAGAACACGAACTCTGGCTCAGAAGCTGCAACAGCTGCGGCAATGCCTACTTCTACCCCAGGGACATCTCACCCTGCTGCTTCTCCCGCGACACCGAGTGGGGTGCAGGCTAGCGGCAAGGCAACGCTCTACACCTACGGCATCGTCGAGCGCGCCCCTCATCCGGGCTTCGTCGGAGACGTGCCATTCGTCACCGCGCTCGTGGAGCTTGACGAGGGCCCCATTATGCCGACCAACATCGTCATAGAAACCCACGCCCGAAAACCTTGTCATCGGCATGCCCCTCGAAGTGGTTTTCGAGGATGTGACGGACGAGATTAGCCTTCCCAAGTTCAAGCCTGCCTAACGCGGCAGCTTGCGAACCGAAAGCAAAGAGGGCTGGCAGTGATTAACTGCCAGCCCTCTTTAACTTCGTTTAGTTACCCGTCCCATCGTCATTCCTTGGGGAGCAGGAATCCACACACTTGATTCACTTCAACTAATCCAATTGACGACACAGACTGAGTCTACTCATTCCCCACACTCCCCGCACTGGCACATCTTCCGCAAAATCTGGAACGGGTATATCCCCGTATAGTGCGCATCGCTCCACAGGAATTGCAGCGCATACCTGCCGATGGGTAGATAGTCCTCCGCCCGGATGTTAGCGTCAACCATCGCCGGGTCCAGAAGCTTCCGGTTCGTCCACTCCTCTACGCACTCCGCGCACCCACAGTTAATCCGCAGGTACTTCCCTCCGTAGAAGCTGGAATGCCCGTCCGTCCACTGGATAGACACACCATCATGTTTCAGCTCCACCTTATCGACACCCAGTTCCGTCGCCATTCGTCTCGCCTCTAATCACAGGTACAGTCATCAGCAAATTCTTGATGCTGATGACTGACCACTGAAAACTGACTACTAATAACTAAAAGCTAGCTCCCCTGCTTAATCAGCTTCTGCATCGAGCGAAGCTCTTGCGGCGGATCCATCTTGCTGCCGTAGTCGGCATAAGACACCTCGGCAACATAGATGTCGCCCTTCGAGTCAACAGCGATTCCATGCGGTGAGTAGAAGCGTCCAGGCTCATCGCCGTAGGTCTGTGTACCGAGCCGCGCCAGTCGATTGCCCTGCGTGTCGTATATGCTCACGCGCGGTCCGAGCTGCGTACCCATCCTGTTCGGGTTGATGCCCGAGAAATACTCACCCACATAGATTAGTTCCTGATCGCCCTTCGTATCGAGATACAGGCAAGCCGTGCGCGACATGTTCGTCCACTGCGCCTCGAACTTCCCCTCAGGGCTAAAAACCTGAATGCGATGATTCTCACGGTCGGCGACATACACCCAGCCATCCTTGTCCACGCCCACATAGTGGACGATGTTGAACTGCCCAGGATCGTTCCCCGACTCGCCCCAAGAGAACAGGTGCTTGCCGTCCGGCGAATACTTATGAACGGCCGCATTGGTATAGCCGTCCCCCACGTAGAAATCGCCGTTGCGTGGGTCGAACGCCACATGCGAGGGTGCATTGAACGGCTTGCCGCTCATCGGCGCCGAAGGCTGCCCAGGTGTGCCGATGGTCATTAGCACCTTGCCGTCCGGCGACATCTGTCGCACCGTGTGGTCTGCATTGTCCACGCACCACAGGCTGCCGTCCGGTCCCACCGTTACGCCATGCGGGTTTTTGAATATGCCGTGCCCCCAGGTGCGCTGCACATTGCCCTCGGTGTCGAAGACTATCATGGGATGCGTCCCGCGATTGAAGACATAAACATTGTCGTTGGCGTCCACATCCACGGCGGTTGCCTCTTTGTAGGTCGCGCCCTCCGGCAGGTTGCCCCAGTCTTCGCCCGAAACCTCATAGACCCAATCACCTGAACCCAGCAGTACCATGTTGTCCTCCATTTGTTAGGCATATTAATCTCTAATCAACGCCGACCAAGTTCGGCTCACACGATGGTAACAGCCACACGCCTCATACACAAGAACGGCAGGTCACTGCAACTTGACCACGCCCGCTTTGAGCATATAATACGGGAAACCGCATCACATTATGTCGCCGTGACATGAAGTGCTGACCCGAAAGCATACACAAAGGGAGTGTAACCATGGCAACCATCGAAGAACGCTACCGTGAAATGTTCAGCAATTCGGTCGAATGGTATGAGAGAGGCCGCTCCCTGTTTGCGGGCGGCATCACCCACCAGACGCGCTTCACATCGCCCTTCCCCGCCTATATAGACCACGCCGACGGCCCCTACAAATATGACGTTGACGACAACCAGATTATCGACTACGTGATGGGCAACGGCAGTCTGCTGATGGGACACAGCAAGCCCGAGATAATCGAAGCCGTGAGGGAGCAAGCTGGCAGGGGAACTCATGTTGGCGGAGCGTCCACACACGAAGTACGTTACGCCGAAGCAGTCAAGCGTCTCGTTCCCTCGCTAGAGCGCGTTCGCTTCACCGCGTCTGGCACGGAATCCACTTACCTCGCGCTCAGGCTCGCACGCGCCTACACCGGTAAGACGAAAATCGTGAAGTTCCACGAGCACTTCCACGGCTGGCATGACTATGTTACGCCCGAATCCGGGCAGGCTCTTGGCGGAGTGCCGCAGGAAATCCTGGGCACCGTCATAGTCGCTCCGGCTGACATAGCTGCGGTTGACGCCATCCTCTCGCAGGACAATGACATCGCCGCCGTCATCGTTGAGTGCAACGGAGCGCACTACGGCACATTCCCCTTGCAGAATCCCCAGTTCCTCCAGGACTTGCAGGATCTAACCAAGCGGCATGGCGTCATCTTCATCATGGACGAAGTGATCACTGGATTCCGCTTGTCCCCCGGCGGTGCGCAAGTTCGTTGGGGACTTGAGCCTGATCTCACCACGATGGCGAAAATAATCGCAGGCGGTCAACCCGGCTCAGCCGTTGGCGGCAGGGCCGACATCATGGAACTCATGGCTTTCCGCGAAGATCCGGAGTGGGACAACATGGGCAGAGTCGCGCAGGGTGGCACTTACAACGCCCAGCCCGTAACGGCAGCGGCAGGAATCGCCGCTCTGGATGCAATCGCAAATGAAGGCATCAACGCTAGGGCAGACGCAATGTCGCAGCGCCTCAAAGAAGGTCTCAACGAAGCGTTCATTCAGAACGAGGTTACTGGCCACGCGCACGGCATCTCCTCGATAATCCATGTGAACCTCGGCGCCGACTGCAGCTGCGACCGAGATATCTGCAACATGCCCTACCAGCAGATTTACGACACCATGCCCGCAGCGAAGACCCGCGCACTCCGCCGAGCCATGCTGGTCAACGGCGTGGACATGATGGGAGGACGCGCATTCATTGTGTCATCCGCCCACGACGAAGCGGTGATTGACCGCACCACAGCAGCCTTCTCGCAATCCCTCAAAGATCTCCGCGACGAGGGCGAACTGTAAGCTTCCTCTTCCTTCCTCCTTAATGGGGGAAGGAAGGTTAGAGCCTGCCCTTGGCGAAAGCGAAGGATGAGGGCGAAAAGCGTCTGCGTCCAGTTTTCATCTACACATCCAGGAGAACCCATGACCCGCTTCGACGAACAGGTAGCAATAGTAACGGGCGCAGCCACCGGCATAGGCTATGGCATCGCTCGCCGCCTCGCGTCCGAAGGCGCGCGCCTCGTCATGGTTGACATCGACGGCAACCTCGGCGAACAATCCGCCAGCGAACTCTCCGCGCGCGGCACAGACACGCGCCTCGTAGTCGGAGACGTCTCCGAGCAGTCCACTGCCGAAGCAGCCGTCAGAAGCCGCGCAAGACACATGGGGGCGCATCGACATCCTAGTGAACAACGCCGGCATCACCGGCATAGACGGCAATATCTGGGAGACCTCGCTTGAAGAGATGGACCGCGTCTATCGCATCAACCTGCGCGGCGTATTCGCCTTCTGCCACTCCGTCATTCCCAGCATGCTCGACCGAGACTACGGCCGCATCGTCAACATCGCATCGATTGCCGGCAAGGAAGGCAACCCGCGCATGGTGCCCTACTCCGCGACCAAGGCTGCCGTCATAGGCCTCACCAAGTCCGTCGGCAAAGAACTCGCCAAGAGCGGCATCCGTGTCAACTGCGTTACCCCTGCCGTCGTACACACCCGCATCCTCGACGAGCTTACGCCCGAACAGGTGCAGTACATGGTCGATCGCATCCCCATCGGGCGCACTGGCGACATCGCCGAGATCGCCGCACTCGTCGCTTGGCTCGCCTCCGAAGAGTGTTCTTTCAGCACCGGCGGCGTCTTCGACATAAGCGGCGGCAGAGCGACTTACTGAACGCAACGGGAAATCCCTTCCCCCTTAACGGGCTGACAGGGGTATGTAAATGCCCAAAGTGTTCATAAACACAGGCCCAAAGTCCCTTCCCCCTCGATGGGGGAAGGTTAGGATGGGGGTGTCTGACTGACTGACCCACCAACGTGCCGACTCACTTACAAACCCATCGGAAAGGAACAAAAATGTCCTGGATTCGTGAAGCTGATGAGCCTCTCCACTCGGCGAATGTCATCAATGTAATGTCCATCAACCCCTCCGCATTGAAGGCGGTCAACGACCTGAACAATGCCATCACCTTCGGCTCGTCCGCCCTCACTCGCGCGCAGGAGGAGGCCATAGCCACCGCGGTCTCAGTGCAGAACCAATGCCGCTTCTGAACGATGGCACACGGGGAGTTCCTCCGTCACGCCTCCAACGACCCGGACCTCGCAAGCCACGTAATGCACGACTACCGCAACGCCGACCTCGACACGCAGACCCGCGCCATGCTCGACTACGCCACCAAGCTCACCCGCGAACCCACTTCCATGCAGCAGTCTGACGTCATTGCGCTCCGGGAGACCGGCCTCACCGACGAGCAGATTCTCTCTGTCGTCCTCATCACCTGCAACTTCAACTTCATGACCCGCCTAGCAGACGGACTTGGCGTCGAAGTGCCCAAAGAACGTCAGAAGTACGTGGAAACATGGCTCGACAGCCCCGCCAGAGACCAGCAGTGGCTCATGATGCAAGCAAAGGATTAGGCAGACAGAATCAGTCCCCCGCAGCAGCCCTGGCCGTCGGCTCTTCTACTGCCTCCCAGTCCGGAATCAGCAGTTGTCCGTCGGCTCCAGAACCAAAATGTTCAGCGCGCCCGCCAAGCTCGTCACGATCGAAATCCACAGCGCCACATTGTAGCTGCCGAACATGTCGAAGATGGGCCCACCGATCCAGCCGCCCAACGCCATGCCCAGCCCCGCGCCCAGCATCTGCACGCCGTATGGTGAGCCTGTAGGCGCGTGCCCGTAGTAACGCCTGTTCAATATGGGGAAGCCGCCTGTCTCGCCGCCATACCCGATGCCGAAAATCACCGCGAACATGTAGAACATCCACAGGTCGTGTGTCCAGAACAGCATCACCACCAGGATGCCCTGTGCCGCGAAAAAGATGAACATAACCGTCCGAGTGCCGATGTTGTCACACATTATAGGCACGAAGACGCGCGATATGACGCTAACCGCCGACAGAACGGTGAGGACGCCTGCCGCCTGCACCAGCGTCAGCCCTTCGTTCACCGCCAAAGGAACGATGTACACCAGGATGATTGCGTGTCCGGCGCAGCCTAGGAAGTGAATCGAGCTCATATTCCAGAAGGCGGCGGTCTTCCGCATGTACCCGTTGAACAGCTTCGTCCTCGCCGGGTTTGCCCCCCTCTTCTGTATCTCCGGATCGCCCGGCCTATGCCCGTAAGGAAGAATCCCCTTATCCTCGGGCTTGTCCCGGAACAGCCCTATCAGCACGAACATGATCGCTGCCGACCCTATGCCGAGCGCCATAAAGCCGTTTTGCCAGCCCATCCCTTCGAGCAGCAGGCTCACGACCACGGCGGCAAGCGCGGGCCCAAGCCCCCACGACGCCATTATCAGACCCATGCCTATGCCCAGATGCCGCCGAAACCAGTACATCGCCGAAGGTATCAGGGGAACGAGGAATATCGCCTGTGCGGTTCCGAGCAGCACTCCAAAGTACAGGTATAGCTCCCAGATGGTGCTTATCTGTCCGGTGAGCAGCATGCCCGTGAGGAACATCGCTGTGCCCACCACCATCGCCCGCCGCGCACCAAATCGGTCGCCGAACCAGCCCGCAAACGGAGAAGCCAAGGCGGTCACCACGCTCGATATGGCGTATGCCAGCGTGATGCTCCCTTGGCTCCACTGGAATTCCTGCTCCAGTGGATCGATGAAAACGCCAAACGCCATGCGGATGGACGTGCCCACCATCTGCATCACCGCAATGACACCGACAATCACCCAGACATAGTGAGGATAAATGGCCCGCCCGTAGTTCGACTGCGGGCGGCTTGTGGATGGCTCAGGCTGTCGTGCCATTGGTTGGTCTTTAAGTCCTTAATGCAGCGGGCATGCGACCAGGAAGAACCTCTCCCATCCCTGCCCTTCCGCTGCGCTTCCGTATTGCAGAGCGCCTACGTCCTGCCCTAGCCCGCCGGATTGTCCGGAGCCGAAAGACGTACCCGTAGCCGACGAAAAGTCGAACTGCTGCACATTTTGCCCCGTAGCTTGCGCCGTCCGCTCGCTCACACGCGCTTCGGCAGCCCAAGCGCCGAAGTAAATTGTCAGCGCAAGGCTAATGGTGACGACCGCGACAAATTGCACGGGCATTCCCAATATCCGCATATCGTTCAAGCGCGACTCCAACCTAACACCTTCCGTATTCGCTATTTCCGGCATGTGTTAACTCGTCCACCCAGTACGTGTTGACATCTGATACACAGAGCGTTTTAGACCTGAAGAGTAGATCCATTCTGTCATTCTGAACGCAGCGCAGCGGAGTGAAGAATCTAAAATCGTTGTACATAAACCATTCTCCGATTTCAGATTTCTCGCTTCACTCGAAATGACAGAAGTAATGAAACGCAACTTCAAAATGTCCACACGACCTAGTATCCAAACTCTTTATAAAAGAAGGTCGGAGCTTGTCCAACGCGTTCGCGCGGAATTGGCTCATGCCATGGCTCATGCCATTAATATGGCGACGCTGCACTGGTAATGCCGCAGCGTCGCCTGTCTGAAGAATTCGTTTCTAGTTAGGCACCGCCGCCTCAGCGATCGACATCAGCTCTTCATCCGACATGTCCAACTCGATCTGGTCGCCGTGCGGCTGCGGCACATCCAGCCCCGTCTTGTAATAGACCTCAAGCGTATTGCCCTCCGGGTCGTCGGCGTACATCCCGAAACGCATTCCCAGTGGCTCACGATGCGCTGGATGCTAACACCCTCGTCGCGGAAAGTGCGGTAGAAGTCCTTCAGTTCCGCAATCGTCTCAACCGTGAAGGAAATCTGCTGCACAAGCTTCGCATCCGATGGCACATCTCGTCCCTCCATCAGCACGAACTCGTGATGCTCAACATCAGGGTTCGCGCTCATGAACACCATCTGCGCTGTTCCAGGTCCTCATCCGTGATCTCCAGGCCCATCACACGCGAGTAAAAGTCTCGCTGCCCCATAAGGTCGTTCACATAGATTCCCACATGTCCCAGTCCGCTTACCTTAGGCATAGTTACCTCCTGCCAGTTCTGATTGATTCTGAATATGATGACTGGCGCAATTCAGCTAAGCCAGCCATAGCAATGGTTCTCAGAGATAATAACTCAAACTTTCGCTTTTGATAAGCCACCATTCCTGTGAGACGCCTGACTTTGCAAATTTTCAAGCAATTTCTCCAATGGCATATTCGAAAGAGAGTTCAGGCACATATCCGCCGCATCAAACCCCATACCTCTTGTCATCGGATTCGGCACGACTACACACTGAAGCCCCGCAGCCTTCGCCGCGATTAAGCCATTCACAGAATCCTCAATTGCAAATGCGTTCTGGGGCTGGACTCCCAGACGTTCCACCGCCATCGTGTACAGCTCCGGATCAGGTTTCGCCTTATCAACATCACCGGCACTCAGCACGAACTCGAAATAATGTAGCAGCCCCCTACTCTTCAGGTGCCCAACAGCCCAGCCGGGAGAAGAACTGGACGCAACCGCGAGCTTCAATCCCATCTGCTTTGCGGTAGTAAGGTACAACTCCACACCCGGCAGTATAGGATTGCGCTCAATTCGTTCGAGATAGTCGCGCCGCATTATTGGTCTGACTACTTTCCGCTCGATAGGCTGCCCTGACAATTCGGAAAGATGCTCATATATGTCGAAGTCAAGGCTGTGTCGCCCGATAGACCAGTCCCACACCCGTCGCTCCAACCTTACCCCGTACGACTCGAACACTTCCTGCCATGAATCAAACTCCGGCGTTTCCGTGTCCAAAATCAGCCCGTCGAAGTCAAATAATATCGCCTCAATCAATTCCCACAGCCTAGAAATGGAAAATCCGCACTCAGTATATCACCCCACTAACCAAGCCAACCCATCTTTCCTGATCACCTTTTAACACCTAAATATTCGGTCTGAGCCTGCCAAGCACACTGGGCGTGTGACTTTGATACCAAAGCTTTCAGACCCGAAATTTACTCTGTAATCTGACCCAGCCCTCGTCATTCTGAACGCAGCGCAGCGGAGGGAAGAATCTAAAGTCGCTGCGCACCCACCAGTCTCCGATTTCAGATTTCTCGCTTCACTTGAAATGACAGAAGTAATGAAAGACCACTTCAAAATGTCAACACAATCTAGCTAACTGACCGCTGACTGCTAATCTCCCCCTTGACAACCCAAACACCTGCCCCTATAATCAGAACATATGATTGAAACCATGCACAAGCAACGGGATGCAGATACGCAGCACATCCCCATAGATACACTTCAGCGCATCCAGCGCATCGTCCTCGAAGAGACGCAAGGCGGCAGAACCATCATCCGCAACCTCGTCTCCATCATGAACGGCGAGGACCCCGACGGGAAACCCTCTCACCGCCTCCAGTCGGCGCGCATCCTGCTCAGACTCGGCTTCGAAGAAGCCAGAGAAGCCCTCGGCAGTTCAGGACATCAGCGCAATGCTGCCTCGCAGCAAGACGAAATGGCGCAGGATGGCTCACAGCCCGCCCAGCAGCCACTCAGCCCTGAACACGAGAAGGTGAACAAGAAACTCGTCGCGCGCATCAGGGTTGACTCAGAGGGTGGAGCCAGCATGGTAAGAATCCTGCTCGAGATTCTGGAAGGCAACGACCCTGATGCAAGGACGCGCGACAGGATAGAAGCGGCTAAAGTCCTGCTTCACTGGGGATTTGGCAACCCTGCGCAGCCCGACCCTGACTTCATGATGTTCTACGCGCCCTGCCACCCCGACTGCCTCTGCGTCTGCAAGGACCTGGATGAAGACCATCCGGACGTCATCCAGAGCCACACGCCTCCCACTGAGGAGCAGCGCGAGGCGTGGGCAAGGGAGCAGGAGATACTGGAGCGAGCTGCGGAGACTGCGGAGCGCAAGGCAAGAGCAGACCGAGCGTGGAGGCTGGAGCAGAGCTATTCGCCCGTCGCGCAGGACGACAGGCGACTCGAAAGAGAAGAGCGTCGCCTCAAGCGCGAACGCAACCGCAACCGCAGCCCCTTAACCCCAAAGTCCCACCCCTTCTGGGCGTAGGTTAGGAACGAGGTTGAAAGTCCGTCCATCTTGTTAGTCCATGCCCCCGTTCCTTGAGAGTTGGTAGATGACACCTGAACTCAGTCAAACCTTGCGTACCTTACTGACTTGGCGATACAATAGCATGCACGATTTGAATAGACACAATCTGCGTCAGGGATCTTCTTATGGAAGCATATCAGCTCGTCCAATTGGAGCCTAACCCCAATATCGAAGAGTTTCAGCCCGGTGATACCGTGCGCGTCGAAATCAGGGTTACCGAAGGCGAACGAACTCGTTTGCAGGCGTTTCAGGGCGTCGTCATACGCAAGCGCGGCGGAGGTCCAGGTGCCTCATTTACCGTGCGCCGCGTTAGCTACGAAATCGGCGTCGAGCGCACTTTCCTCATGCATTCTCCCAATGTGGAATCCGTGAAGGTAACGCGCCGTGGCAAAGTGCGCCGTTCCCGCCTATACTACCTGCGCGGCCTGTCGGGACGCGCCGCACGCATAAAAGAACGCCGCTAGGATCACGATAACTCACTCACGCCAACCACAAGCGGGGCAGACTTGCGAAGGTCTGCCCCGCTTGCCATCCGCCTCAACCCCAATCTGGTAAAATTGCTCTCGATGTTGCCCACGTAGAGGGTGGTATGGTCAACCTAGGAAGCATGAGATTTGCGGAAGTGGCCGTGGATGTGCCCATGGCTTCGAGTCGCACGTTCAGCTACGAAATACCGGACGAGTTGACAGTGCGACCAGGCCAGCTTGTGCGCGTTCCATTCGGCGCTCGAACTCTGCAAGGCATTGTATTTTCACTCTCGGCTCATCCCCAGGTGCCGGAGACGAAGCCAATCGCCGATTTAGTATTTGAAGAGCCGCTGCTGGACGATGTGCACCTTAAACTCGCAGCGTGGATTAGCGAATACTACATCTGCTCCCTGTTCGAGGCATCCGCACCTATGTTGCCGCCCGGTGGCCGAGTCCGCGCACGCACGCACCTCACGCTTGCCGACCAGCACACAGACAGTGAGACACTCACACCCCTGCAGCAGCGTATCGTCGAATACATTGCCAAGCGCGGACTGACGACGCAGGACAGCCTCATAAAGGCGTTCGGGGAAAGCGCCGCATCATCGGCGGCAAGCCTCGTTCGGCGCAACATCCTGATCCGCGACTACTCCCTGCCCGACCCTACCGTCAAGCATAGGTATCGCACGCACATCAGCCTCTCACCCGACACCGCATCGGACATCAACGAATGGCTCGCCAAAACCAAAGCCCGAAAACAGGCGGCATTTGTCGAGCATCTGCGCGAAGTGGGCGAGCCGCTCGACATTACGGAAGCTCGCCGTGAGTTCGGCGGGAGCATAGTCAAGACCATCATGGACAAAGGTTGGCTTTCCACCAAAGCCGTAGCCATCGACCGGGATCCCCTCGACGGCAGGACGTTCCCGTACAGCGAGCCACTTCGCCTCACCGTCGAGCAATCTGAAGCGGCAACAGCCATACACGGCGCCTTCGAAGAGCCATCTGCGCTCGGCAATACCTTCCTCATCGAAGGCGTAACGGGCAGTGGTAAGACCGAAGTCTATCTCGACGCCGTTGATTGCTGCACCCAAATGGGTAAGCAGGCAATCGTTCTAGTCCCCGAAATTGCCCTCACTTACCAGACAATCGAGCGCTTCGCGTCCCGCTTCCCCGACAAGGTCGCCGTTCTCCACAGTGGTCTCTCGGACGGCGAGCGCTTCGACCAGTGGTGGAAGATCAAGCGTGGGCACTACAGCATCGTCATCGGTTCGCGCAGCGCCATATTTGCTCCCGTACCCGACTTAGGCCTGATTGTCGTTGACGAAGAACACGAATGGACATATAAGCAGCACGATACCTCACCACGATACCACGCGCGGCAGGTAAGCCTGCGCCTTTCCGAACTGACGCAGTCCTTAGTAGTCCTCGGCAGTGCCTCGCCTGATGTAGGCTCATTCTACGCGGCTATGCGCGGTAGCCATCGACTACATAGGCTCACGGAGCGGTTCGCCGATACCGGCGATGGGCAAGCAAACCGGCCCAGCGCACTCCCTTCGGTGAGCGTCGTTGACATGCGCGAGGAGTTGCTGCAGGGCAACACCGACATGTTCAGTCGATCACTAAGCGAATCTCTGTCCGAATGCCTCGAATTAGGTGAGCAGGCAATGCTGTTCATCAATCGCCGCGGCACATCCTCCCATCTGCGCTGCTTCAGCTGTGGATACAGCCTGCGCTGCCGTAGCTGCGATGTCAGCGTCACATATCACGCCGCCTCGCAGCGCTTCATCTGCCATTACTGCGGCGCAGCGTCGCAAACCGCCCACAATGTGCCCTCAGTGCCTCAGACATCGCCTCCGCTACTACGGCATTGGGACAGAACTGGTGGCAGACGAGGTAGCAAGGCGTTATCCCGATGCCGGCGTCCTGCGTTGGGACCGCGATATCGCCACCAGTCCAAAGGCGCACGAGGAGTTGCTAATGCGCTTCCGCTCCGGCGAAGCCCAGATACTCGTCGGCACCCAGATGATCGCCAAAGGGCTGCACTTCCCGTCAGTCTCTCTAGTAGGCGTAGTCTCAGCTGATGTTGGTCTCACCGTACCCGACTACCGGGCAGGCGAGCGCTCGTTCCAACTGCTGCATCAGGTAGCGGGTCGCGCGGGTCGGGGCAGCACCGACGGTAAGGTCATCATCCAGACGTTCCAACCCGAGAACTACGCGATACAATCGGCAGCGGAACAGGACTACCAGGCATTCTACCTGCGCGAAATGGCATATCGCAGGCAACAGGGCAACCCGCCCTACAGCAGTCTTATTCGCCTGCTTTACACACACGCTAACCAGGCAAAATGCGAGTCAGAAGCCGTAAGGCTCGCAGGGCTATTACGCGAGCAGCAAGCTGAGTGGGGCATCACCGATGTGGAAGCACTGGGGCCCGTTCCAGCGTTTCCCTCACGATTGCGCGGACGCTACAGATGGCACATCATTCTGCGAGGGCCAACTCCGCGTACCCTGTTGGACAAGGTTGATATTCCCAGGGGATGGACCGTGGACATTTGATCCCGTAGTACTGACCTGATTACCTGCCGCGCACATGAGAGAAGGGCGCATCGTTGAACAATGCGCCCCAAACCGCTACAAAGCTATGGCAAAGAACTACAGGTTGAACTGCGGGTCCATATAGTCCTTCTCTTTTGCGTAAACCTGCAAGCGACCGCGCGTGCTGTCCGTGATGATGATGCGGTCTTCCTCATCGACAGCGATGCCAACAGGGCGGTTGAACAGACCAAGCGGCCTGGTATCCTTGACCCTTCGGTAAGCCTTTACCACGTCGGGATTGGATTCGACGACCTCTTTCGCCCACTTCGAGAATTCGACTGCGTCGCCTTCAAGCTGAGTCAAAACTGATCCATCGTTCTCGTATATCTTAACGAGTTTGTTGCCCCAGTCAGACACATACACATCGCCTTCGCTATCGACCGCGACGCCAGACGGGTGGTTGAGCGTGCCGCCTGCGCCACCGGACTCCTCCCCATACGTCACGAGATATTCACCATCGGCGGAGAACTTCTGGGCACGGTTGTTGCCCCAGTCCGCGACATAAACGCTTCCATCGGCTCCAACGGTTAAACCCCACGGCCTATTGAGCTGGCCTGGCCCGCTACCCGCGCCTCCGAATGCAGCCAAGAATTTGCCGTCGCTGGTGAACTTCAGAACTTCGCTACTTGCAGCGTCCGTCACATAGACATTGTCATCAGCATCGCAGGCGACTCCGGACGGGCTGCCAAGTCTGCCTTCACCATCCCACTCACCTACGCGCTGCCCGTCAGCGTCGTAAATCTTGATCTGCTTTTCAAACTCGTCAGCGCAATAGATATTGCCATTGCTGTCAACAGAGATCCCCATGGGCCATACGAGTTCTTCGCGAGCGAAATCCCCGACGAATTCCTCGTTGATGGTTACCTTCCCAAATTCTCTTATTGGGTGCCTGTACACCACCCGCGCCCTCCTGTCCCCTGCTGAGTACATAGATTACGCCGCCAGGCGCGACCGCCACATCCATCGGCTGCGTGAAGCCGTTTCCGGCTGCCGCGTTCCGACCTATCGCGTGGCTGAAGTTCCACGTGCGGCCTGATACAGTTGTAGTTAGCATTTTTTCACCTTCCGATTTGCTCTGGTCCGCATTAACCGCCTCCCACAGTCCGAAGTTGTTACGAACTGTAGGAAAGCGAATTGTCGCGAATCAGCCTTAGAGCTACGGTTTAGTGACCGTTGCCGTTGGTGTGAATGAATGCAGGCCGCTCAAAGGTGCCATTGACAACACTGGGAGCGTCTAACTTCATCCAGTCTTCGAGGATGGTGGAATAGACCCCACGGAAGTCTTGGTTAGGAACGAGGTCGCCCTGCTGAAGCGCCTCTGCCCGCGTTTCCGGATACTCACTGTAGAATCCACCATTGACATTAGGACCAATTGCGAACGCAACCCCCGCCGCGCCATGGTCTGTACCTGAGCCGTTGTCTCGCACTCTGCGACCAAACTCAGAGAACAGGAACATGGTGACGTTGTCATCGGCATCGTGTTCACGCAAGTCATCCCAGAAGTCAGCGATTGCCTCGGACACATCTGTCCACAACTGCGCATGCATCGTTGCCTGCGCCGCGTGCGTGTCAAAGCTACCGTGGTCCGTGTAGAAGACACGAGTCCCCACATCCGCAGTATGCATCATGGCGATGTCCCGGAGCTTGTGAGCTATAGGACTTGAACCATACTCCACGCTGGATTCGTACTGCTCCGGCGCAATCTTAAGAATGTCTGCGCCTTTCAGTGCGTCTAAGCCGGTCTGCCCAAGGTATTCCATCACCTGTCCCGTTCCTACGGCAGGTCCATACATATTAGCGAAGCGCTCAAGCACCTGTAGGCGCTGTTGCTTCTGCTCAATGTTCGTTAGCAGTCCGTAGTTTGAAACATCTGCGACGGATGCGACGGATACGCCCGGCGCAACCAAGGCGCGCGGGAGTGCCTGGCCGACGTTGACGCCAGTTACAGGGTTCTCCGATCGAGGATCGATCTGCTTCATAGCGCGTCCAAGCCAACCCTCTGTGCCCACCTTATCCGGCTCACATGTATGCCAGATGTCCATAGAGCGGAAGTGTGAGCGCGGCGAGTTCGCGTAGCCTATGCCATGGATCACGGCCATGTCGCCACTGTCGAAGATATCCTTCATTGGCGCCATTGCAGGGTGCAGACCCAACTGGTCGTTAAGCTTCAGCACGCGGTTCTCGGAGATTCCAAGCGAGCGCCGGCTGTCATAGTAGTTGCCATCCGTGTACGGAATTACCGTGTTGAAGTAGTCATTGCCACCCGTGAGCTGCAACACAACCAGAACTGGCGGCTTGTTTGAATTTGCCATTATTTCCTCCCAGGAATTTTGCAATATGCCCGTTAAAATTCTTTGGCCTAGCCGAACTGATACTCTCTGGTTGCTCCAATGAGTGCCAGCATCTCGCCTGTGCGCCTCGCAGAGTCATCGTAGCCGTCTTCCCAGTTAACCGCACCTTCGCTCTCTGCCTGACTTATCAGTTCACCGCGGGTCTGGCCAGATACTGGCAACGGGCCCATTTGATCCAGGCAGCTCTCTACAAACTCCTCAGGACTCATTGTGGGGCCGTTCGAAGAGGCAATGCGCTCGACTATGCGCTTAACTCCGGGCAAATTCGTATCACTGATTCTGTCGGCGACGAAGTTAACGCGCTTAACGAGAGATCCGCTGTTTATCCACTCGTGGCCCGTATGCCAGCCTTCAACGCTAGGAGGATCGAGAATATCTTGACCCATATAGCCAGGCTCTCTAGCAACAGCTTCAAGGCGCGGGTCCGGTCCCTGCAAGTCACCTGTAAGCCTAAGAGTGCTTACAACGACTTCTGTGGGGTTCTTGACTTTCCTGTACATCGCATCTTTGAAAAAGTCGGAGTTAAACAATGCTCGCAGCACCGGCTTAACGTCGTAGTTGTTTTCTACGAGAGTTTCCGCCAGCATTCGGACGGCCTCCGGATTGCGAGGCTCCTCAATGTTCCACGCCGGAACTTGTGGCTCGTCTTCAACGAAGAAGTTGTATAGATGGCGCGCTATGAACCTTGGGCATGCGGGCTGCTTAAGAATAATGTCGATAATGTCTTTGCCATTGAAGTTTCCGGTATTGCCAAGGAATGACTTGTCGGTCTCATCGTGGTCTTCTGCGCGATATTCGAATTGCCAGGGGTGCCTGCCATACGGATAGCGCGGCATCTTTGCGGAAATAGTCCAGCCTGTGAACGCCCTTGAGCATTCGTAAACGTCCGTCTCAGTGTAATTGCCGACTCCGAGCGTGAAGAGTTCCAGAAGCTCGCGGCCCCAATTCTCATTCGGGGCTACCTTGTGATTCTCATTGTTGTCAAGCCAGTAGATCATCGCGGGGTCGCTGGCAAGGCGAAGAAGGAGGTCTCGGTAGTTGTCCATTCCGACTTCGCGGAACATCTGAATCTGATCAAGGAGATGATTGCAGTTGTCCACTTTCGAGTTGCCTGTAGCGAATACCTGATGCCAAAAGAGTGCCATCTTCTCGTTAAGGGGCCTCTGTGTGTTGACCATGAAGTAGAGCCAATTCGCCTGTCCGGGTGCGGCCGCACCACCGGGGACCTCAGTGATTGGATGATACCTGTACAAGGTATACTCATCAACCGGGGGTTGGCTCTCATAGTCAATCAGCTGCTCAACCGTAGTCTCATAACTCTGCTCCGCCAACACCTCGAGTTCGTCTCGGGTTGCGCCGAATCCGGCGCGTCTCATCAGATGAGCCAGCAGAGCGATATCTTCCCTATTAGACATTCGCTTCCTCCTTTCGATGCTGAAGCCATTTCGTCCATGTCGTTCGCGAGTGATTGTGTGACGTAAGAACTATAAGCCCCCCTTTCCCCCCGCGGTAGAAGGGGATAAATTGAGGCAGTCCGGGCACGTTCCGTAGTAATCCGTACGCAGGCGCACAATCTCGTATCCTGTCAGATCTGACACTCTATCAAGCGGATCGAGCGGCGCCGCGATCTCCACGTCTTCCACCTTCTCGCATTGCAAACATACAAGATGTGGATGTGGCGTAGTCAGTCTGCCGTCATACCTGTTTGCCGAGCCACTGAACTCAATCTCTAGTACCTGACCAGTATCTTTGAGAATTTCAATAGTATTGTAAATGGTGGCGAGGCTAGTCCCAGGATAGGCGGCCTGGACTCCCTGGTGAATTTCGCTCGCCGAGGGGTGGCGATCGCTTGCTAGCAGTACCTCAAGTAACTTGGCGCGCTTGCGAGTAATGGCAACACCCTTTTCCCGGAGTGCAATTTTCATCTCCGTAAGGCGCTTGTCAAAGTTTACTATCTGCATCATGCCTTCTGAGGACTCTCGAAAAGCCTGTTGAAGCATCAACGAACCTACGAAAACCTAATAATTAGAATGATTCTAAATGATATTTCGTGTAAGGTAAGGCAGACTGAGCAATATGTCAAGAGCAAATATGCCAATTGCTTCGCAGCACAGCCCTAAAACCAGATACGATGTCCAGGGCTTCATTGACCCGTTTAATTTTCCGCTCATATAATAGCGGGAATCATCTTCCAACTTAGCATTACTATCAGGAGGCTGGAAATGACCCTGCATCCTGTCATACTAGCCGGTGGGTCCGGCACCCGCATGTGGCCCCTATCCCGAGAAGCTCACCCTAAGCAATTCCTGCCGCTAATGGGTGAGCATTCTCTGTTTCAGGATACCGTTCTACGCTTGGACGGATTGGAGGAGGTCGCGGCTCCGCTTATTCTCTGCAACGAGGAACACCGCTTTCTGGTTGCCGAGCACATGAGGCAACTTGAAAAAAATGCTCTAGCTATTACTTTAGAGCCGGTGGGGCGCAATACGGCTCCAGCGTTGACCCTAGCCGCGATGATGCTGCTTGACAATGAGTCCACATTCTCGGACGGCGACCCGGTGATGCTCGTGCTTCCTTCAGACCATGTCGTGCGTGACATCGAAACATTCCAGAAGCTGGTGCGGCATGGCATTGAACTCGCGCAAGGCAACACCATCATTACATTTGGCATCCTTCCGGACTCGCCGAGGACCGGCTATGGATACATCAGAATGGGCAATCGCATCACGAGCGATGGAGGATCCAATTTCTTCCAGGTAGCAGAATTCGTCGAGAAACCTGATCGAGACGCGGCGAAGAAGATGATTAAATCTGAAGCATACTTGTGGAACAGCGGCATGTTCATGATGCGCGCATCAGTGTGGATGAGGGAATTGCGCCGTTTGCGGCCTGATATTGTCGACGCCTGCTCTAATGCGCATGCCGCCTTAAGTCGGGACGGCGAATTCTACAGGCCAGGCGCTACTGAATTCGCAGCCTGTCCAAGCGAATCAATCGACTATGCTGTGATGGAGCACATGAGTGAAGGTTCACCCCAGGGCAATGGCGCAAAGTGCATAGTGCTGCCAATGGAGATTGGATGGACGGACCTGGGAGCTTGGTCTTCACTCTGGGAAGAGCGTGAACAGGATGCGGGTGGCAACGTCATCCAGGGAGATGTTTATGCGCACTCTATGTCTAACTCGCTCATCATCAGTCAGCGCCGCCTCGTAGCCGCTGTCGGATTAGAGGACATAATTCTTATCGAGACGGCGGACGCTGTGCTCGCCGCGCACAGGGATCGGGTTCAGGACGTCAAGGAACTTGTAGAGCAACTCAAGAGCCAAGGACGACCGGAGCACGAGAACCATCTGAAGATCAACCGCCCCTGGGGTTCATTCGAAACCATAGATATAGGACAGCGGTTCCAGGTGAAGCGACTCACTATTGACCCCCGGAGAGGCACTCTCCTTGCAGATGCACCATCACCGGGCAGAACATTGGGTCGTGGTGAGGGGAACAGCAAAAGTTACGCGGGGAGACGAAGTGTTCTTGTTGACAGAGAACCAGTCAGCATACGTTCCCGTAGGAGTCAGCCACAGACTGGAAAATCCAGGCGCCATGCCGCTTGAGGTGGTCGAAGTTCAGACCGGGAGCTACCTCGAAGAGGACGATATCGTGCGATTTGAAGATCGCTATGACCGACACATCCACGACTGAAGAGAAGCTAGAATTGACTTGTGAGCCCCTTCCACCGCCCGTATCACTCCTAAACCACAGCCGAGTTCCAGAGCTATCAGCGATTCCTTATGGTATCCTAGCGCATAGACAACCAAGCAACGGTCAGGGCATTTCCAGATGTCAAGCGCTAGTGTCCAAGGTGAAAGAATGACGCCAACCACATTACCCGAATCCGCAATGCCCGCAGTACCTTCACGAATATTGTTGGGTCCGGGACCGAGCAACGTAAGCCCCAGTGTGTTGCAGGCAATGATGCAGCCGATGATTGGCTACATGGACCCGGACTTCATGCTGATTATGGATGAGGTCAGAGAGCTCCTGAAACGCGTATATCAGTCTGATACGGCGAACACTCTGGCTATATCGGGCACAGGTTCGGCTGGCATGGAAGCAGGCCTAAGCAGCCTACTGGAGCCGGGCGACACTGTTGTGATGTGCATATATGGCTTCTTCTGCGAACGTATGGTGGAAATGGCGAACCGCGTTGGAGCTAATGTAGTGCCGCTCCGAGCAGAGTGGGGACGTCCTTTCCCCGAAGAGATGCTTGAGGCGGAACTCACCAAGCATAGCAATGTGAAAATGGTGACCGCAATACACGCGGAGACATCCACCGGAGTGCGCCAACCGATTGGCGGGTTGGCCCGAATAGCCAAAGAGAATGACGCCTTATTCATGGTAGATACAGTAACCTCGCTTGGCGGCAACGAGGTGGCCTTTGATGAGTGGAACGCGGACTACGCCTATTCGGCAACCCAGAAGTGCCTCGGCTGTCCGCCGGGACTTTCGCCAGTTAGCAGTAAGCGACCGTGCGATTGAGGCGATGCGACAACGCAAGCAGGCGCCTATGTCGTGGTATCTTGACTTGGCCTTGCTCGGCAACTACTGGGGCTGGGAAGGCCAGCGCGTATATCACCATACCGCTCCGGTAAGCATGATTCTTGCGCTCCGACAGGGTTTACGTCAGGTGTTGACGGAAGGGCTGATTGAGCGCTTTACGCGCCATACATTCAACGCCCAAGCTTTGTGCGCCGGACTTGAAGGACTCGGCCTTGAATGCGTGGTGCCCTCTGAGTATCGCCTCGCGCAGATTACTGTCGTTAAAATACCGGATGGCATTGACGATATGCAGGTGAGGCAACGCTTGCTGCGGGGCTACGGCATCGAGATAGGCGGTGGGCTGGGCGAACTTGCAGGCAATGTGTGGCGCATAGGACTGATGGGCGAATCCAGCAAGGCCGAATATGTGCTGGCTCTTCTATCCGCATTGGAAAGCGTTTTGCCGGAAGCAGGGTTCGAAGTAGCGACAGGGGCAGGTGTCGGAGCGGCAAGTAGTGTGTTCAAGTCTCACAAGGGCCAATGAAACTGCTTGGTTTCAGGCTCAGAATCTACGACCCCACTAAACCAAGACGGGCAGAGCGTAGGCTCCGCCCGTTAGGTGAACCTGTCTAGCGAGATTACGCTACTTCGCCTTTCCCCACAAACACTGACATCATCTCTCTCTGGTTTGAGAACTCGATATCTGCCATATAGCCGCACTGCAGACAATGGATGTACCTGCCATAATGATCGCTGCCGGTGCTGAGATCGCCGGCGCACCGAGGGCACTGCTTAAGGTATATGTTTCTGCCATGCTTCGATTGATGAGATTTCACTAAGTCCTCCTAGCTACCAAGATGTTCTATGAGAGGATGCTAGAACACTCGTGCTTTTCACGTCAAGCGCAATTAGGTCATATTTCGATAATATATTCCAAACTGGTGTTCGTCGTATAGGAAAGCGGACACAAAAAAGGTGGACCGGTTTTACCAGTCCACCTTCAGAAAGACAACCAAATTCTGGAAAGTTGTCAGCTTTGAGCGGCCTTGCTCAGCTCAGCTCCCGCAGAGAAGCCAACTCGTTTGTGTGCAGGGACTTCGATGAGATCCCCCGCCTTACTGCCCCTAATTGGCCTCACCTTGCGTGCCTTAACATCTCGCAACTCAAAGGTGCCGAAGCCGGTGAGCACGACTCTATTCCCTTTGGATAATTCATCCTGAACGCTTCTCAAAACCGCATTGAGCGCAGCTTCCCCCTGTGCTTTGGTGCAGCCTAACTTATCGGCTACCCTATCTGACATTTCACTTTTCCTGCGAGTTGCCATTTACGCCCTACCTCCCTTGTCATTACAACGGTCATTCTAGATAATGACCGTGACCCCAAACAACTGATCCAGCCTCTGCGTACCGCCACTCAGTAAGGTATCCAAGCTAATTATTATCAGGCAACTAGCGAAAACTCAATTCTGTAGTGTGCTACAGACCTAGAATCAGTGCTTCAGTTTTTGATGAAATGAATATATCCCAAACGATAAGTCGTTGTAAAGACATAGAAAAGAATTGCTGTCGGGGGATTTTAACGTGAATATTGAACTTATCGCTGATTACAATTGTATTGTTGGGGAAGGTCCTCTGTGGCATCCAATTGACCGCAAGGTCTATTGGGCCGACATCCCCCGAGGAAGAATCTTTCGTTATGATCCGGTAAGCGGCGAGCACGGTCAGATTTTTGAAGGCTGTGAGGTTGGCGGATTTACAGTTCAGGCGGACGGCACTCTGCTGCTGTTTATGGACCGCGGCGCCATTGCTACACTTCGCAACGGAAATCTGCAATATCACCTCCGCGAGATCGAGGCTGAGCGAGAGACTCGGTTCAATGATGTGATAGCAGACCCAGCCGGGCGAGTGTTCTGCGGCACCATGCCGGCTCCCGACCACGCAGGCAGCCTTTACCGCTTGGACACGGACGGCTCGATCACACAAGTCCTGAGCGGCATCGGCATTTCCAACGGAATGGGCTTCACACCTGACACAAAGCAGATGTACTTTACCGACTCACCAACACACAACATCTACTTATTCGATTATGACATAGAGACCGGCGAACTCTCCAATAGGCGAGTCTTCGTCAATACGGGAGACAACGACGGCATTCCCGATGGCATGACCGTCGACGCGGAGGGCAATGTTTGGTCTGCGCGCTGGGATGGCTCGTCACTAGTACGATACTCCCCAGAGGGTGAGCAAGTGCAACGAATATGGTTCCCAGCACGTAAGGTGTCCAGTGTCATTTTTGGAGGTGAGGACTACACAGACATGTATGTTACAACCGCGGGCGGCCAGGATAAGATTGGCGAGGGGCCCGGGGCAGGGTGTCTGTACAGACTGAACCTAGGCATAAGTGGCAAGCCAGAGTATCTCTCCCAAATCGGACTCTAAAAGTCCTGCAAGAGGATGGATATGCCGTGCTTCGCGCGTTTTGACCAACCAGATAGCGCGTGCTAAAATTAGGCATCTCGATATCAAATATTTAACAGGGGTTGGCTTATGTCTGGTCACTCTAAATGGTCAACAATAAAGCATGCTAAGGCAGCCACGGACGCAAAGAGGGGCAAGCTATTCACCAAAATCACGCGAGAGATAATAATCGCGGCGCGGCAAGGTGGAGGAGACCCCTCTATGAACATCCGGCTTAGGATGGCTCTTCAGAAGGCGAGAGACGCCAACATGCCCAATGACAACGTTGAGCGCGCCATCAAGAGGGGGACTGGAGAGTCCGGCGAACAGGACCAGATGGTCGAATTCACTTACGAGGGATATGGTCCCGGCGGTGTAGCGATTATGCTGCAAACGCTCTCTGACAACCGCAACCGTACCGTCTCCGACATTCGCTCCACCCTCACCAAGGCGGGCGGCAACTTAGCGCAGTCCGGCGCGGTTGCGTGGCAATTCGAGCAGAAAGGCATAGTAGTGGTGAACGCAGAGGAGGACGATGCCGAAGAGTTTGCATTGGTTGCCATCGATGCTGGCGCCGACGACTTCGAGACCTTCGATTCCACACTTCAGATTTTCTCGCCTGTGGAAAGGCTGGAAGATGTCCGGCAGACTCTAACTGACACCGATGCATCAATTGTGTCTTCCGAGCTGTCCATGATCCCCAATAACACAATTGTGCTTGACTCTAGGACGGCATCACAGACATTACGCCTGCTTGACCAGCTCGAGGAACTGGACGATGTTCAAAAGGTCTATTCCAACGCAGACTTCCCGGACGATGTCCTGGAACAGTATCGCGACGAATAGGCGCTGTGCTCGTTCTTGGAATCGACCCCGGAACCTACAACATGGGCGTTGGAATAGTCAACGCCGAAGGCGACAGCCTTACATTTGTGCACGCCGATGTATTGAAAGTTCGGCGCGACGCCCCTCGAGCAGAGCGGCTTCACCGCCTACACACGGAGTTGATCAGTTACATCGCACAGCACAAACCTGATGAAATTGCCATAGAAGAGCCGTTTGTAGCACGTAATGTGCGATCGGCCATAGCAGTAGGCCAGGCGCAGGCGGTGGCGATGATTGCTGCGGAGGCGTCTGGCATAAGCGTACAGTTATTTGCACCTCGTGAGGTCAAGCTCGCTGTAACTGGTTTTCGGGACAGTTCTAAGGAGCAGGTGCAGGAGATGGCAATGCTTGCACTGGACCTCAATAGCGCTCCTATGTCACTCGATGCTTCAGACGCATTAGCGATAGCGATATGCCACATCAACGCAAGGCGAGTGCAATCACTCATTCCTGACGATCGAATATAGAGTATGTCTTCCCTGATTTCTTCTGTACGGGGCACATTGGAGGGTACTGGGACCTGACTGGGCCGATGTCGCCATCGGTGGCGTTACGTTGCGTGTGAGCGCCCCTGCTCCGTCGGTCGAAGCTCTTGGGCAAATCGGCAGCCCTGTAAGTTTGTACACCTCGCTGCAAGTGAGGGCGGAAAGCCTGAGCCTCTACGGCTTCGATACGCCCGAGGGGCGTCAGACTTTTGAAACCCTTATTGGAATTAGCGGAATAGGCCCGCGCGTTGCATTGAGCATCCTTTCCACATTCAGACCTGAAGCACTCGCAGCCGCTGTTGACTCCGGGGATATCAAGAGCTTCACAGTCGTGCCGGGAGTAGGTCGTAAAACCGCAAGTCGCATTCTGCTAGAGCTCAAGGGCAAGCTGGAACTGGACTGGAATATCGGAAGCGTCTCAACACTTGACTCGGACGCTTTGGATGCTCTGACCGCGCTCGGCTACTCGCCGGTTGAAGCGCGTGAGGCACTGTCCGCACTGCCAAAGGACGGCAATTCCGCTACCGAAGACAAAGTGCGAATGGCGCTCCAGCAGCTTGCAGGCTGATAAGGGCTATGGATATTTCACCTTACGACGCCTGGGCGGACTTCTATGACGCGGTATTTTCCTATGTCGTTGACGACATCCCGTTTTACTTGGACGAAGCGAAGCGGTCAGGCGGCCCGGTACTAGAACTGGGATGTGGTACGGGGCGGGTTTCGATACCAATCGCACTGAGCGGAATCGAATTGGTCGGGCTGGACTCTTCGACTGCGATGCTAGAACGCGCCCAGCAAAAGGCTGAAAGTACCGGGGCAACTGGGCTTAGCCTTTTGCAGGCTGACATGCGAAACTTTTTGCTCCCAGACAAGTTCAGCCTGATAATTATTCCCTTTCGGGGATTGCTATCAGTATTGTCAGTGGAAGATGAAGTCCGCGTGCTAACAAACATCAAGCGTCATCTTGCTCCAGGTGGCAAGCTCGTCTTCGACATATTTGTGCCCGACCTTAACATGATGGTACAGGAAGGCGATGTTCCATATCACTTTCGCGATGTTACAGATCCATCGACGGGCAAGCAGATAGTCCTATGGAATCAGGCAAGCTACGACGCTTACACACAAGTAATGAGCATTCGTACTACGATCGAGTATCTCGATTGCTCTGGACGCGTGTCAGACAAGATTTATCGAGACTTTGCGCTGCGATACATCTTTCGCTGGGAGATGTACCACTTGCTTCGAGCATGTGGATACGACATAATCGCGCTATACGGCGACTTCAAGCGACGGGACTTCGACGAGAATAGCGCGAATATGATCTGGGTGGCAGAATCATCACTTTAGTCGACCCTATGTGGTCTTCATCGCTATAGCTTCGCAAGCTGCATGGCCGAGACCGCACAGATTTATACTATCCAATGCAGGTGTTGGGCGTTATATTTTTAGTATGGTGTCCCACGCTAACTCGGCGACTAAATTCGGTCAACAAGCATCCCACTAGTTAAACCTATAGCATAAAGGGCGCGATATGACACATAGATCAAAGAGTCTGAAGTATCCTGCGCTCACCTGCCTGTTTTCAGTCCTTGCTGCGACGCTCGCATGCAGCAGTGCGCCCGCGGCATCTACGGACAACTATGGCGCATCGTCTGCCAATTCCATAAGTGTCCCCGCTGAAGATGTACAGACCTCCCGCGCTTCATGGCAGGTGACGGCAGGGGAGGATTCATCCGTGCAGCCACTGCTGGACGCAATACCTTCGAAGGAACCTAACCAGCCTCCCACATCTGAAATAGACGCCGACGAAATAGTTGCCGCCTATGAAAGGGTGATAGGCGACGTACATGACAATGTGCTGCCATCCGTCGTCAGTGTTTCGTGCTCAACCGCGTCGAAATCTCCAGTTCAATTCCAGGATTCACTTCTCCTTTTCCATTTGGACAAAGGCCTCCTCCAGATGGCGGCTCGCAGCAAGAATTTTTTTACAGAAACGGGCAGGGCTCAGGATTCGTATGGGATGACGCGGGGCACATCGTGACGAACCGGCATGTCGTTGTCGACGCCGAGCGCATAACGGTCGTCTTCTCTGACGGCAGCGACATCAAGGCCGAGGTGGTCGGTTGGGACGAAGATTCAGACTTGGCAGTCCTGAAAATTGAGCGCGACGCGGAGCTGCTGAAACCAGTAAGCCTTGGGGACAGCAATGAAATTCGCGTCGGGCAGATCGCAATCACCATTGGCAACCCGTTTGGGCAGGAATTCTCAACTACAACGGGCATTGTCAGCGCCATCGGACGCACTATACGCACTAGCGATTCCCACTTCTCATTGCCTAAGGTCATACAAACGGATGCACCAATGAACCCGGGTAATTCAGGGGGCCCCTTGCTGGATCGGCGAGGGCGTGTCATCGGCATCGACGCCCAGATAATTACACGCTCGGGCTCGAACACGGGCATCGGCTTTGCTATACCAATAAACATTGCAAAACAGATTGTACCCGTTCTCATCAGCGACGGTGCCTTTACATACTCATGGCTGGGCATCCGCGGTACAACCATAGGACCCGAAGCTGTAGAGCTGATGAACGCACCAGCAGGAACTCGCGGGGCTCAGGTGATTGCGCTTGCAGAAGAAGGCCCCGCGCAGCAGGCTGGCCTAGTCGGCAGCGACAAGAACAAGCGGACAGATGAAGGCAGCATACGTTACGGAGGCGATGTCATAACGGCCATAGACGAGCAGGTTATCGTCAGCATGAACGACCTGATCATATACCTAATGGAAAACACGAAACCGGGCGACACGGTCACGATGAGCGTAGTGCGAGACGGGGGAGATAGCGCCCAAATTGAAGTGACTCTGGAAGCTCGCCCGCAAACTGTTGGCTGATTGTACTAAGCATCTCTTGCCGTATTCTGAGTACATATCCACTCACAAGCGGGAATATGCCAAATAGACTACAACACAAAGCGAGACGCATAAATGAGCCCTAAATTTGCATTGTCCCTTCTGCTGACACTTGGAGCGACGATAGGGATATTGTTCGGATGCGGCGCGGCGCCCGCCTCTCAGACGGCTGAGAGTACCTCTGGGCCTCCTGCACCCAAAGTTGAGCCCGCGTCGGAGCAGGTGGCGGTGCCTAGGCAAGCCGCGAAAGTGATGCAGGCCGACTCCGCCCCCCAAAAGGCAATTGAAGCCATAAAGAGCGAGCAGGAAGCCGGTCCGGTGGAAGTCGGTTATAAAGTTGGAATGCACGTCCCGGAATTTGGCATGAGCCTGCTGGATGGCAGCCGAGTCACATCTGCGGGATTTGTCGATGAAGGCAAGCCTGTGTTTATTTACTTCCACACGACTTGGTGAGGAACTGCCGCGTCGAGTTGCGGCGCATCAAGGATGAGGTCGGTGCAAACTACACCGATCAGATCGCTTTCTACCTCGTAGGTACTGACCTGTCCGAGAGCTTAGAAAAATTGGAAGCCGACAGGGAAGGCAAAGGATTGCCTTGGCCGGTAGCCCATCCGGACGAAGGCATGCTGGATGCACTAAGAATTTATACTCAGGCTTCTAAAGTAGCAATTAGCAGGAACGGAACAATTACGCACCGCTTTGGCTTTGGGAAGGGCGACTACGAGAGTTGGGAAGATCTTTTCGATGACATCAGTGCCAACTAGGCCAGTAGCTAACTGACTTAGATTAGAAAGAAGAGTCCACCCATCATGTCATGAATAGCGAGCGCGCCTCTTACTTTAATCTTACACAACTGTAAAGAACTCAGGCGCCTTCCCTGCCCTGATACACCAGCGTGTCGGGCTTAAACACAGCCCAGGCAAACCAGAAATGATTGCCATGCACTATCGGAGTGAGCCTCTCTCCTGCAAGCGGTCCATCTACGGCATTGCCTAGGATATCCCACTTGCTTCCCGTCTGGTCGTCAATGATATCTTCGTTCTTAATGCTGAATGTCAATTCCTGGCCATCTAGAATTGCATCGAAGACCCCGGCTGATCCCACATCCCGCGAGTCCGCAATTGAACCGCCGTCAAGTGCGGATGTTGTTCCAAACTTGTGGAACACGGCAATCGAGCTCCCAGAAATTTCATAGTTTATTACGCTTCCTCCTGCAAGATGCTCAGCGGGAATGCCACATCGACATCCCCAATGGTTACGGCGATGACACGCTCGACGGGAAGTAGCCTGCCATCTAAGTCTCCTGTGAACAAGAATGGATTTCCTTCAATCGTGTCATACCCGGCGTATGGATTTCGCCCATACTGACGTGCGTAACCGGTATCTCGCGACAATACTTTCCCATTTGGGTTAGCTCTCTGAAAATCTGCGAATGATACTATAAAGGCGGGAAGATGGTTTAAGCTTCGTCCCGCGTGCTCCCCTACAATGCCTTCACCCGTGAATTGCTGCCACCATGAGTGTGTCTCTCGGTCGTACATTATCAGGTCGGAGTTGCGAAGATTCCCTGACACTCCAAATTCAAGCTCTTTTCCATCCAGACGCCTGTCGAACGCAATCGCCGAATTGCACAATGGGCAGAATGTTACTGCCACCGGAACATCCCCAACGGTGTCGTTGACTATTTCGTGCCAGGTCAGAATCTGGAGCGGGTACGCGCGGGCATCTCCGCTGATTTCAAGAGATACCACAGGCTCAACATCACTCAGCCACGCCGACGCCTCCGAGGGAGCGATAAAGGAGGGTTTGTCTATCGACGGGATGTTGTCGCGAGGAATGACAGATCTTATCTCGCTGTAAGGCACCGTGTGAAGCCTGAAATCGGTATCCCAACCTCTGGTGCTTAGTCTTGCTGCGCTCATGGCCCCTTCGTAATCTCGATCCGGCGTGACTGCTGCCATTTTCTCCACTCATATCCACTGTTTGGAGTTGCTGTGAACGACGGAACTTGCGCCTCCACGGGCGGCGTAGCCGAATGTGTTGCAGCAGATACAGCAGTCGCCGCAGGGCTTGACGTCGGTACGGCAGCAGGTGAGGCCACCGATTGCTCAGCAGGTGGAGCCGTAGGTGATGACACTTGTGAGTCTGGCAAACTGCTGAATCGGGATCAGCCGCGGGGTTCTGAATCGGTGCCACCTCGTGTTCGAGGTCCGTCGCCGGTACTCTACCGCTGCACTGCGCAGCCGACGATCCCATCATCGAGAGCATCGCGGCGAGTGCCGGTAAAAACCAAGTGCCTGCAATTCTGCGCTGCAAATTACTCTCCATTTTGCTATTTGTGCCGCCAAGATATAGCGAAGTACTACAATTCGCGTAAAAGGATACGTCGAGCAAAAGAATCACAGATGACCCTGCTCGATGCCTCTGTTTTACTTTAGATGAGAGCAGGGACGAAAGGGTGCCAGCGTTAGTATCGCCACAGCCCACGATGGAAGTGAAGGACCTAGATCTCGCAGCCTCGAGCAGGAGCGTTCAATGCGGAATCGCTTAATCTAGTTGTAGCGCCGCCACCTGCGTCCATCCTGCGCAAGCAAGGCGTCAGCCGCGTCAGGACCCCAGCTGCCGCAGGAGTAAATATGAAGAGGAGAAATATCGAGGCCGGTCCAAGCGTCAATGAGAGGATCGACAATCTTCCAGGCTTCTTCAATATGATCGTTGCGAATGAATAAGCTGGCGTCGCCAAGCAGGGCATCTTGGAGCAGTCGCTCGTAATCTTCGGGAATTGAGAGGTCTCTGAAAGCAGACCTATAATGAAATTCCAGATTCGTCCGTTCCATTGACGCAATATCAATGTCAGGGCTCTTAGTCTGAAATCCAAGGTGGATGCCCTCGTCAGGTTGCAGGCTCAGGCGAAGAAGATTAGACGGAATGGCTTCACCCGAAGGCAAAGGAAACATCGAGTGGGGCGGCTTCTGAAACTCTATTACAATTTCTGATACCTTCTCTGCCATTGCTTTGCCGGTTCGCAGGTAAAATGGCACATCCCGCCAACGCCAATTGTCCACAAAGAGCCGCAAAGCCGCGTATGTGGGTGTGATGGACCCTTCTGGGACGCCTCGCTCCGCCAGATAGCCATCGTATTGGCCTCGCACGGCGTTTCGTGCCATTTCGGCGCCGCTATTCCTGCGAATAGCCTGCAGTACTTCTACTTTCTTGTTCCGAAGCGATTCAGAATCAGCAATATTGGGAGGCTCCATCGCTACCAGAGTGAGCAATTGCAGCATGTGGTTTTGCACCATGTCTCGCACGACGCCCGACTCATTGTAATAGCTTCCCCTGTCTTCGACGGCTATGGATTCGGCGACTGTAATCTGCACGTTGTCAATATAGTTACGGTTCCATATAGGTTCAAAGATGGCGTTTGCAAAACGAAATACCAGCAGGTTTTGCACCATGTGCTTGCCAAGGTAATGATCGATACGATAAACCTGACTCTCATCGAACACCTGCCCAACAAGATTGTCCAGTTCCGTGGCAGACGCGAGATCATTGCCAAATGGTTTCTCTATGACAACTCGGCGCCATCCTGTTGACTCGTCCGCAAGACCGTGAACATTCATGTTGCGAAGAGCAGGTTCAAATAGCCATGGGGCGATCGACAGATAGAAAAGCCAGTTTGAAGGAGCGTCAGTGCCGCCATCCAACTCTTGGAGCCCTCTCTTTAGTACTCCGAGTCCATCAGGATCGCTCAGATCGCCGCGTATGTAGTGGATGCGGCGGGCGAATTCCCTCCATGCTTCTTTGTGCGCTGCGAGGTCGCGGAACTCACTTACCTTATTCCACATGAATTCACGGTACGACTCGCTAGTGAAGTCAGAGCGCGCAAAGCAGACGATTCGAAGATTTTCAGGGGCACGCCCACGGTATGCAAGCTCGAAAAGTGCCGGAACTAGCTTACGCTGGGCAAGGTCACCTGTGCCGCCAAATATGACAACGCTTGTGCTTTCCAGAGACATCATTCCGACTTTCTGACACTATGCCCGCCGAACTGATTTCGCATAGCCGCCAACAGTTTCGCTCCGAAGGGGGAGTCTTGTCTTGAGCGGAATCGCGCCTGCAACGACGCAGCAATAACTGGAATCGGAACAGCAAGATCGATCGATTCCTCTACCGTCCAGCGTCCTTCGCCAGAGTCCTCCACATACGCTTGAATACCTTCCAGACTGCCATCCTCATCCAGAGCCGCTGCCGTTAGATCAAGCAGCCAAGACCGAACTACACTGCCGTAGCGCCAAATGTGGGCAATCTGCGCGAGGTCGAGTTCTAAGTCATGCTTGGCTTCCATAAGTTCGAAGCCCTCTGCGAAGGCCTGCATCATTCCGTACTCGATGCCGTTATGGACCATTTTCACGAAGTGCCCTGCGCCAGAAGGTCCCACGTGCCCATATCCTATACTCGCGCCGGGTGCAAGTGTCTGGAAAATAGGTTCAAGACGTGAATAAGCCTCAGCATCACCGCCGATCATAAGGCTGTAACCTTCAGTCAGACCCCAGACTCCTCCACTCGTGCCCACATCCAACATCGTGAGCCCCAGATCCCCGACATCAGCTGCGCGGCGAATTGTGTCTTTGTAATTGGAGTTGCCGCCGTCGATTATGGTGTCTCCCACAGTCAACTTGGCGGACAGAGTACCTATCGTTTCGTCCGTAACATCACCGGCGGGTACCATCACCCAAACAGCGCGAGGAGGCGATAGGTGGAAAACAAGCTCATCAATGGAAGTTGCCTCGATTGCGCCGGCGTTCACGACCGACAATCGAGCCTGTTCATCGGGGTCATAGGCGACAATATGATGGCCGCCAGCGAGGAGGCGCTGGGTCATGTTCCCGCCCATTCGGCCCAAGCCAATCATTCCCAGTTCCAATGTGTCGCCTCCAGTCAATGAAAGTCGCCGCAATTATTTGAGGCTATTGGCTAACGTTTTTACCGTCTGTACCGCGTCAGCACCAAGATTAATTCGAGCAACATGGCGTCCCTGAGCGGCTAGTGCATCCAGGTCGCCTTTAGCCTGTGCCGCTGCCAATACTCCAAAAGTAAACTTCTCACCCGGTATTGTAACATCGGCATTTTCTATTTGCGTAAGCTGTAAGGACAGCCCGGAGTCCGCTCCACCTTTATGAAGTTGGCCTGTCGAGTGCAAATAACGCGGGCCATAGCCGAGAGTTGTGGCAACACCCCACTTGCCCGTGACATTTTGCCGCAGATCGGCCAAAGCCAATTCCACCTGCGCCGTTGGTTCAGCAAAGGCCGTAATCGCTAAGTAGTCCCCCTTTTTTACATGTGACATCAGTTCCGTAAGCGAACTCACGGCATTGAGCGCAGGTGCTCGCCCTGAATTCTCGTAATCCGCAAGCAACTCTGTAGTCTTGTCTTTGGCCTGCTGGACATTCGGCTGGTCGAACGGATGAATGCCCATTAAACTTCCGGCGACTGCGGTGGCAAATTCCCACCGGAAGAATTCAGCGCCAATATTGTGTCTGCCAGTGAGATCAAACCTGACGACCGGTATACCCGCCTCCTCCACAACTTTCATGTATCTATCTGTTGCATCAGTGTCATCCTCTTCTAGTCGGACATAAACAAACAGCCTGTCACTACCGAGGTCATTGGGGCTGCAATGCGGTTCGTTTGCGACTGGGATGATCCCCTTTTCCCTCTTTACCTGTGCTCTCTGCTAGCAGTTGCTCGACCCAGAGAGCGAAATTCTGGAGTGATTCGGTAGTCACGATTGTCAGTTTGTCGCGGCCTTGTTCCACCAAAGACGCTATCAAGGCACCAAGCCAAACAGCAGGGTTATCGTTCGCTGGGACGGTTGCGCCGCATAAAGTGCTCATGGTCTCCACGGAATCCAGGAGTTTGCCAACGTCAATCCCAAGCAGAGCTGCAGGCACCAAGCCGAAAAGCGACTGCACAGAATACCGCCCTCCCAAATCTGGCGGATTAGTAAAGACTCGACGAAAACCGTCTTCCCTGGCTAGTCGTTCAAGTGAAGTGCCTGCGTCGCATATCGCCACGAAATGATTGCCCGTGTCCGCGCCCTCTATCTCCCGCTCAACAAGTGCCCTGAAATGCTTGTACAGTACATTAGGCTCGATCGTCGTTCCGGACTTGGACGCCACAATAAAGAGGGTCTTTTCGCAGTCCAGTGAATCTGATATGGCGCTGATTGTGGCGGGCACGGTGGTGTCAAGCACAGTGAGGTCAGGGTAGCCGTCAGCGCTTCCAAAGAGATCACTGAGCGCCAATGCGCCGAGGCTGCTGCCGCCCATCCCCAGTAGCACAACATGCCGGAATCCATCGCTTTTGACTTCCTCCGCAAACGCCTGCATATCCTCAACATACTGGCGCATATCACCGGCTACCGTAAGCCATCCAAGCCTGTCGGTAATATCAACTGGATCAGGGTTCCAGACGGTATGGTCAACGTCCCAAATCCGTCGAGGCACTCGCCTGCTTTCAAGATCCGCGAGAATTTCAGTTACCGATTCTTCGTAGCCACCGAGTCGAGTGCTATTTCCCGACTGCCGCGCGACGAGACGGGCTCGTTATCCTCGATATTGGCAATGAGTGTGTCATACGAGCCTGCAAATGCACTTAACGCCATCTTCGAGAAGCTTGCTGGTTACTCTGCGACATGCTTATGCCGGCATCCTCAAGTGCTTGCATGGTCCGTTCGGCTTCATCAAGGTCATGGTCTATGGTTGTTCTCGGGTTGCCCGTGCTCGAGGAACGCATGGAGCGTAACATCCGGAAGGGTATTTACAGAGTTTGGCCCAATTAGTTCATCGACATACAGAACATCACTATACTCGGGGTTCTTCGTGCTGGTGCTCGCCCACAGCGGGCGCTGTACACGCGCCCCTGCAGTTGCCAACGCTGCAAACCTGTCGTTGCTGAAGGTTTGGGCAAAGTCACGGTACGCCATTTTGGCATTGGCGATAGCGGCTTTGCCCATCAGTCCTTCCAATTCTCTAATTCCGGAATCAATTAGCTGGTCCAACTTGCCGTCAACAGATGCATCTATGCGGCTCACGAAAAACGACGCTACCGATGACACGTGAGACGGATCTCCTCCCGCAAGTTCCAATTCTTCCAGTCCGCTGACATACGCCTCACGCACCTCAGCATAGGCATCCAACGAGAAAATGAGAGTAACGTTGACGTTGATGCCGTCACTGATGAGTTGTCGGATGGCAGGTATTCCAGCAGGAGTAGCAGGAACCTTTATCATCACATTAGGGCGCTGCAGAGTTGCGTGGAGTCTTTGTGCTTCCGCGACAGTGCCCTCAGTATCGTTCGCGAGGAGCGGGCTGACTTCTATGGAAGCAAATCCATCCGCACCTGCGGTACGTTCATATACGGGGAGAAGAAGGTCTGCAGCATCGCGTATATCCTCAACGGCAAGACTCTCGAAAATCTCCGTTGCGCTGTTGCCAGCAAGCGCAAGGTCAAGTAGCGCCCAGTCATAGTCGCTGCTCTCGGTAATCGCCTTTTCGAATATGGATGGGTTGGAAGTCAGACCACTCACTCCCAAATCTACCAAACGCTGCAGTTCACCCGACCTGATAAAGCCTCTGCGAATGTTATCGAACCACACGGACTGCCCTAGTGCCTGCAACCGTTGGAGGGAGTTAGTCATTTGAAGCACCTTTCATAAGGACCCAGCGTTCTTGGAGTTGGTAGCTGGTAAGAGGTATATATTCATTCTATGCAGCCGGGAGTGTAGTGGCAAATTACTATCTCGTTAACTGCTCTCTGGGGAGGGATGGGATAATGTTCCCTGTTTACTGAAATCTTTTGCAGTATTGAGCGCAAGAAAGTATAATTTTGTCGCAATGAGCAGACAACTTCTGAACCCAATTAACATGAGTGACCGTTGGCGTTAGGCAGGCGAGGGAGTCAAGGAGACTCATCTAACCGAGGCGAGCCGTCCGCCAACAGCCGCAGCCTGAAACCGTGGTCGGCTCTAGCCTTCCGCGACTATCGCATGCTCTGGTTTTCTGGCGTAGCCCAGATGGTCACCATGCAGATGCGAATGCTTGTGAGCGGCGTCTGGCTCTATGAAATCACAGGCTCCGGCGTGCAACTGGGACTGCTTGGCGTCGTGCAGCTCGTCATGCAACTACCAGCAATTCTGTACGGCGGTGCGCTCGCCGACCAGATCGACCGCAAAAAGTTGATGGGATATACTCAGCTGGTCAGTTTTGCGCTCCTCGGTGCAATGACGGTGCTCGCTGCAACAGACAGCCTTCGTCCTTGGCACATCTATGGCGTAACTGCGATCCTAAGCGTGGCGAGCACCCTAGGCAGCCCTTCACGCTCCGCTCTCACCGCTAATGTGGTTCCGCGATCACATCTTATGCATGCCGTCGCCCTCAACACTGCCACCTTTCAGGTCGGCGCGGTTGCCGCTCCCTTGGCATTTGCCGCCGCGATCAAAGCCTTCCAAGGTGAGTATGTGTACATTTTCGGGATAACGACCTTGGTAGCACTGCCAAGTGTGTGGTTACCTTTGCTTATCGGCGTGTCAGGTGTGCCGGCGGACAGGCAGCAGGGTGGCTCGATGTTAAGTCGGATGTGGGACGGATTCCTGTACGTGAGGACCCATCCGATACTGCCGGGTCTATATGCGATGGATGTTGGGGTTACTATTGTTAGCCACTACCGTCAAATACTTCCTCTGTTTGCTGACAGGCTCTTCAAAGGTGGCGCTGCCACTGTGGGCATATTGAACGCGGCAAACTCGGCAGGCGGTATATTGGGCACGTTTTCAGTGCTGTTCCTCACTAAATTTCGCGCCAAAGGGATGATGGTAGTTTACGCCACTCTCATTTACGCAATGCTGTTGATTGCCTTCGGCTTCACTACAGCGCTGTGGCTAGGCGCCATCATACTTGCCGGGCTAGGCGCCTCAGACGCGGTTGGTATGGCCATCCGTCAGACTACCGTACAACTAACAACTTCAGACAACATGCGTGGACGAGCCGTTAGTTTCTCATCGGTTTCGGCAATGACCGCCAACAATCTAGGCACCTTTGAAGTGGGTTTTATGTCAGAAGCCATCGGAGCGAACAACACACTCATTCTGGGAGGTGCAGTCGGAATAGTCGTGGTTCTGATAGTGTGGATGATGGTGCGTGGTATCCGGGAATACCGCTATCCTGAGGACTGATGGTCTTGCCCGCAGTGCAAGTCTGGTGTAGGGTGAGACTATGGATACAAAGCCAACCATTTCAATTGCAAAGGGGAAGGAAGCAATGAATCAGGGATACGCAAATCCGGATATTCTGGTCGAAGCAGACTGGCTGGAAGCTAGGCTTGACGACCCAACGATTCGAATAGTTGATTGTGATCCGTATGACGCCTACGGACGCGCGCATATCAGGAATGCCATTGGCATACCGGTTCATCACTACATCAAAGAGCCGGGTTATGATGCCGATCCTCGTGGCTATCCATTAGTCGCTCCGCCCGATACTATGAAGGAAGTGATGGAGCGCATGGGAATTGGCGACGACCACCTAGTCGTTGCGTATGACAGCAACGGCGCACTGTGGTCAACGCGCCTCTGGTGGGTGCTGAATTACCACGGTCATTCCAATGTCAAGGTCCTCAATGGCGGTTGGAAAAAATGGTACGACGAAGGACGCCCCACTTCCATTAGTACACCGACCACATCAGAAGTTACATTTACACCTCAGCCGAACTCTGACCTGGTATGCACGCTTGACCACGGCGTAGCCAACGTGGGCAATGAAGACGTCGTGTTCCTGGATGTGCGCTCCGATGGAGAATGGGACGGCAGCAATTCCAGAGGCAACGCGCGGGCGGGACGAATACCGGGGGCTGTACACCTCGAATGGCTGAATTTCATCACCGACGACAGCCATCAGACTATCAAGTCGGCTAATGATCTTAGGGCGATGCTCGAAGAAGTGGGTGCGACGCCGGATAAGGAAATCATAACTTATTGACAGGGTGGCATCCGTGCGGCGCACGGAGTTTTCGTACTTAAGCTTCTTGGCTATGACCGCGCGCGAAACTACGACGCTTCCATGGGCGAGTGGGCGAACCGCGAGGGCACGCCTCTCATCATTTAGATACATTCAATTACCAATTTTAAGCTGCCCTCTTGAATCAACAGCGTTTCCTTCTTCAACAGAGAGGAAACGCTGTATTTTCAACTGCGCTATGACAGTTGACAGATTGAAACGGATACACGTATGACCAACTCTACCTCCCATGCACCCCCCATTGTTGATCGCACCGCTGAGATCGAGCGCATTCTCAAGCACCGTGTGATGGTCTTGGACGGCGCATGGGGCGTTATGATTCAGACATTACAGCTGCCTGAGAGCGAATTCAGGGGTGAGCAGTTCGCCGATCACGAGAGCGACCTCAGAGGCTGTGTTGATGTGCTTTCGCTCACGCGGCCCGATCTCATTCGCAGCATCCAGCGGCAGTATTTGGACGCTGGAGCGGACATCCTCACAACTAACACATTCACGGCAACACGCTTCGGGCTGTCGGAATTCGGCCTTGAAAACTCTGTCCACGACATAAATCGTGAAGGCGCTCGACTCGCCCGAATAATCGCTGACGAATACACGCAGCGCAATCCGGAGAAACCTCGGTTCGTGGCAGGCAGTATTGGGCCAACCAATAAGACTCTATCTCTGTCTCCTGCTGTGGATGACCCAGGGTACCGTGATATCAGTTTTGACGAAATTGTCGAGGCGTATTCGGAAGCTGTGAGAGGCTTGCTCGATGGTGGAGTCGACATCCTCTTGGTGGAGACGGTTTTCGACACTCTGAACGCCAAAGCCGCGCTATATGCCATAGAGAAAGTGTTCGATGACATTGGCGCGCGCGTGCCGGTAATGGCCTCCTTCACAGCAGTTGACATGAGCGGGCGTAATTTATCAGGACAAACCGTGGAGGCATTTTACGCTTCGGTGTCACACATCCCTCTGCTCAGCGTGGGAATTAACTGCTCGCTGGGCAGTGAACAGATTCGACCATTCCTTGCGGAACTTGCTGATGTGTCATCTCACTTTGTTTCGTGCCACCCGAACGCAGGACTTCCAAACGAGTTTGGCGAATATGACGAATCACCTGCCTACATGGCCGCTAATCTGCTTGAGTTCGCTGAAAGCGGACTCGCAAACATCGTGGGAAGCTGCTGCGGCTCAACTCCCCGAACACACTCGAGCTATTGCGGAGGCCGTAGGCGGTATCACGCCTCGCAACCTGCCCTCAGCAACAGCAAACACAATCCTGAGTGGCCTTGAGATTCTAGAGATACGACCAGATTCCAATTTCATCAACATTGGAGAGCGGGCGAACATAACCGGGTCTGCGCGCTTCAGGAGGCTTATACGAAGAGGAAATTACGAAGAGGCGGTCACAGTCGCCAGGCAGCAGGTAGAAGACGGCGCGCAGATTCTGGACATCAATATGGACGAGGGTCTTCTTGATTCAGAAGCTGCTATGGATCGCTATTTGAAACTCCTGGCGTCCGAACCGGACATATCGCGCGTCCCTGTTATGGTGGACAGTTCCAATTTCAGCGTCATCGAGGCAGGACTTAAGTGCATTCAAGGGCAAGGGCATTGTCAACTCAATCTCGCTCAAGGAAGGTGAGGATGAATTCGTCAGACAGGCACAGATAGTGAGGAGCTACGGCGCTGCTGTTGTAGTCATGGCGTTCGACGAGCAGGGGCAGGCGGATACAGTTGAGCGTAAAGTCGACATCTGCTCTCGCTCTTATGAAATTCTGACCCGGAAAGTTGGATTCCCCCCACAGGACATCATTTTCGACCCGAACATCTTCGCCGTGGGAACTGGAATTGAAGAACATAATCGGTATGCCGTCGCTTATATTGAAGCCGCAAGAGAGTTGAAAGTCCGCTTCCCGCAGTGTCATGTAAGTGGCGGCGTCAGCAATGTGTCTTTTTCGTTCAGGGGTAACGACCCAGTAAGGGAGGCGCTGCATTCGGTATTCCTTTACCACGCGGTGCAAGCCGGCATGGACATGGGCATAGTCAACGCAGGTCAACTTGCAGTCTACGAGGAGATTTCGCCAAGCTTGCGACGTGCCTCAGAGGATGTAATTCTCGACAGGCGTGATGACGCGACGGAGCGGTTACTGGAGCTTGCAAAAGACGTAAGTGGCGGCAGCATAGGTTCGTCGAAGAACTCAGAGCAAAGCGAGGAAGCATGGAGAGCGCTACCCGTCGGTGAGCGCATTCGCCATGCTTTGGTGAACGGAATAGATTCCTATATCGAAGCCGATGTGGAAGAGGCGCGCCTGCAATCGGAACGCGCTCTTCACGTCATTGAAGGGCCCTCTAATGGATGGGATGAACACCGTTGGAGACCTGTTCGGCTCTGGCCGCATGTTCTTGCCGCAGGTCGTCAAGAGCGCGCGGGTGATGAAAAAGGCAGTGGCTGTGTTGGTTCCCCACATCGATGCCGAGCACCAGGAGGGGGACACGCCGCGCTCAAACGGCAAACTTGTTATAGCGACAGTCAAAGGTGATGTCCATGACATTGGCAAAAATATAGTGGGTGTTGTACTCGGCTGCAACAACTACGAGGTGATAGACCTAGGCGTGATGACTCCCTTTCAGAACATTCTGAACGCCGCTCGAGATGTGAATGCGGATGTCATTGGGTTGAGTGGTCTGATAACACCTTCTCTCGACGAGATGACGACCGTGGCGCGTGAGATGAATAGACAAGGCTTTGACATTCCACTCCTCATCGGCGGCGCAGCAACATCCGCGGCGCACACTGCTGTGAGGATTGCCCCCGAATACCCGCACGGCGTAATACATGTACGGGACGCATCTCGATCAGTTACAACAATGAATGAGTTGGTGGATGAGCATACGCGCCGCCAGCTTATCGCGCAGACTCATGACCGCTATGACAGGATTCGCGCAGACCGAGCTTCACGCAGTGCGCAGTCGCAACTGCTCCCTCTCAATGAGGCTCGACAACGCCGATTGGGATTCGACTGGGACTCAACTGTCACTGAATCGCCGACATTCATCGGTGCAAAGGTGTTTGACGACTACTCGTTAGATGAGCTCGTCGACTATATCAGTTGGACGCCATTCTTTGGAGCATGGGAACTTCGTGGCGCATTTCCGGCCATTCTCAAAAGTCCGACTTATGGCGAAGAGGCGAAGCGACTGTTAAGTGACGCGCAACACCTACTCCACAAGATGATCGACGAGAAGGCACTTACGGCAAAAGCAACCATCGGCTTTTTTCCGGCAAATTCGGTTGGCGATGATGTAGAGATATACACTGATGAAAGCCGCAATCAAGTAAAGGAGACCTTGCATTTCCTCCGTCAGCAGTGGGACAAGACACGTCAGCGCGCGAATCTCCCTCAGCAGGACTTCTGCCTTGCGGACTTCATAGCACCTAAGGAATCGGGAGTCGCCGACTACATCGGAGCATTTGTCGTAACGGCTGGCATTGGAGGTGACGAGTATGCCGCCGCGCTTGAATCCGAGAATGACGACTATAACGCGATACTGTCAAGGGCACTTGCTGATCGGCTAGCGGAGGCATTTAGTGAACGCTTGCACGAAAGGGTGCGCAAGGAGTTCTGGGCATACGCCCCTGACGAGGATCTGAATAGCGAGCGCCTTCTGAAAGAGGAGTACCAGGGGATACGCCCCGCTTTCGGCTATCCCGCGTGCCCCGACCACACAGAGAACGCAACGCTCTGGGGCCTACTGGATGCCGAGCGCACAATTGGCGTGAAGCTCACAGAGAACTTCGCAATATGGCCCACCGCATCCACCGCGGGTCTTTATTTCGCACATCCCGGCTCTCTCTATTTTGGTGTAGGTCGTATAGGCCGCGACCAAGTGGAGGACTATGCACGGAGAAAGAATATGCCAGCCAAAGATGTAGAGCGTTGGCTTTCGTCAAACATTCTGTAATGATTGCGCGGGACCCGGATAAGACAGGCAGAGCACTTCAGTTGACGGCCAGCGGCCTTGGATTCGTCTCACTTTCTGCAGTTCCTTGATTCCCGCTCAGGGCAGCTTCGACTGTCAAGGTGAAGTTCATATCGTCTGGGTCACTACACTCATTTTCATCGTCGCAGGCACTTATGGAAACTGTTGTCGTACCCATGTTCGCGCCTCGCAATGTTAATATGCCTGTATCAGTGATGCTGCTTCCAATCGCCGTGTAAGGATTGCTAAGTGTGTATTTGTAATCAATTATGAGTTCGCCATCCGGCTCATCAAATGCCTCAGACACATCCATTGTGACCGATTGACCGACTCTTAGGCTGCGGTCCGGAAGGGCGCCCACAACTTCGGGAATGCGATTGCGTACTTTGTCTGAATCGGTGACAATAATGACAAAGGACAGATCAGCAAAATTACTGCAACCGAGGTAACTACAGGCCCTCACCGAGACCCAACTCTTGCCCTCCTCAGCGCCAACTAGCGTCAATATTCCATCCCTAGCAATTTCACTCTCAGATCCCACATCAGGATCTCTGAGAAGGACATCGTATCGTATGATGCGATAGCGGCTCGGAGTTTTGAATGCATCCGAGACCAAAACTTCAAGTGAATCGTACAGCTCCAGGGTTTGATCGGAAAGTGCCCCTACAACTTGCGGCGGATTTCTTGGCGGTTCTGTAACAGTCACTCGAAAAGAGGCATCCGTGCCCATACTTGAGAGTTCCCCGTCGCTCGCATTTACGGCAACAATTGTTGTGCCTTCCTTGGCGCCCCTAAGCATCATCATTCCGGTCTTTGAATCTATGGAGCCGACGGCCACGCTCCTGTCGGTCTGCGAAAATCCGTACTCTTGAATTAGGTCGCCATCGGGGTCGCTGAACAAGGACGATACATCCACTGATATTGTGTCACCGACATGAACACCCTGGTCAGAAACACTTCCTATGACTTCAGGCGAGCGGTTAGGCGGCGGTAAGACAGTTAGTGCGAATTGTAGGCCCAAATCAGTACCACTGCATCCTTCGCCATCGCATGCACTCACAGAGACCGAAGTCGTGCCAACCTGTGTGCCCCGAAATATAATGCTACCCCCTCGATAAGTCAACAGTCCCAGTCGCCAACGCTGTGTCATCGAGGCTGAAATCATATCTGACAATATGATCGCCCTCCAAATCCCAGAAAGCAGGGGCAACAGCGACGGAAATTGATTCGCCCACAACCACTGAACGGTCTTCGAGGACCTTGACTGCTTGGGGCGGACGGTTTGGCGGTGGAGCGACAGTCAGGGCGAAGGTTAAGTCACCCAATCTAGTACAGGTTGAGGCGTCGCAAGCCCTGAGTGTAACCCAAGATGAACCCACCTTAGACCCGTGAGAATCGAGTTCTCCTGTAACCGAATTGACTCTTCCGTGAGCAACTGTAGTGTTGCTGAGGATGACACTATACCGTTCGACTCTTTCACCATCTGGGTCTGTGAAGGCACTGAAACATCCATCACAAGCGATTCACGCACTGGAACGACTTGATCGTCAACACCAATTGCAACTCGAGGTGGATTGTTCATACCTGGTATCGCTATTACCGGCAATGGTGTAGAAATTGGTTTTGAGACGACCGGATGGGCTGTAATGGTACTTCTGGCCGTCGGCGTTGGCGAAGGTGCAGTTGCCTGTATTGCTGTCTGAACAGAAGTAGGATAAGAATATGTGGCCTCTGGCGTTGCAACGGGAGTAGCAACAGACAAACTTGTAGGTGGTTTCGGCCGCAAGTGAGCTAAGGGTGCCTGCGTTGGAGTAGGCGTGGCAAGAATGACGGCCGGCTCCGGCGTTGCCAAAGTTACTTGGGGTTCAACTTCGGAAGGCGCATCCACTAGTGTCGGGGTATCTTGGACAGCGACCAGAATGTCCGACAATTTCACGGAGTCATATGGAACACCCACAACTTCAATTATCCAGGTGCCGTCGCTCTGCCTTCTGGCAGCGAAGTCATACGGATGATTGTTGATATTCGCGTTCTGCGCATTGATTGTTACACTTGCCGTAAGGAAGAGAAAGTGTCCGAACCCTGAAGCGTCGATCCAGAACTCGTCGGAAGTGCCGGGGTATGTGCAGGTCTCATCCAGTCTGAGTACCTGTCCCACACTGCAATCAGATTGCTCAGATCGAGTCACATTGGCCGTTGCAGATTGTTCCTCAATTGAAGGAACCGGAGTGTGAATCGAGGATTTCTCACCTGCAATGAAACTGCTTGTAGATGGGAGAGGCTCAGGCGAAGGCGCATCTTTCGAACACGCCGCAATTATGTAGGTTGCCACAACAACGAAAGCTGCGAGATGAATGTAGTTAGGGCGCTTCATAAAGTCCAAGAAGATGTCGGAACTGTGTCAGATGTCTAATAATTACGATTCAGTAACTATATCTTACATCGCATAATATCACAGATTATAAACACCGTCTTAGGGGGGAAAATCAAGGAGTGGATTCAGGACTACAGGGTTTGAGCGACAGACCGAGGTGAAACCATGCGACGCTATTCCGGCAGGTTAGCAAAGCGCGACAGAAACGCAGATAGTGAAGCCCCAAACTCCTCACGTTGCCATCGCCTCACTTCACGACTCTCGAATTCCTCCTCCAATATTGAAGGATTTGCCGACAGGCGTTCCAGACTGGCTCGCCGGCCACAAGAGTCCCGCGTCGATATCCAGATGGCGCGCGTGTTCAAGCCTCCACTGCTTTAGCAATTGAAGTCTCTTGCGAATGGCGCTTCGCTCTTCGGCTTTGATCCGAGGGCGTGCACCCAGATTGGCACGAGGGCGTATGACAGGTTCAGCATCCATCCCTTCCTGAAGAGATTTGCGGACTCCCGAAGCTCCCCTACCGTATGCGTACCGTCCGAGTCCCTTCACAGTGGATAGGTCGGCTCTCGGATTTTCGGCAAGAGCCAACATTGCAGTGTTGGAGAACACTTTGAAGGGAGGGCAGTCGCGTCTCAACGCTTCCCCATCGCGGAAGAAGTAAAGCGCGCGCAGAAACAGCTAAACCTTGCCCATTCAACTTTCGACTGCCTTTTACCGAAAGAAAAGCGGATTTGCAATCAGGTGCTACATACCTGACATTAGCAAGACGTTCGCATTCCTCCCTAACCCATGCGGTTCTTCCCAGCACACGAAGCCTGTCGCTCAAGAGATCGGCGAGAGTGGCTAAGTAATAGACATCTGCCGCCGCGTACTCCCGCAGTTCGGCGGAAAGCGGTCGAACAGTCCAATCTGCGCGTTGCAGCCTCTTCGTTTTCGGAATTTCGACTTCGAACCACTCATATATAAGTGCGGCCAATCCGAGCCTAGTGTGCCCTCTGAATGCGGCGCCGATACTGGTATCGAACAAGGGTGAAACCCGGAAACCCCAGTCGCGGTCAAGGCTTCTAATGTCATAGTCCGCAGAATGGAAGATCTTCACAACGGACGGTGCACTTAGCAGGGCACCCAGGGGAGTCATGTCTTCAATAGCAAGTGGGTCTATGAGGTAGATCTCGTCCGCCACGGATAGCTGTATGAGGCAAACGCGCTCCGGGTAACGATGAAATCCGTTGGACTCAAGGTCCAAAGCAACACGAGGATGTTTCATTGCCGAAGTCACAATTGCCTTCAAGCGCGATGCGCTGGTTACAAACTCAGGCTTTTTTATGTGACTTCGAAGATGAATAGCGAGCTTACTCCCAGTGCGGGATCTTGCTGAGGAATTTGGCTCCGCAGGTAGGATTCGAACCTACGACCGATCGGTTAACAGCCGATTGCTCTACCACTGAGCTACTGCGGAGCGTAGCAGAATCCATGATAACACTGGCAATAGCCTGCTACAAGTTTTGGACGCAAGCCGCGCTGCTTGAAAGCTGGTTGCAGCGAACTAGTTCGGTGTAGAAGTGAAATCTTCAAGCGAAAGGAGTAATCTGCCTGCCGTGGGGGCATCAACAAGGAACACATTGGGCCGCCTCGGCGTCGTGGCGTAAAGAGAGATTTCATCTCTGGGCAGCAGTCTGACGCGCGTTGTCGGGAACCCCGAGTCTTCTGTGGTTATTATCCTGATCGAGATGCCGCCAGGTCCGATGAAGTCCAATCCTTCCGTTTCGCTCTCCGGCGCGAATCCGCCGGCGATAAATCCCTCAAGTGTACCGAGCACCGCATTGACGGCAAACACATTCGCCGGTTCTGATGTGTCGGCAGTTTCCGCAGCCCAGCCCCTCTCTACGCGACGCAAAACGAAGTCTTGCCCAGGATATTCAAACTCAATCGATTCAATGGCATCGCGGGGAATGCTCGCGATAACCGGGTTGCGCCACCCGTCAGCGTTCGAGTCAAAGATATTGCCGAACGGACAGGGTATTGCGTAAACTTCGGCACGAGCAGGTTTGCGAAGGTAGCATAAACGTACGTCCTCGGCCCACTTGCCGACTATAAATTCTTCCTGTTTGAATTCGCCAAGCCAGAATGCGACGTTGATCCCCTGTCCTTCCTGAACACCCATTCGGGCGTGACTTGCCGGGTTCCTGGCGACCAGTTGGGCGCCGTCTATGTCAGTTGACGCAGTCCAGAGTTGGTTCAATTTCGGGACAAAGGCGTCTTCACGCTCAATTTGCCAGATGTCGTTAGTCTTCTCGAGCCTCGCCTCGCTTCCCACTGGAGTGGTAATCGTAACGCGATCAATCACATCAGGCGAAACCGGCAGAATGCCCTCAAGGGTCAATTCACTTGACCCAGCAGCAATCAGGCGTAACACCAGTCCGGCGACGCCGATTACAATTAGGGCAATGAGCACATATCCGACCTGTTTACTCCCCACGTGCGTATGTCCTCAGTCCTTTGCTGCGTCTCGTCACATAACGAATTATGCCGAGTACGATGAAAATGATCGGGATTCCCGCAACGTTCGCCAACTGAACCAGATTACGATGGGAGGGCGAGCTGAATGTAAGTTTGCGGGTAGTAATTACCTTCGACCGGATTTCCGCTAGGTTTTCTTCCTGTGCCAGCCAGTCAATTAGATTTAGCCCCAAAGCAAGATTCTCTTGCGCCTGGCTGACGATTGGGTCTGTCAGCCAGTCGGAGTCTCCCACAGCGACAATTCTGAAGGGCTCCCCGCTGCCACCATTCGGCTGAATCTCGCTTGACTCAATAGCGACACCGATGTCGCTCTCAAAGAGTTGGCGGTCGGTCACATCCAGTTGGGGTGAGTCCGGCGTAACATCTCCATAAGAGTAGTCAACTGAGGCAAATTGCGATGTGCGCATCAGAGGTATCACTTCGACGCTACCGACCTGGGAATCGGTAATGCCGAGCGAGCTTGACCAGGGCATGAGCACCGACTCCACGTCACCCGCTACTTTGCGATCAACAGTGGGCACGCGAGGCCAATACGGATAAGGCAGCCTCACACTTCCAAGTGTAATCGTCTCGTTAGACCTAATATCAAATACCAGGTTATCCTCTACCAATATGCCATAAGGCTCTAGGAAATCACCGAAGTGAAACTGATTGGGGAATGCTGCCATCTGCTGAGGTTCTATGAAAACCGGATCCACAAGCGCCATCATTTTGCCGCCGTTCAGCAAAAAGTTGCTCAAAGTCTCATACTCTTGAGTCGTCATTCGCTGCGTTGGTCCGGCAACCACCAGAACATCGATGCCAGTAAGGTCTAAGGGTATTTCGTCGCTAGACAACAGTTCCGCGATATTGTATTGCTGAGAGAGAAGCCTTCCCAGTTCATTGTAGTTTTCTTGAAGCGGCTTCTCACCGTGTCCGGTCAGAAATGCAATAGTCTTGCGCTCTACATCCTGCTGAATCATGTTGTATGCTAATGTTGCCACGCGGTACTCAAAACCGTCGAGCGAGCGAACAAATGGAATGACTTCACGCCTGTCAGTGTAAGTCATCGTTAGGCCTAGGAATCCGTTTTTGATTTCTAACCCGTTGGGCGTCTGTACATTGAACTGCTGAGGTTCAATGCCGGCTAACTGCGCCTTTCGTGCAGTATCCTGAGCCTCTCTGTAAGCATTTGTGGCGTCATTCAAGGCCGCTTCCGCACTGCGCGACGGTCGCCTCGTCTTCAGCACTTAGTATGGCATCCTGGGCCCTTTCAAGCGCTCTCTGCGCTTCGTCCAGCGCCTGAAAGTCCAGGAACCTTCGTACCAGTTTCACCTGTCCTTTAGAGTTTCCGGCGAGGTCTTCGAGGAAATCGTTGATATCTCGAGCCACAAGATCAACTTGCACGGGTGGTTCCTTTGACTCGTAGAGTTCAATAGTAAGCAGATCATCAAGGCCGGACAGAATTTGTTCTGTACCGTCACTGAGAGTGAAACACTTTGTCTGCTGTCAAATCTAGCCGGCCCTTTACCGATGTCCCGAACCACCCTATGAGGATGACTCAACACGATGAGGGCCGCCGTACCGAGCTGAAGGTTGCGATACTGAATCGTGCGGTGGCTCAGTGTTCTTCCGCGCACGCTCAGGAACGTTGCGCTTAGAAATGTCGATACAAGGGCAACGAAGTATAGAACGTCACGCAGATCGATGACGCCGCGAGCGATGCTTGAAAAGTGCGTTACAGGGCTCAATGACTGCAACAGCGCGGCGAACTGCCCAGGAAGAGTTACGCTCACCGCATCCAACCCGAGCAGCATTAACACCAGAGTCAGGAAAAGTCCCAAAATAAAGGAAACTATCTGATTGCGTGTCAGGCTTGAGGTGAACAGTCCGATCGAGACCAGAGAGGCTGCGAGAAACACGCTGCCGATGTACTGAGCGGCGATTGCCCCCCAATCAAGGTTACCAGCGGTCATCAGCGAAATAGGTATGCCGACCGTGGACGCGATGGCGATTGTGACGAAGACAAGCCCTGCCGTAAACTTGGCTAGCAGGATCACCCAGCCTTGTATGGGATGCGTAAGAAGGATTTCAAGCGTGCCGTCGCGCTGCTCCTCGGCGAGAAGTCGCATCGTGGCGGCAGGAACCAGAAGCGCGAGGAGCCAAGGTATGACGGGCTCTCCACCGCGAAATCCACTGTAAACAGAGGGCGCAGTGACGCCTCTGAAGTTAGGAATGCCGATCGGAAGAAGGACCACGACAACAACGCCAGGAAGACGACTATGAGGATGTAACCCGTAGGCTGGTCGAAATAGCCTTTAAGGTCTTTGCGGATTAGCGCGCGAAACGATCGCATTTGCTAGTCTTCACCCTCCGAGCTTTCAGGTGCTGACCTGGCGAAGTTAGAGAATAAAACACATCTTCCATTCGCGCTCGGTCTTCCCGCAATTCCCAGAGCACCCAGTTTCGCTTTGTCGCAAGGCGGAATATATCGGGGCGCAAGTCGGCATTTTCCTCGTCGGAAGTGATCACGTATCGCTTCTCTGCCGTCAATAGAATCTTCGCGCTCGATTTCGCCAACGCCTGGTAGGGTCGCAAGAGACTTTTCCACTTCGTTACCCTCAAGCTCGATGTGTACGGTGCGAATTCCTTGCGCTCGCTGCAGCAGGTCCTTCTACTGGGCTGTCGGCGACTAGCTTGCCGCGGCTTATCAACAAAATGCGCTCGCAGGTATTCTCAACCTCTTGCATTACGTGGGTACTGAGCATAACCGTTCTCTCCTGTCCTAGAGAACGAATGAGGTCTCGGATGGTTAGTCGCTGGTTTGGGTCCAAACCCTCAGTGGGCTCGTCCAAAATGAGAATTGACGGACGATGCACAATTGCCTGCGCCAAGCCAACCCGCTGCTTATATCCCTTGGAAAGCTGTCCGATGGGGCGCGAATAGACCTCTTGCAGTCCAGTCTCTTCCACAGTCTGAGCGATGTTTTCGCGTCTTCCAGACTTTGGTCAGGCCGCGCAGGTCGGCGACGAAGTCAAGGTACTCACTCACGAGGAGGTCGGCATAGACAGGATTGTTCTCCGGCAGGTATCCGATGCGCTCCCGCGTGGCGATATCGTGCTCCTTCGTGTCGAGGCCGTCAATGTTGATCCCTCCAACATCGGGCGTGTAAAAGGATGTGAGCATTCGCATTGTGGTCGTCTTAGCCGGAACCGTTAGGACCAAGGAATCCGACAACTTCGCCCTTCTTGACAGTAAAGGTCAAATTGTTTACTGCCGCAAGTTCGCCAAAGAATTTCGAGACGCCATTGACCTCAATGCTTACGTCAGCAGAGGCTGCGTCAGAGAGTGGCCTGATTAGTCATCTCGGCAGTTGCCATGGAGCGATGCCTCCAAAATACTCACGCCGACCGCAGGAGTTCGGTCGGCATCTTTCCGTAGGCGTACCCTAAATGAATTATAACAAAATGTAATTGATGCGAACGAAAGGGCAGACCCAAGACCTGCCCCTGACATTAACTTACTGCTTTATTCGCCTAATCGTCGTAAGGAGCGGGGAGCTTTGGCGGATTCAGCTCTGTGATAAGCGATTCGCTTGTGAGAATCATGCCAGCTACGCTTGCTGCATTCTCGAGCGCAGACCTGACGACCTTAGTAGGATCGACTATGCCCATGTCAAACATGCTGCCGAATTCGCCTTTTTCGGCGTCGAATCCATAGTCTCCTTCTCCGCTGCGGACGGCGTCCAGTACGACAACTCCGCTGTAGCCCGCATTGTCTGAAATCAACGTGAGAGGAGCATCTGCGGCGGAGAATGTTATTTCGGCGCCTGTGAGTACGTCGCCGGAGCATTCAATCGCCGCCCGTGTCGCCTGTGCGGCGCGCAGGAGAGTCGTACCGCCGCCGGGCACAATTCCCTCTTCCATGGCGGCCCGCGTCGCTGCGAGTGCGTCCTCGAGCCGGTCTCGTTTTTCGCGAAGCTCGATCTCGGTCGCCGCACCAACTTTCAAAATAGCGACACCGCCAGACAACTTGGCAGCGCGCTCTTCCAGCTTCTCGCGGTCATAGTCGGATGCCGTATCCTCCGCCTGCTGGCGAATCTGGTGTATGCGAGCTTCGATGTCCTGTGGGTTGCCGTTACCCTCAACGAATGCGGTGTCATCTTTAGTGGCAATCACCCTGCGACAACGACCTAGGTCTTCCAAAGTGGCTGAGTCGAGATTGCGACCGATGTCGGTACTGATGACATTGGCACCGAATAGAACTGCCATATCATCGAGGATTGCCTTGCGGCGCTCGCCGAAGCCCGGCGCCTTTACCGCAAGAACATTAAGATTGCCTCGCAACTTGTTAACAACCAATGTTGCTAGCGCTTCGCCTTCGACATCTTCTGCGATGATGACTATGTTTCGGCTCACTGCGTTTAGCTGCTCAAGCAAGGGGAGGACGTCTGAAATCGATGAAATCTTCTCGGATGTCAGAAGGATGTATGGGTCATCAATCTCCGTAACCATCTTCCCTTGATCGGTCACGAAGTAGGGCGAGAGGTAGCCACGGTCGATTTCCATCCCTTCAACATATTCCGTCTCATAAACAAGAGTTCTGGACTCCTCAACGGTGATGGTGCCCTGCGCGCCAACCTTTTCCAAAACGTCGGCTATCAGATTGCCCATTTCGTCCTCGTGAGCGGCGAGTACAGCAATCTGCGCTACCTGTTCGCGCCCCGCAACAGGGACTGACATAGCGATAATCTCGTCCTTCATGGCATCGACTGCAAGTTCGATGCCCTTCTTCAGCGCCATCGGATTCGCGCCGGCTGCCATATTCTTGAAACCCTGTTGAATAATGCTCTGTGCAAGTATGGTTGATGTGGTAGTCCCATCGCCGACTACATCGTTGGTCCTGCTTGCCGCCACTTTTACGAGCTGGGCCCCCATATTCTCGAACGGTTCTTCAAGCTCGATCTCCTTGGCGATCGTAACGCCGTCGCTGCATATCTGCGGCGGTCCAAACTCTTTGTCCAGCATAACATTGCGTCCGCTCGGGCCCAATGTAGCTCCTACGGCCTTCGCCAGCGTGCCTATGCCATCCAGGAGTTGGCCCCACGCTTCTTCCCGGTTTCGGAATTGCTTTGCCATCTACAACACCTCTCAATTGGTATAGCTGAATCTATAAGACGGTCAGCATATTCTTATGATTTCAGTCCTGTTAGCTTTTGAGCGACGAAGCAAGAACCCGCCACGCCATCTTGCATTATACAGGGCATTGGCGCTCGCTGCCAATAAAAGAGCAGTCTAAGCTCTTGACCTGATCGATCGCAGACGACTTACCAGTACCTTGCCTTACTGGTGCTCTATTGATGCACTGCACTGCCTACGCCGCCACCGGTGGCGATTGCCTCGCCGGTGATTGAACCAGCCTTGGGCGATGCTATGAATGCCACGACGTATGCGACTTCGGAGGCGTCGATGATACGCCCAACCGCGATCCCAGATGCCACCTGCGCCTCGACTTCAGCGCGCGTCGTGCCTTCCCGTTGCGCCTGCGCTTCATACATAGGAGCGGAGCGTTCAGTGATAGTGGTGCCGGGGTGTATGACATTGACTGTTATGCCGTACTGCCCAAGCTCCGCGGACATAGTCTTCGTCATATGGACCAGAGAAAGATTACGCAAACCGCTGTAAGTGCCAGAGTTTCGCGCAGCCAGCCCACCAATAATGATAATGCGTCCCCAGCCGTTGCGCTGCATGTGCGGCGCAGCAGCCTTCGAGCAGCGCAAATACCCCACGACTTTGGTATTTAATGTCCGCCAGCAGGTCATCCGTGTTCGCGTGAGCCAAACCACCTCCGACCAAACCGCCTGGTGCGGCGGCGTTGTTCACCAGAATGTCTATGCCTCCAAGTTCGTCTGCCGCGATGTCAACAAGAGTCTGCACTTCATCGTCCTTGGTTGTGTCTGCGCGAACCGCGACCAGTTTTCTACCAACGCCTGACAAATTGTATCGGCGCGCGCGAAATCCCGAACCGAAAGCAGTCGAGTTGACCCTTTCCTGTCCCATTGCAGGCGCTATATCGCGAGCTGCTTCGTCGAGAGCGTCCAAGTCGCGGGCTGCTATGGCAATATCGACGCCCTCTCTGGCAAGCTCTAGGGCTATCGCCTTACCGATACCGCGACTTCCACCGGTTATGAGTGCTTTCTTACCGCTGAGTTCCAAGTCCATTTTCACTCCTCCAGAACCTGCGTGTCATGTGGCTTGTTGCAGTAATCGTTGGCTTAGCAGAGATCAGGTGTTGGGATTCTTCTGTCACAAGTACCGGTGGAAGAATTCGAACGCCTTGTTTGCCGCGAATGCGTGCTCCCCCGGATGAATATCCGCCCATAGATGTTCGGACGCTTCGGCGGCGGCGTAGATTCGCTTTACTCCTTCAAAGCCGCTCAGCATGTCCTCGATAGGAAATGTTGTGTCGTGGACACCCATCTCAACGAGCAAAGGTCGAGGGGCAATGAGTCCTGCGATGTCGTGAGTGTCCAGGTATCTGTACACCTCGGGCACAATTTGGGAGCCGCAGAAATTGGCATTCGCAATGCCGAATTCGGCCCATGGGTTAAGATATCCGATGATGTCGGCGGCCTTGATTCTAGGCTCGATTGCCGCAGTGTAGGTTGTCATTGTTCCACCTTGCGACAGCCCCATCATCCCGATTCTCTCCGGATCAACTTCGGGCCGGCTTTGCAGGTAGTCTATGCTACGCATCATGTCCCAGATGTTCAGTGTGAGAGTGTATATGCCCATAACCGCGCCGCGTACGAAGTGAACATTGCAACGGTCGCGGCCCGGATAGGGATCCGACCCATCGGAACGTTCACCGAAGCACCTAAGGTCTGGACTTATCGTCAGAAAACCCCTGCGAGCCATTTGCTCAGCGTAGTTATAGTTGTGCCTTGCAATATTAGCCCGCATTGCCTCGGATGAGGCGTTGCCTGCAACAGGTTCCTTGCCGAAGGGACCGTGCCCGTGGCTGCACAGGATCGCCGGTGAACTTCCGTCGTTAGGCATATCGGCAGGTTTGAGGATCACACATGGCACCGACATGTGCTCTTCCGAATCAAAGACCACACGCTCACGTACAAGCCCGTTGTCTTCAACCGAATAGACGACTTCGGGTGCGGGGTCAACGGGTTCGGGAATTCCCCTAGAACATCTATCAACGTTTCAAGCGCAGCACCACGCCAAGCTTCCCAGTCCGCCTTTGTCTCACCTCGAAATGCAAGTCGCGGCGTCCAGCTATCGGCACGGCGATTGAAATACTCAATCATTGAGAAGTTGCGGCGAGCCATTCTGCTATCCCCCGTTTTGGCGTAGAAGCGAATCTGAACTGCGGGAAGCGTGCCAATCATATCATATTCCTATAAGTGCTATAGGATTCTGACGCTCAACTTGGCACTGGGCGTCTGTGGCGATATAATCGTGCAAATCGCCGATACTTCCACACAGAAATGAGACCCACGTGGGGCGGAAAAGGAGCATCAGATGGCAAGCGCAGAGTTGCAGGATCTACTGGAAATGTTCGCGGAACGCGCCATGGCGAACGCGGAAATAACTCCGACGCTGGAAGAAAGGCGAGCGGGCATCAACCTGATGGGCAAGAGGTTCGAGAACCTCGAAGGCATCAGCACTGAGTCGGTCGATGCGGATGGCGTTCCGGCAGAGTGGGTATTAGCGGAAGGTACTGGCAACGGCGTGATCCTTTACCTGCACGGAGGCGGATACGTGACAGGCTCCGTGATAAGCCACAGGGGTATGGCTGCGAATCTGTCCCGGACGAGCGGTTGCCGCGTGCTAAATGTAGATTACAGGCTTGCGCCTGAACATAAGCATCCCGCCCAAGTTGAGGACGCGCATACGGCTTATCGGTGGCTGCTGAACAATGACATTGATTCCTCATCGATTGTGGTTGCAGGAGATTCCGCAGGTGGCGGACTTACGGTAGCAACTCTACTCTCGGTGCGAGACGCGGGCGACCCGATCGCAGCAGCAGGTGTCTGCATGTCGCCGTGGGTCGATATGGAGGGCATCGGCGATTCCATGACTTCCAAGGCCGGCATAGACCCAATGGTTTCACAGCAAGGGCTGTTGGAAATGGCGGGACACTTCCTCGGCGGGGGGGATACTCGGGATCCGTTGGCTGCACCGCTCTATGCAGATCTCGCAGGGTTGCCGCCTCTGCTCATCATCGTAGGCACAGCTGAAGTATTGCTGGACGACGCCGTGAGACTACACGAAAGGGCAGAGGCCGCAGGGGTGGACAGCACGCTGGAGGTCTGGGACGACATGGTGCATGTCTGGCCGTGGTTCGCGCCATTTCTGCCGGAAGGTCAGCAAGCGGTAGATCGCATGGGCGACTTCATAAAGGAACAAATCGGCGTTGCGGTTAGCCCAGCATAAAAGAAGAGGATTGGAACTTAAATGAACGGCCTTACTTCATCAAGGACCCGTCACTCAAGCTACGAAGACGCTCAAGAGTATTACATGTCTGATGGGATGGGCGACGGATTGCCCGTCGTGCCGCCGACGGAATCCATGGTGCAGGCGATGCTCGACTACGCTGGGCTTGCGCCTTCAGACATCATTGCGGAAGAGGGCGTGCGCGGCGTCTCGTTCACCGCCGAGAAAGTTGCTATCAACGCGGTTATGGCAGGATGCAAGCCGGAGTACATGCCGGTAATCGTGGCAGCGGTGCTGGCGGTGTCGGAGCGTCCGTTCAATTTTCATGCCAACAGCACATCGACCAACGGAGTGAGCGTACTGGTCATTGTCAGCGGCGACATTGCCAAGCAGATTGGCATCAACTCAAGCACGGTGGCGATGGGGCATGGATTCCGCGCGAACGCCACCATCGGGCGCGCGATGGGGCTTATCAAGATAAATGTGTACGGTTCCGTGCCACACGGTATGGATAAGAGCACCTTCGGGCATCCTGGCAAGTATTCGTTCTGCTTCGCTGAGAGCGACGACGTCATACCTTGGGAGCCTTTGCGAGTAGAGAAGGGATTCAAAGAATCCGATAGCACCGTTACAGTATTCGCTGCGAATTCGCCGGTGCAAGTGAACACTCAGAATGAGAGCGCGCCGGAAGACTTTCTGAGCATTGCGGCCGACGCATCAATCGTACTGGGCGAACGTCACTCCGAATTTGTGCTTGCACTTAGCCCTGAACTGATGAATTACATACGCACTGCGGGATGGACGAAACAACGAATCAAGGAATTCATGCTGGAACGAGGCACAAGGACGGGGCGTGAACTGAACGAAAAGCACCGGCGCATCACTCTGTACACCGGGGACGACCTCGATAGGCGGATTCCTGTGGTATCGAGTACGGATGAGATAACGGTTGTGGGAGCGGGGGGCGACGCGGGGCCCTTCGCCATGCTGATCGGCGCGTGGGGTGATGTGATTTCAATTACCAAGGAAATCCGCACATAGCGGATTTCAAGAAGCAGATTCAGACTTAGAGGTGAATGCTATGACTCAAGAGAACGAACTGATTACACTTGATCCGCGTGGTGGGAGCATGCACGAGAACACTGGAATAGCTCAGCGTCCGGGCACCCTTGACGGACTGGTCATAGGACTGCTGTCCAACAACAAGCCGAATTCTGAATTGCTGCTGCGCGACGTTGCGAACCTCGTTAAGAAGCAGTACGCAGTCAAGGATGTCGTGGAGGCGAATAAGGGCTCGCACCGCATTCCAGCGCCTGCTGAGATGATTGCCGAGCTGGCCGATCAGTGCGATGTTGTTATTGCCGCGACAGCGGAGTGAGGAAGTTGCACATCCTGCTGTATGCAGGACGCGGCCGCTCTGGAGAGGCTCGGCATCCCTTGCTCAGTCCTAGTGACAAGGCCATTCAATACTCAAGCGCGAGCAATGACTAATTTACTGGCTATGCCGGGATACGAGTACGCCGTCATAGGTCATCCGATGGGCAGCCTGAACGAAGAACAGGTGATGGCACGCGCGGAAGAGGCGCTGCAGCAAACGCTAAGTCAGTTGGTTAGCTAACGGGCATTACAATCATTTAGTAAGATTCCAAGTCTGTGGTCCGGCTCGCTGCAAGTCTGAGCCGGAGTCTGAATCAGGCGTTTTCGGATAAGAAGCGGTTCACCTCTGCCATTGAGGGCATCGCGGTAGTATCGCCATTGCGGGTGCAGGTGAGTGCGCCGCACACGTTCGCAACTCTGAGGGCGTGAGTGAGAACAGGTATGCGTCCTTCGGGTTCCATAGCAAGGAACGTCTTGAGATCGGTGTTCTCAAGAACGGTGCCCAGAAATCCGGCGACAAATGCGTCGCCTGCACCCACAGGGTCAACGATATCTACTTTGTAGCCGCCGTGTGCCAAAAGATTCACACCGTCGAACGCCACCGCCCCTTCCATGCCTCGGGTTACAACGACTATACCTCCGTTAGATTGCTGGAAGTGACGGGCGTACTCCTCCGCACTCCATCCCCATCCCCATATATTCTCTGCCTCGTCATGACCAACTTTGAAGAAATTGGCGTATTCCGCCATCCGCTCAAAAACTTTGGCTGCGTCCGAAGGCGACCAGAGTTGTTCACGGTAGTTCAGATCGAAGCTAATTGGTATGCCGCCCTTCCTCGCATAATCGAGAGACTCCATTACCGTGTCATGGCAGGCGCTGCTGAGTGCAGGCGTGATCCCAGTGACGTGTAGTACATCGGCTTCTTGCAAATGTGGACGGACATCGGCGAATGTGAGACGGCTGGCGGCACTATCTTTCCGAAAGTAGGTCTTGTAGTGGACGCCGTCAGTGTGATGGTTGAGGTATGAAATGCCTGTATTTTCCCCTGTGAATTTGTTTGCCTTCACAGAGATGCGACCCTCCAGTTCGTCGAGTACGAACTGTCCTGCTTCATCGTCACCCAGCCTGCTGACCCATACAGCTTCGATGGCCGAACCGCAGAGTTTCCGCAAACCGACGGCTACATTTGACTCTGCGCCGGCGCAATCCAACATATACGAGCCTTCAGCGCCATAGACGCCAGTAAAGTTGGCATTGTATTGTCCCATTGTCTCGCCAAAGGTTAAAAACTTTTTCATCCTAATATCCAAAGATAGTATTGGAATTCGCAAGCTTTGCCATTACAGCACACGATAATAATAATCATGCAATATTGCTTGTAAGTTAACGAAGTAGGTAATTATACTGCACTAGAATACTTGAATTATATTGCATATATTAGAGTTGGTCGGTCGTGAAACTGTAACGGCAACTCTAGACGAAGACTGCGAACAGATTTCTCTGACTGCTCGCATTGAGAATGTCTTAATCATTTGTTCTAGTATAACGCGAAGCTCCTTGTTGTCAAGAACCACGCCAAAGACCCCTCGTGCATCGCCGCTATCAAGTGCCAATACATTCGGGCAAAGGATAGAAGAACTTGGCTCAGGAAGCGTTAAGGGCTCCACCAGCAACGGCACAATCTTCATCCACAACTGCCGAAGTGCCGGTTGCCGTAAGGCGGCGGCGCACTGACTCCATACTCGCATCGCCGATATTTGAAACGCTACATATACGCGACTTTCGCTGGATATGGATTGGATCGTTCATCTCCTTCATGGCGATGAATATGCAGATGATCACACGGGGCTGGCTCGTGCTGCGTCTGGAGAACGACTCGCCACTCGCACTGGTGCTGGTCATGGTGTCCTTTGCAGCGCCAATGACGGTAGTGTCGCTTGTGGGCGGAGCACTAGCCGATCGATTTCCCAAGAAGAATCTGATAATTTTGAGTCAGAGTGGGAACGCGGTCATGACATTTGGGCTTGCAATGCTGGATGCCAGTGGTGAGATATGGTTTGGAGCAGTGCTGATTATCGGCGTCATCAATGGCTCGATGATGGCGATCAACATGCCGAGCCGTCAGGCAATTATTTCGGACATAGTACCAGAGTCGAAGCTGATGAACGCCGTTGCGCTGAACAATTCGGCGATGAATCTGACGCGCATCATTGGGCCGGCAATTGCGGGCTTTCTGATAGTCTTCATCGATACCTCCGGTGTGTTCTATCTCATTTCAGCAATATATGTGCTGTCGGCGCTTTCGCTGCTGATGGTCAAGACGAACTCTGTCCAGACAAATGGTGTGAAAAAAAGCGTCGGCAAGGACATCTTCGAAGGGCTGCGGTATGTCTGGAGTGACGTGCATCTCCGTGGCCTCATATTGATGGCATTCCTGCCGTCACTTTTCGGATTCACGCTGTTCGCGCTGCTGCCGGTCTGGGCTCGCGAAGCACTGAATGTAAACTCGTCAGACCTCGGCATACTGATGACGATGATGGGAGTGGGCGCGCTAATCGGAACACTTGGGCTTGCTGCTGTGCGAAAGTTCGACAGGCGGGGTATTTTACTGCTGGGCCTGGGGGTGTTCTGGGGCATAGCGTTAGTCGGACTCGCGAACTCGATGATATTCCCGGTTGCGGTGCCGTTTCTGATCATTATCGGATTGGTCAGCTCTATATATATGTCGCTTAACATGACCCTGACCCAACTCTCTGCTACGCCGGAAATGCGCGGGCGCGTGATGAGCATCATGATGATGACCTTCGGGCTGATGCCGATCGGAGCGCTGCCATTCGGCACGATAGCAGAGTACATTGGGACCGCGAACTCACTAACGATAAGCGGGATATTGTTGTCTCTGCTGACACTGGCGTTTGCCTTCGCGTATCCTGCGTTCAAGAAGATTGAGTAGCTGCGCGACGCGTGTTACTCTTTCTGACGACGATTCAAAGGAGGAACGCAATGCCTTCCACTGAGATGACAGGTATGGTTCAAACGGTGTTGGGACTTGTGCAGCCATCAGAGCTGGGTCCCACAATGACGCATGAGCACCTGTATATTGACTTCTCGTTCATGTACAGGCCGCCGCAGGACTCGGCGCTGGACCTGGCGGATGACCCCATAACACTGGAGAACGTGGGATGGGTGCGGTACAACTATTACAGTAACCACGCAAATCTGCAGCTGATGGACTTGGATGCGGCCGTGGCGGAGGTAGCGCTGTACAAGGCTGCGGGCGGAGGCGCGATCGTAGATGCCACTACGATTGGCATTGGGCGCAACGCAAAGGCGTTGGAGCGGATCTCAAAGGAAACGGGCGTGCATGTGGTGATGGGCGCGGGGTTCTATGTGGACGCGGTGCATCCTCATGACATGCACTTGCGAAACGTGGATGTGGTTGCGCAACGGATCGTCGATGACATCAGGAATGGTGTGGACGGCACCGGGATCAAGGCGGGCATTATCGGCGAGGTGGGCTGCACCTGGCCGCTTACCGATAACGAGCGCATGTCGCTTAGGGCGGCGGCGGCGGCGCAGCAGGAGACGGGCGCCAGTGTGCTCATACATCCGGGGCGGCATCCGGATGCGCCCGCGGAGATTCTGGAGGTGCTTGCCGACGGCGGAGCGGACATATCACGGGTGATTATGGGGCATCTGGACAGGACGGTATTCGACCTGGACAGCCTGCTGACCATAGCATCTTCAGGCTGCTACCTCGAATGGGACCTGTTCGGGAACGAGGGATCATACTATCCGCTGGCGGACCTGGATATGCCGAGCGACGCGCAGCGGCTTGACCTCATAAAAGGCGTGACAGACGCTGGCTACGCGAACAAAGTGGTTGTCGCACAGGACATCTGCACGAACCACCGGCTTGTGCGCTATGGGGGCCACGGGTATGGGCACATCCTCGCGAATATCGTTCCCAGGATGCGGCGACGAGGCTTCTCGGATGATGTAGTCGAGGCGATTACGGTGGGCAATCCTGCCAGCATCCTGACGTTTGCGTAGAAGCGGTCAGCAACCAGCGTTCAGCCTTCGGGGATACCGACGACCGGGAGAAGTCGAGGATTCACCCCCACCCTAGCCCTCCCCCATCGAGGGGGAGGGGATTTAATCGGGCTAGACTAGGACGCCGAATCCGGACTTGGTGCAGATTTCGATGCGGTTGCCTTCGGTGTCGGAGATGAAGAAGACGCGCTGGCCGTCGTTGCGGACACCAATCTCAGGGCTTTCTATCTTGACGCCCTTCTCCTTGAGCATCTCGTAGGCAGCATCGATGTCATCGACCTCGAATGCGCCGTGGTGGGACGGCTCGGAGATGCCGCCGGCGTTCTCGATGAGATGCACCATAGTGCCGCTGGGGAGCTGGAGCCAGATGATGTGCTCGCCGTCAACTGCCTTGGGAATCTCCTTGACGCCGAGAACGTCCACCCAGAAGCGGGTCGCGCGCACCTTGTCTATGACGTTGTAGGTGAGGTGGTTAACTGCGGTCAGCCTAACCGATGGGTCTGCGAGTACCATTAAATTCTCCTTGTCTGAGCCTGAATTGTCTGAGCCATTGATCGGAGTTCGCAGAACATCTTATCACGAGCAGCAAGGGTTGGTGGCATCAACCGGAATCGGCTAGACTTGGGACTGCTAGGCTTACATTGCCTCAGCATCCATACTTCCGGCCGCACGGTGTTGTATAGATATGTGTCAGCATAAGCATGACAACGGCACGGATGACGAAAGCCATCCGTGGTCGCCATTTACGAACATACCCGGCAGCGGATTGCCGTGGCAAAAAGTTCTGATCCTCCTGGCTACGAACAACTGGCGCAAGATCAGGACGCTCAGCATGTGCTGCGGCAACTATAACAAGCCGGGCTGTTGACGCACCTGATCTGCACCGGCGTGTCCGGTCAAATCAAAACTGCTCTCAACTGAAATTGGTCCTCGCCGCATGAGTCACGGAAACTTCGGAAGGTGGGCTACGGACTGCGAATTGTGGGCTGTCGCAGGGTGCCTGCGAGCGGGTTGGGTAGAACGGGCACGCCGTCGCGTGCGGCGGCTTCCCTTATCCGACTGAGTGTGTCTGAGTATTCTGCATAAGCGGACGTTGGCGGAGTTTGTGGCTCTTTTGGGACTTCGCCTCTGGAAATTCCCCCGGTTTCGATGAGAACCTGATAGTCGAAGATTGCCTGGTCGTCGGGATTCAGAGGTTCGAAGTAGTAGTCAGCGGTCGGGTCGTGGTCGTTGGAATCGTAGTCGTAGAGGTTTCTGTCCTCAGAGACGGGGGCATTTGCGGACGGAGGGGTGTTTTCGCTGCCCTCACTCCAGCCCTCTCCCTGGGAGAGAGGGGCATTCTCGGTGGCGGCTTCGCGGTCTTCTATATTCCTGCTTTCGGAGGAATGGCGAGAAGATGGGACGGTCTCTTGGAAACGAAGAGGCTTTGAGTTGTCGTCTCGGTCTTCTTCTTCTCTGATCTCTTTGGCTATGGCTTCGTAGTCCACATCGTCGTAGTTGTCGTAGTCGTCGATGGTGGTTGAGAGGCCGGCCTGGGTCTTCTTCTGACCTATGGAGAGGCGCGGGGATTCCTTGTCGCGCCAGTAGGCTTGAAGGTGCTTGGGCTTGATGTTGTCGTAGTTGGTGTCCCAGCCACGGCGCAGAAGCTCCTGTGCCGCTGACATACGGTGATGGATGGTGAACTCTAGGTCAGGGTCGGGGTCTGACATCACTTCCAGCAGGAAGCGGACGGTGTCGGTGCCGCGCTCGCTGTACTCGCGCATTCGCTGGCGAGGTCTGTGTGCAGGGTGTCGTAGGCGTTTGCTTCGTCGTGTGGTCTGAGAGCTTGCGGCGTGAGCCGAGGTCTCCGAAGCCGCGACGCAGGAGTTCTCTTGCTGCTGCCATGCGGTCTGCGGGCTTGATGCGGAACTTCCTGGGTGTGAATGGCCTGTCCCTGCCGGTCATGATGTCCACGAGGAAGTTGACGACGGTGTGACCTTCGGCGTCTCGTGGCGTATGAGGTGGGCTATCTGGTAGTTGAGGATGTCGAGGTGGTTACGGGGGCGCTGAATGTTGCCTCACCCCTTCGCACTCAGGAGGCTCTACACCCTCTCCCCGGGGAGAGGGGACTTTGACGGGGTTTTCCGTGTCGCCCTGCTCCTCCCCGACTGGATTCCCGCCTGCGCGGGAAAGACGGTCAGAGGTGGTTTCGCAGTCGGTTGTCGGTGAAGCCGTACTTGATGAGGTGCTTTGCGCTTCGAGGCGGTGGTTGAACTTGGCGTCGGTGGTGCTGTCCCTGCATGGTGTCGACGAGGAAGGCGGCGATCTTTGTCGCCTTCCCTGGTGCGGTCGATGATGTTTTGGTTGGAGCTGTTTGATGGCACATAGTTTTCTGCAGTCTGTCAATTCATAATTTTCAATCTTATGTTCTATTATAGGTTCGCATTTTCGGGTTGTCAGAGTGATTTAGCGTTGAAGTTATGCGGTGTAAATATTTGATGAGACTAGGTTTTGTGTTGACATTTTTCGAGTTATCTCTCATTATTATCTTCCATTTCGAGTAAGCCAGAATCCTGAATCGGATATTGCCGTATGTACATACTGCGATGATGTATATGGGTCATCTGGGATCGGGTTTGACTCTCTGTGCAACTGGCTCAGATGCCTTGAAATTGATCTGTCGACCCGTTCCCAGCATGGCCATATGTAGCCGACGGCTGCGGCGAGCAGTGACTTTATAGCAACGTCTTACCTGTCAAGATGTTGGGATGATCGGATCCCATTTCTGACCTGTCCTCACCATGCTGTTGAGTATGGTCAACAACTTCCTCATGCACGCGGTGAGGGCTACCTTCTTCGGTTTACCGGCTTCCAGCAGGCGTTGGTAGAACTCACGCAGTACAGGGTTGCGACGACTGGCCACCAGTGCGCCCATATACAGCGTAGAGCGCACCGTAGCTCGACCGCCCCACACGGAACGCTTGCCTCGATGAGGACCGCTGTCCCGATTGAAAGGCGCCACACCGACCAGGGCGGCGATCTGCTTGCGGTTCAGCGTGCCCAGTTCCGGCAGATACGCGAGCAGTGTCAGCGACACCTGCGGTCCCACGCCGGGTACGCTGCGCAGAAGGTCATCCTTCTCACGCCATACGGGACTGTGCTGTATCCTCTGTCGCAGGTCTGTGTCCAGGTCGTCTAGCTCCTGCTGCAGCCAGCTGATATGGGCCTCTAAGCGAGGGCGGACTTCTGGAGTGGCGCGGCCAAGGCGGTTCTTCTCAGCAACCAAGATGCCCGACACCTGCCGCCTGCGCGCCAGCATTGCCCCGAGTGCCCGAGTATCAGCATCCCTCAGTGGACGGATCGCCGGTCGTACTGCTTCACCGAAGTGCGCCAGCACATGTGCATCCAGCCGGTCAGTCTTCGCCAACTGCCCGGTGGACTTGGCGAAGTCGCGCACCTGGCGGGGATTGACGACTGCAACTGGCAGCGATGCCGCGGCCAGAGCTGCTACCAAGGGAAGTTCCAGACCGCCGGTGGACTCCGTAATCACGCCTGCCGGCTTGAGATCCTTAAGTTGTGTAACCAGATCATCGACGCTGGCTCCGTCGTAGGACACGCTCCAGTTCCTACCAGTGGGTCTTACCGCGACATCTATCCGCTCTTTGGACACATCGATGCCGACATAGATGGATTCCTGCGACATACTCGCCTCCTTCATACTGGCCCTGCCTTGCAGATACGGGCTTGGTTAGCCCGGGCAACCGTTCGGGCTCTTCTGGAATGAGTGCGACGACCCTCGCTTTATGCCGGCCTCCTACGACCAATGTCCGGTCGGTCTGCCGCACTCGGAACCTGCTTCGTTAGGGGATTATCCCATACATGTCAAAGATACAAGGAGCGTGGCCTTGAGCCTCTTCGCAGTTGTGTCCGCTCACCCAGCTGATACGCCCTTGCCATGGAGGTAGAGATGATAGGAGTTGCAACTTATCAAATCATCGCGCAGCTGAGGTGATAATCGGAGTCGACACTCACAAGGACCAGCATGTCGCAGTGGCTATTGACGGGCTAGGTGTCCGACTTGGCGAGAGTTACGTGCCCGTGACCAGCTGCGGGTACGAGGAGCTCGAGCGGTGGTCCCGTAGCCTGGGAGAGATCCACGCGTTCGGGATAGAGGGCACAGGTTCATACGGCGCTGGAGTCGCACGCTTCCTGACCGGTCGGGGTTATACGGTCATCGAGGTCAACAGGCCGGATCGGTCGGTCCGCCATCGCAAGGGAAGAGCGATCCCACAGACGCCGAGATGGCAGCCCGTGCTGTGCTTGCGGTGTAGCCGACGCAACTTGTATGTTGTATTTGACTTGCAAACGTGACAGTTTGTGAGGTGGGTGAGAGGGGCGCGTCGTGAGCGACTGGGTGAGCCAGGCTGCTGCGCCGGGCTGCACCGTTTGGGAGTATGACACCCCTCCCGCCGCATTTGTGGCTCCGAACGGATACAAGGGCACGAGGCCCGCATCTACAAGTGTGGAGCACAACGGCATAATACGCACGGAGGTCAGACTATGGTAGTCGTAGCAGGTATAGATGTATCGAAGGCAACTCTGGAAGTGTCAGTTTCTGAAGGTCCTGTGCTCCGCTTTGAGAACAACGCGACAGGCATACGCGGGTTGCTCAGGCATCTGGAGCGGGCAGGTGTGACCAAGGCGGTGTGCGAGTTCACCGGTGGGTATGAGCGTCTTGTGGTGAGCAAGTTGAGGGAGACGGCGATCAACGTACAAGTGGCACACCCGGTCAGGGTGCGCGCATTCGCACGCGCATGCGGATACGAGGCGAAGACCGATCCTCTCGATGCCCAGGTGCTGTCCCGCTACGGCGTGGTGTTCTCTGAGTCGGATACAGCGCAGCCAGAGGCGGATCCTGACCGTGAGGAGTTACGCCAGTTGCTGAGCAGGCGTCGTCAACTTGTCGAGCAGCGCGTACGGGAGCGCAACCGACTGGACAAGGGCGTAAGTGCGAGCGTCGGGAAGTCGACCAGGCGGCACGTTCGCTGGCTTGACGGAGAGATAGATCGGCTGGACGAGGAGTACAAGGAGTTGTTGAAGCGCAGCGCCAGCCTCACTGAGACAGTCGAGCTGTATGAGACGGTACCCGGCGTGGGACAGCTGACCGCGGCTACACTGGTCGCATATCTGCCCGAACTTGGTGGGCGGGACGGACGGGCGTTGACATCGTTGGTAGGGCTGGCTCCTTGGTCGCGTGACAGCGGCAAAAAGCGCGGCAATCGGTCCATTCGAGGCGGTCGCGGTACGGTGCGCCGGTCGCTGTATATCTGTGCTTGGGCGGTGCTCAGGATGGATGGCGACCTACGCGACTTCTATCGGCGTCTCCGAGAGCGCGGCAAACCCGGCAAGGTAGCCGTGATAGCAGTGGCACGCAAGCTATTGATGCAGCTCAACGCCGTGGCGCGTCGAGGAACTCCCTGGGTGAAACGGCAGGGGAGCAGCTGCCCGCCCTATCAGGCCGATCCGGCTTGACAATTAACACGGATACTCCCAAGTCTGGCGAGGGCGAAGTCGAGATGATCCGCATGCTCAAGAGCACAAAGGACTCTGCCGTAAAGGCTCGCACCCAGGCTGTCAACCAGATGACAGCCCTGGTTGTTAACGGCTCTGCCGAACTTCGCGAAAGGCTCGATGGTCTTACCACCAGCGCTCTCGCCAAGCGATGCAGGAACTTCCGTCCCTCCGTCTGACGATCCCAAGGCAGCGGCAAAGTACGCTCTTCGCTCCCTTTGCCTGCCGCTACTATCGGCTCAGTGATGAGGTGCGGGACCTGGAGGCCGAGATGGAACGACTCACGCGGTCAGTCGCGCCGGCCCTGTCAACGCCTTCGGTGTGGACCCGACACGGCAGCCACTCTGCTGATTGCCGCATGGGAGTAATCCTGATCGGCTCCGCACTGAGGCAGCCTTCGCCTCGCTGTGCGGTGTAAATCCGATACCGGCATCATCAGGCAAGACGAACCGGCATCGCTCAACCGCGGTGGCGACCGTCAGGCCAATGCCGCGCTCTATCGCATCGTCATCGTCAGGCTCTGCCATGACGCGAGGACCCAAGCATACATGCGTCGTCGAACCACAGAAGGATGAGCAGCGCGATGTCATCCGCTGTCTCAAACGTCTATGTCGTTCGAGATTCTACTCAGCCACTCCAGAACCCTGCTCATGTACTAGAAAAAGCTGCTTGACACACTATAGGAGCGTCAATTTAGATTCTTCACTCACTCGTCAACTCCGCTGGCGTGCTGCGCTCAGAATGTGACACAGGATGATAGACGCCGCGTAATCAGAGATGCCAGAATAAACGCTAAAGCATTTCAGTTCGTAAACGCTTGTGTATCACATGTCAACAGAGCCTAGGCTGTAAGGACATTTTCCTATTTGTCGCCTGTCATTGCGAGTTTAGCCGTAATCTGAAGTCTGTGAGTGGTTTATGTGCACGAGTTTAGATTCATCTTCACTCCCCGCTGCGCTGTCGGTCAGAATGACAGGGTTAAGGCGCTGCTGTTCAGGATGACGGGGGCTGAGGGTGCACATTCAGAATGACAGGGACGAAGGTGCTACGTTCAGAATGACAGAATAAAACTACTCTTCAGGTCCAAGAAGCCTTGTGTATCAAATGTCAGTAGAACCTAACTAGGAACGGGGACAAATAGTACGGAGATAATACATGGAATTAGGGCATTCCGACCTGCGTTAGTTTGACATTTTGGATTGCCGTGCTATATTTGTCTAGGTTGAAGGCTCACGATTTATCGAATAGCAAGAGCCTAAATTTGGAGGAGATATGAGACGCATTTTACTTCTATTGGGCATCGGCTCAATAATGTCGCTGTTAATGGTATTGGCACTGGCATGCGCGCCTGCACCGGCGCCCACACAGCAGGCAGCACCGCAACCGGCTCCGGTTGCGCCACAGGCACCGGCTCCGCAGGCCCCGCAAGCGCCACAGCAGCCTGCGGCCCCCGCAATGCCAGCGCCTGCCGCTCCCGCGCCGGCAGCTGCAGCGCCACAGGTGTTCAGCCCTGCGCCACCGACGGGCAGAACGATTGCTACGCCTGTACGACAAGCCATGATGGAAGAGGCGCCTGACACCGGTCCTAAGTTCGGCGGGATATTCCGCTGGACGCCGCAGGCATCGGTGGCGAACCTGGACCCCACCCGGCAGACATCTTTCGTTACTCACTCGATTGTTTACCAGTGGTACGACTATCCGTTCGGCTGGAATCTGGACAGGGTTGCTCAGGAACAGATGGTGGATACGTGGTCGGTCAACGATGAGGCGACCGAGTACACTTTCTCACTTCGTGAGGGGTTGGAGTTTCATGACGGCAACCCCGTAACGAGCGAGGATGTAACGGCGTCGATCCTGCGCTGGAAGACTACACCCGGCCTTCCGGGGACGATGTGGGACCTTGCGGAACAGCCAACTGTCGAGGCTGTGGACGAGCTTACATTCAAGCTCAATCCGGGCAAGCCATTCGGTTTGTGGATTCCTTTCTGGGTATCACTGCCCACCTATGTGATGCCGAAGGAAGTTGTGGAACCTCTGGCAATCTCGGACATTATGACGGACTACACCGGTTCGGGACCGTTCAAGTATGTTGAGTGGATTCCCGGAAACCGCGTTGTGATGGACAAGAATGAAAACTACAACCCGCGCTCGGACGAACCTAATGGCGACGCAGGCGCGCGGATAGCGTATGTTGACCGTGTGATCAACCTAGAAGTGCCGGACGCGGCGACGAAACTTGCTGCGCTCCAGACGAAGCAGACCGACTTTGCCGAGGGCCTGCCGAACGACTTCTACGACACAATTGTGAATTCGCCGGGCATCAAGGCGGTGGTTATTCCCCAGTGGGCGAGGCCTCAACTTGGAACCAATAAGCGCAACCCGCCGCTGACTAGTCCAAAAGCGCGCCTCGCCATTCAGGCGGCAACCGACCCTGAGAAGTACCTCAGCGCCGCTTATGGCGGGCCCGACCTTTGGGACCTCGGGCCGTGCCTCTGGGCGTGCGGCGCACAATGGGGCAGCGATATCGGCGCGGAGCAGTACTACGAGGTTGACCTAGAAAAGGCGCGCGCATTGTGGCAGGAAGCAGTCGAGGAGACCGGCTTCTCCGGAAAAATGGTGCTACTGACGAATACGGACTACTCGGACTTCTACGCATCTGCCCTGATTACCAAGGAGATTCTGGAATCGCTGGGGGCTGAAGTCGATTTCCAGGTCAGCGACTGGGCGACCGTCATATCCCGCAAGGAATCGGCAAACGCACGAGACACGGTGGAAGAGGGCGACTGGCACTTCTACCACACCTGGGGCGGACCGCTTGATCCCATCACAGACTCTGCCATCGGGCAGACGTGGAACGGCGGCTATCACAACGAGCGCATAATCGAGCTGAGGGACGAGTTCCTGAATTCCACCTCACTTGAAGAAGCCAAGGCAATCACCGAGGAGATTCAGCGGATTTACTTCGAGGAAGACCCGGCGACGATCATGTACGGCTGGTTCAAGTTCGTGGTTGCGATGCAAGAAGATGTGCAGGGCTATGTGCCGCACAAGCGCATCCTGATGCAGGGCTTGTGGCTGGACAGGTAGCGACGGAGGGGACATAGTTCATCCGACGCTTTTACATCATAGAATTTAGTAGCAGAGGGGGTGCGGCAGAATTGCGGCACCCCCGCTTTTGAGCATATAGGGTCACAAAAATGGGACGTTACACGCTTCAACGACTTCTGGCAATGATTCCAGTGCTGGTAGTCGTGGCGATCGTCACCTTTTCGCTGATACACATTACGCCCGGAGATCCCGTTTCCCTGATGGCGGGAGACCTAGCGACGCCTGAGCAGAAGGAAGCGATACGCAAGGACATGGGTTTGGACAGACCCATTTACCAGCAGTTGGTAATTTACTTTGCGGATCTTCTGCGCGGTGACCTCGGCGAGTCGATATTCAACAAATTCAAAGTTACTACGCTCATCTCGCAGCGGCTTGAGCCTACGCTGTTCATCGCGGTGTTCTCGCAGTTGGTCTCGATAATAATCGCCATTCCTCTAGGCATTTTGGCGGCGTGGAAGGCGAATACGTGGATTGACCGCGTGGTGATGGTGATCGCGGTGCTGGGGCTTGCGATTCCTTCTTTCTGGCTGGGTGCGAACCTGATATGGGTGTTCGCGGTCAAGCTGCACTGGTTTCCGGCGTTCGGTTACATTCCGATATCTGAGGGCGTCGTGCCGTGGATAAAATCCATAACGCTGCCTTCAATATCGGTGGGGTTCATATCGGCGGCTCTGATAGCGCGGATGACGCGGGCGAGCATGCTGGAGGTGCTGCGGGAGGACTATGTTCGGACGGCGCGCGCCAAGGGCTGGGAGAGCAGGCGGTGCTGCTTGGCCATGCGTTCAAGAATGCATCCATTCCGGTGGTAACTATCATCGGCATAGGGATAGCGGGGCTGGTGTCAGGGCTGGTGGTTACGGAAGCTGTCTTCGGCATTCCGGGCGTGGGACGGCTTATCGTTGACGCGGTTAATCGGCGTGACTACCCGGTGATACAGGGCGTTATCCTGATGTTTACGGTGGCGTATGTGCTGATTAACCTAGTCGTTGACCTTATCTATGGCTACCTTGACCCGAGGATACGGTACTGATGGCGATCGACGAGCAGAGAGTGGGAGCCGCCGCGATGGGTCGGCGGAGCTTCTGGGACCGCAACCGCGAGAGGCTGACAGGCCTTTCAATTGGTGTTGCGGAGCAACCCGAATATGGCAATTGGCTTGTTTATCCTAGTGTTAGCTGTGATGTTGGCGGCATTTGCGCCATTCATTGCTACAGACGCCCCAAAGGAGCTGTTCACCGAGCCCAGGCTGCAAGCTCCTTCAAGAGAGGCTTACTTTGGGACGGACAGCGTGGGCAGGGATGTGTTCTCGACGGACGATATACGGCAGCCGGTTGTCGCTGGGATCGGGGCTTCAGTAACCATCCTGACGCTAATCGGCGGCGTGGTGATCGGGATAACTGCGGGGTATTACAAGCTGGCGGATAATGTGGTGATGCGGTTCATGGACGGGCTGATGGCGTTTCCGTCATTCCTGCTGGCGATCGCGCTTGTGGCGCTGCTGGGAGCGAGTTTTCAGAATGTGGTGCTCGCGCTGTCAGTGGTGGAGACGCCGCGGGTGGTGCGTATCGTGCGGGGGTCGGTGCTGAGCTTGCGGGAGCGGCAGTATGTGGAGGGGGCGCTTGCTGTGGGGGCGAGGCCGCTGCGGATACTTGCGACGCACATATTCCCGAATCTGGTTGCGCCGCTGACGGTGCAGGCGACTTACGTGTTCGCGCTCGCCATATTGGTTGAGGCTGGGCTGAGTTTCCTGGGAGCGGGGTGCCGCCGGATGTTCCGAGCTGGGGGAATATGATGGGGGACGCTAATCTGCTCAAGCAGCTGGCGCCGTGGATGATATTCTTCCCGGGATTGTTCCTGTCGCTGACGGTGCTGGGGGCGAATCTGCTTGGAGACGGGTTGCGGGATACGCTGGACCCGCGGCTGCGTGGGACGGGATAGGTCGCTTTCAGTTCACAGCCTTCAGTGCTAAGAATGATGGCTGTGGGTGCGAAAGCGCTATCTTCAGGATTCGTGCTCTCTGTCTTCACAGGGGCATGCTTCGCGGGGATGACGACGGGCATCACACTTCCCTACCCTTGCGGTTCGGTGATTTCGAGGACCTGGTTGGTGGGGATGTTCTGGAGGGTTTGGGTTGTGCCGCTGGGCCAGAGGATTTCGATGGTTTCGACCGTGGATGCGCGCCCGAGACCGAATTCGAGGTCGAGGCTGTCCATGGAGAGGTAGCTTGAACCCGCGATGATTTCCTGTACCTGTATGTGGGGCTGGGCGTCGGCTGTTGGTCTGGTGGTGAGATAGACGCGCGCGCCGATGGCGTCGGCGTTGCTGCCGGTGCCATCGATTGCCATGCGTCCTTTCAGGCGGAGCGTGAGCCAGCTGCTGACGCCGCCACCATTTAGCCAGACGAACATGGGGCCAGGAGCCGCTCGTGTGGGGGCTTCACCGGCCGTGGGGTCGTATGGGCCGGAGAATATGGGGCCGCTGCTGTTGGTGGCGATGAGGTCGGGGTAGCCGTCGCCGTTGAGGTCGCCGTGCGCGACACCCTTGCCGTTCTCGTGGAGCGCCGTGTCTATGCGGCGTATTTTGAGCAGGATGGGGTCATTCATAGCGGCTTCGTCTTCGTCTAGGTCTTCGTAGTTGACGCGGGATATGTCGAGCAGGTGGGCGCGGACGGTGATGTCCTCGAATGCGCCGTTGCCGAGGCTTCGCAGCATGCGTCCTGCCGCCGGGAATACCTGACCGCCGGGGCCTTCTCCCCTGCCGAGCGTGGAGCCAAACCAGTAGAGGTCCTGGTAGCCATCATTGTCGTAGTCGAGGAAGGTTGCGCCGAAGCCGAAGTCGTAGGCGGCGAGGCCGGTCGGTACGTGATGCGCGAGGTTGAAGACCGAAGAGTCGAGAGAAGCGGGTGGCAGCCAGGGGCTTGGAACTACGCGTGTTGTGGGTGCGACATCCGCGAACTGACCTGCGCCTTCGTTGCGAAGCAGGAAGTGCCCGCATGTGCCCCAGCGGAATCTGCCGACGTATTCGCAGTTGCCGCGCGGCCTTTCCACCGGCTCCTGGAGCAAGGGATGGAAGCCGATATTCGTGGAAAAGACGTCTAGGTCCGCGTCGGCGTCGTAATCGCCAATGGCAAAGCCCATCCACGAACCGGCTACATCAATGCCAAGTTCACGTGCCACGGGGGTAAAGCGAACACTCTCCTGTGTGGTGTCGTTGCGGAAGATGTGCATTCTGTCGCCGTCGTTAGCTACCCAGAGGTCGGCGTCTCCGTCATCGTCATAGTCGAAGAAGGCGACCGCGTGCGTTTGCCCGGTCGGCTCCCCTACCCGATTGCCCAAGTCATCAACGCTCGCGGGGTTGTAACCTTCGTACCTCTTCCCTGTTACCGGATGTTCGTGGATGACCGGCGAGCCGTCGGGGTTTGTCATTCTAATCTGGGGGCCAGATACACCCGCATCCTGAGCGATTTCGGTGAATGTGAGGTTTCCGCTGTTCAGGTAGAGCAGGTTGTAATGGCCGGGGTGGTTGTAGTCAGCGAAGGCGCGGTAGTCGTCGTCCATCAGGTTGCCGACGTAGATATCGAGCCAGCCGTCTTTGTTGACATCGGCGCAAGCGATGCTGATTGCGGAGCGTACGTTGATGGCATCGCCGAGCGCTGATGCTGTGATGTCTATGAAGCCGCCGCTACCGTCATTGAGGAACAGGCTGTCAATGTTGCCCTTTTGCGGCGAGCGGAAGCCGAGTCCGTCGTCGGGGTTGCCCCATGCACCGACATACAGGTCTTGGTAGCCGTCGTTGTTGATGTCGCAGGCTACTGTGCCGGTGCTGTGGCTGTCGGTTGCCTGAACACCTGCCTGCGCCGCGACATCGGTGAATGTAGCATCGCCCGCGTTGCGGTATAGGCGATTAGATTCGCCGCCCCGCGAAGTTACATAGAAGTCCAAGTCGCCATCGCGGTCATAATCGAAAACCGCTACTCCGGGGCGGTCGTTCCAGAGCTGGTTGTCTCCGTTGAGTGCGGTTTCTGCGACATTGGAGAAGGGGACGACGAGCGTGAGCGGGGATGCGGAGTGTCTCAGAGGTGAGTCGATTGGCGGAAGCGGGGACCGTTCCTGCGGGCGGTTGAGTTGGTGTCTGTGCAGGTTGTTGTACAAAGGGAAGGGAATCAGCGCACGCCATGGTCGCGCAAATCAACAGGGCAAGTATCGGAAAGGGAGTGAAAGAAATGTTCACAGTAGAGACATGAGGGCATATTCGCATTTGGGTGAACCGACTTCCCCTATTATAGCACTGCTAATTTACAATGAGCGGGATGGAATTGACATCAGTGGACAGGATATACAGGATACAGATGCGCCTGCTGCTTCGGCTTGCAGTGGTAATCGCTACTGCCTGCCTTTTGGCAGTAGCGATGGCGTGTATGCATCAGCAACGCCCTGACTCTTCCGCTACCGTGGCGGATGCGCGCGGCGGGGAGCAACCCGTGCAAGAAGTGGTGTCTGAGAATGGTGACATCGCGGGATACTGCACGGCGTTGCGGAACAGCAGTGATCCTTTCTTTGGGACGCAGCAGCGCGAAAGGCTGATGGCGGAGTTGGAGAACCCGACATTCCCTACCCTGTCATGGCGCGTGAGCATTATGCGGGAGCTGGCTCGCGATTATCTGCGGTTTGGTGAGGCGGGTGAGGCGATCCACCTGCTGGAAGAGGCGTTGGATGATGAATTGCGCGAGAAGCCTGAGGTGAGCCATGAAGCGGAATTGCTGGAGGAACTTGCGGTCGCGAGCATGAAGATGGGGGAGTTGGATAACTGCATCAGTCCAGACGGACGGCTGATATGCGCGCTGCCCCTGGATGATTCGGTGGTTCACAAGGACAAGCGTGGGGCTAATGCTGCTGTGGATTTCCTGACAAGGCTGCTGGAACTAGAGCCGGAAAATATCAAGGCGATGTGGCTGCTGAATGTGGCGCACATGACGCTGGGGACATATCCGGAGGGCATGCCGAGTCGATTCGTAGTTGCGAAGGAGGCTCTGGAATCGGAATACGACATCGGCAAGTTTGATGAGATTGCTCCTTATGCGGGGCTGTATGCCGTGAATACGGCGGGCGGAAGCATTATTGAAGACTTTGACAATGACGGGCTGCTGGATGTGATGACATCGACATGGGATCCGTGCAGGTCAATTACTTACTACCGCAACAAGGGGGACGGCACATTTGCGGACTACACGGAGAGGGCAGGACTGTCGGGGCAACTTGGCGGGCTGAACATCACGCAGACGGACTACAACAACGACGGGTGGATGGATGTGCTGATAATGCGCGGCGGGTGGATGAAGATGCGTGGGCAGATGCGAATGTCTCTGCTGCGGAATAATGGTGCGAACGGCGGGGCCGGGGGATAACACTTTCAGCGATGTTACCGAGGCTGTGGGGCTTGCTAAGCCGGCGTATCCCAGCCAGAGCGGGGCCTGGGCAGACTATGACAATGACGGCGACCTTGACCTGTACTCTTGCAGCGAGACAATGAGGGAAGCAGGAGTTGAGTCAACTGCGCTGCTATTTCCGAGCAGGCTCTTTCGCAATGACGGCAGTGGGCACTTCGAGGATGTCGCACAGGAGGCGGGGGTGCAGAATTGGCGGTACTGCAAAGGGAGCGCGTGGGGCGACTACGATAATGACGGTGATTCTGACCTGTACATATCCAACTTCGGCGGTGAAAACAGGCTTTACCGAAACAACGGGGATGGAACTTTCAGCGATGTTGCCACCGAACTGGACATCGCCCGAACCGATCGACAGCTTTGCCACATGGTTCTGGGACTACAACAACGACGGGTGCTGGACATTTTTGTAGCGGGATACGGGGAAGATATTGGTGATGTGGCAGCGGACTATATGGGATTGGCGAACGAGGGCGCCAAGCCACGCCTTTATCGCAACGACGGCGCGGGCGGTTTCGTAGATGTTACGCGGGATACGGGGCTGTGGAATGTTCGCCTAGCGATGGGTGCGAATTTCGGGGACCTAGATAATGACGGCTACCCGGACTTTTTTCTTGGGACAGGTAGCCCATCTTACGACGCTCTTGCGCCGAATGTGATGTACAGGAACGACGCGGGGAATGGTTTCCAGGATGTTACCTTCTCAGGGGGCTTCGGGCATCTGCAGAAGGGGCATGGGGTGTCGTTCGGGGACCTTGACAGGGACGGGGACCAGGATATGTTCGTGCAGATCGGTGGGTTCTATCCCGGGTGATGGGTTCGTGAATGCGCTGTACGAGAATCCGGGGCATGGCAACAGGTGGCTGTCGGTGAAGCTGGTTGGGGCGGAGTCCAACAGGGCGGCGATCGGAGCGCGAATAAGGGTGATTCTGGAGGACGTGGATGGTGAGATGCGGAGCGTGTACTCAAGAGTCGGGAACGGCAGCAGCTTCGGAGCATCAACATTGACGCAGGAGATTGGGTTAGGACAGGCGCAGCGAATCGTGTCGCTAGAGGTGCGCTGGCCTGCGACGGGCGCGCGGCAGGTGTTCACGATGTGCCGCTTGACTCCCACCTGAGGATACGCGAAGGGGCTGACAGGTATGAGATACTGGACTTGCCAACCGTTCCGCTGGGGCTTGAACGCTGAGGAGAGCGAGGCTAACGCCCGCCCTCTACATTGACCGTGATGATGTCTATGTTGTTGTACTTCTGATGGCGCACGGACGATGCGTAGTGCCATAGGAGGCGGTAGGAGACCTCATGCTCGTCGGCTACGGGAGGCAAATCACTGAGGTATGCCAGATAGTCCTCCATGTTCTCTCCCTCAAAGGATGTTACAAACTCAAGATCAGCAGATTCATCCTGAAGGCGCACAGACACGGCCAAGCGGAGGGCGCTGTCGGTAACGTCGTCGCCCGCCTCCTCCATCAGTATTGCGATCGTTTCTTCGCTCGCTGCCATAAGCCGTTCCGTCGAGGCGGTGTCCCACTGACTTTCCGATGCGAAGCCGCGCACGAATCCGTCAACTTCAGGAAACGCATCGCTGCTCAGTCCGACTTCAATACGCTTGCGGCGTGGACTGGAAAGATTCAAGAAGAGCATCATTCCTATGGCAACGATAGCACCCGAGGTCATGCCGTTGCTTAGCAGCGTTCCCCAAAGATCTCCAAGAAGGTGCGGGAAAATAACCTGAGCCTGGAAGCCCACGCCAATCCAGAACGATAGGCCGACAATTGCCGCCTTGCGGATGAAAGCCCCCGATGTGCCCATTACGAGCAGGTGGCCTGAACCGATGCGCCAAAAGCGCACTGCTGCAGGAATGGTGGAGATGCCGCTGACGATTAGAGGCGGCGAAGATAGCCCAGGGGAATGTAACTTTCGGGCTGTCCGGCGATGCGGAATACGATGACCGCTCCCAAGACGATTCCGCCAAGATTTACGAGAGCGGATTGGATGCCGGTACCGATGGCAACCGACAAGGGAGGGTTTTCGTCAGGCTCGTAGCGAACGTTGTTGCTCAGATGTGTCGCTGCCAAGTATTTTGCCTCGACTTATCCTTCGCGTTTCAGGGGCCAAGTGCCCTTAAATACGGCGGCTATAGTGAACATCAGGGTTGCGAGCAGCGCCATCGAGGGACCAGACGGAAGGTCGGCGTGGAACGAAAGGTAGAGGCCGACTATCGCGGAGGCCGCTCCAACGAGCGCGCCGATGATCATGACGCCTACAAAGCGCCTTGCCAGGAGGTAGCCAGTCGCTGCGGGTGTGACGAGCATGGCCATGACTAGGACGATGCCTGCCGCCTGTATGCCGATGACTATGACGAGGGCGAGAAGGGCGAGAAGCACATATTCGATGAGATTGGTCTTGATGCCGACAACTGACGCACCGACCTCGTCGAAGGTGGTGTAGACAAGCTGGCGATGGAAGGCGTAGAGGCCTATCAGAACGAGGGCGGTTAGTGCGACGGAGACGTAAACATCGGTTTGGGTGACGCCCAGCACCTGCCCAAGCAGGAGGTCTTCGATGTTGACATTGACGCTGGTGGCTCGGGAGAGCATGACGAGGCCGAGGGCGAACATGCCCGCGAATACGATACCGATGGATGTGTCTTCGCTGATGCCGGTGCGCCTGCTGACCGTGCCCATGAGCAGGGCGATGACGATACCGGCGGGGACGGCGGCGAAGAATGGGCTGATGCCAAGCAGGAAGGCGACGACCATTCCGGGAAGGACGGAGTGCGCGAGGGCGTCGCCCATGAATGCGCGCCCACGGGTAATGACGTATGCGCCAAGGATCGGGCACATTACGCCGACCAACACGGAGACTATGAGGGCCCGTACCATAAAGCCGTATTGAAACGGGCCCAATGTGTAATCAATCATGACAAGATACCTATGGGTGATGGCGGTGAGTGAAGTGTCCGGGAGCGAATTCGATGCCGTGGGAGCCGTACATCTCTTCAAGCACTTCGGGCGTGAATGCTTCGTCGGGGGGGCCGTAGGCGCAGACATGGTGGTTGATGCAGAGCACGCTGTCGAATCGTTCGGCTAGGTTCGTGAGGTCATGCGTAGCCAGGAGCACAATCTTGCCTTCGTCTCGCAGTGAGCGAAGGACCTCCACGATGCCCTCTTGCGCGCCGACATCCACACCGCTGAATGCTTCGTCGAGCAGAATGACGCTTGCCTCCTGAGCCAGCGCGCGGGCGATGAACACCCTCTGGCGCTGACCGCCGGATAGTTCGGTGACAAGGTCATTGCGGTGTTCCCACAGGTTGACGCGCTCGAGGCAGAGCCGCACCATCTCCTTGTCCTTGCTGCCCTGTTGACGCAGCCAGCCGATGTTCCAGCCGCGCCCCATTGTCACCACGTCGATAACAGTTGCCGGAAACACCCAGTTAATGCTGTCGCGCTGTGGGACATACGCAAGCCGCTGCGGCGCGATGCCCCCCCGTGCAGGGTAACTGTGCCCTTTGCGATGGGGAGCGTACCGGCGATTGCGCCGAACAAAGAACTCTTGCCCGCGCCGATTGGGGCCCAAGACGCCCATCAGAGTTCCGCCGCCGACCGAGAATGTGATGTCGGTGAGCGCGGTGTGGCCGCCGCGAACTACGGTCACATCTTCGACAGTAATGCCCGCTTCAGTAGCCATTTCGACAAACTCCTCTTTCACGGCGTTTATGTTCACTTACCGGAATATACTTTGTGCTGCAATGCCGGCGCATTGTAGCAGCATGGGCCGTTGCCGTGGAGGGAATACGGCAACGGCCCATGCAGGGAGAATACAAGATCACTTCAGGGCGTCCACAATGCGCTGCACGTTCGTGCGAATCATGTCCAGATATGTTTCGGCGCCGCTGCCTTCAATGCCCAGTGATCCTGAGTAGAGACGGACCAATTCCGCGCCGGATTCAGTCGCAATAGAATTGGCAAGACGCTCGCTGACCGTAGTTTCGCCGAAGATTGCAGAAACGCCGTATTCCTCAACTTTGTGGCTCAGCTCTGCCAGATCCGCTGGTGAAGGTTCGACCTCTGTGGTGGTTGAAAGGATGACGCCAACGACTTCAAAGTCGTATAGATTCGCAAAGTAGCCGAAGCTGTCGTGCGAGGTTACAAGAAATCTGCGCTCCTCGGGAACCGCGGTCACCTGTTCCTGAGTCCACGCGTGCAATTCGTCGAGTTGAGCGTTATAGGCGGATGCGTTGGAAGTGTAAGTCGCCCTCCCATCCGGGTCTATTACCGACAGCCTTGCGGCGATGTCGTTGACGGCGAGTTCACGCGGAGCGGGTCGAACCAGAAATGTGGATCGTGGATGCCGTGACCGTGTCCTTCGTGCTCATCTTCGCCCTCGGAAGTCATGTGCTCGATTTCCTCTATTGCTTGCCTGGCGTCAAACTGCCGGCTTCGACCTGGGCGATGATTTCTATCACCATTTGGGTAGGTGGCTCCCCTCTTCTTCGCCCTCATCTTCGGCCCTCTCGGCTGCTTCGATGGCTTCCTTAATCTCCCTCAGCCCATTTTCAGCGCTAATCTCGCCATCCTTCACCTCCTGGACGACATGACTAATTTCCAGGAGGGCAGCTACCCTTCGCCATGCGTTTCACCGAAATCAATGGGGTCAACTATCTCTGCCAGCTCGACGATGGAGGATTCGTCGCGAGCCGCGTTCTGCAACAGTTCACGGAGCCACGATTCCTCCAGCCGAAGTCCGACGCTCAACACGATTTCTGCGTCGGCGATTGCGGCAACATCCTTCGCGCCGGGCTGGAAAGAGTGTGGGTCTGAACCTGCTGGCAGAAGGCTGAACACCTCTACCCTATCTCCGCCGACGATTCTGGCCCAGTCCGCCACGATGTTGGTGGTAGTGACCACACCAACAGGCTCAACGGCTGCCTGCGAAAGTTGCCTCGAAGCGGGAACGACCAATGTAGCCGCAGGGGCGGCTTGCGAAGACCGGCTAGGCGCGCTTGGTTCCGAAGTTTCCTGAGGGGAAGCATCGCCGGAACATGCAGCCATGTTAAATATTGCAACAATAACGAATATTACTATGGCTGTCTTCAACAAGTTAATGATATTCCATCTCATTACATTAGTGCCCGTGCATCGATCTGATCATGTGGAAGAATGCAACATCGGGTCAGGCGTCCGATGCCGCAAAATCTTTGTGTTATAGATATTGAGTATCATTTAATGGTGTGCGTGCACAGGCATGTGCGTTCCGTTCTGATTACCGGCGCCTTCGATTCCGCACTGTCCGCAGATCACATAGAGCTCAATACGATGGCCGACAATTTCGCCTGAAAGATCGTCGCCAATGATTCGCATCAGCCTTTCAACAGTTGCGGCACGGAACTCACCTACCTTGCCGCACTTGACGCAGACAGTATGGTGGTGGTGCTCAATGCGCGATAGCATGTATCTGGGAGCGCCGTCAATAAGGTTAAGCCTGCATATAATGCCAGTCTCCAAGAAAAGTTTGAAGGTGCGAAATACTGTTGCCCTACCCACAGCCGGCAGTTTCCTCACCACATCTTCGGCGGTAAATCCTTCGTGCATCTCCTCTATTGTGCGGACTATGGCACGCCTTGGCACGGTCGATCGATAGCCCCTGTCTTCGAGGACTGCCATAATGTCCGGGCGGGAAGTAAGAACAGTAGTCATGATACTCCATCTCACTTAGATTTTCGGAGAAATGCGACTCAATCTCCGAATGGCTCAATTCTGGCAGGCTTCTTATACTCTGTCAAGCCTTCCTTATGCCATTTTCAATAGGGTAAGTCTCACTTCTTATTGAGGTTAAGTCTCATTTAGGAAAATCTGCTGCAACATTTGGGAAATTTCTGTTATAAGGTCACGCAGCCTAGAAACTCAGGAGATGCAAGCTTCGGCAATAATGTGCATTGAAAACTGACACTTGCGCCCTATCGAGAGTACATCGGAGAGTACATCTGGCAGGAGTCTGGCAAATGTGTGTTCATTTCCGATAGAATGCTGACGGCAAACTGGGAGGAGGTCTTACATTATGACTGATGTCGAAAAGCGAATCGAAGAGATGGGAATTGCATTGCCCGATAGCCCGCAACCGATAGCAAATTATGTTCCGGCGGTGCAGACGGGCAACCTGCTCTTCGTGGCCGGGCTGGGTCCTGCCGCGCGAGAGGACGGAACCACGCCCAACGGAAAAGTGGGCAAGGACCTTACGCTCGACGAGGGTTACGAAGCTGCCCGGCTGGTGGGCATTAACCTGCTGGCGCGGCTGAAGAGCACGCTAGGCGACCTGGACAGGGTCGAACGCATCGTGAAGCTGCTGTCCATGGTGAATTGCACACCGGAGTTCAATCAGCAGCCGCAGGTAGCCAACGGATGTTCAGACCTTCTGGTGGAAGTATTCGGAGAGAAGGGACGGCACGCGCGTTCCGCGTGGGAATGTCGTCTCTACCCAATGACATTCCTGTCGAGATCGAGATGGTGGTGGAAGTACGGGACTAGAATGTGGCTGGCGAGAGTTTTCTACATCAGTTCTACATTGGAATGCAGGATTTAGCGAGGTTATAGCCGCTAGTTGGCGTCCCGGAGAGCTGTAATGAGGACGTAGATGACGATCGGCAGAATGAGCAGCCAGATTATCATACGGGGAGGTATGCGCCTCGGAGATTTCATCGTGCGACCCTTCCTTAATGTTTGATGGACTTTCGTGCGTGATGGGATCAGGCGGAGAGCGGACGGACTCTGATTGTTCGGGCACGCCCGCCGCACTAGACTAGTTAAGATTTTAGCAGGAATCGTGGCGATAAAATGAGCTACAAACTGATAGCGCTGGATGTTGACGGTACGATTCGCAGCACTGACAGTCCAATCGCAGAGAGGACGCGATCCGCGGTGGGGGCGGTGCGGGCCGCAGGGGCGATAGTAACGCTTGCGACCGGACGAGCGTACCGATCGGCTATCGTCAACTGCGCCGCGCTTGACATAGAAGTACCAATTGCTTCGTCGCAGGGAGCGTACATCGCAAACCCTGTGAGCGGCGAGGTCTTAAGGCACTGTCCCATGACTGAGGATATGGCACTTATCACCATCGATGCGCTGGAGGCTCATATTGGCAGCTCCGGCGCAGATGTGCAGGTCGTTGCTTACTATCCCGGGTTCATGTATGTGGATCGGATGAGTGAGTGGGCAGAGGGCTATGGACAGCGCACCGAACTCGCGGTGGAGCTTGTAGGCAATCTGCGGGATGTCGCTGGCAAGGAGCTCACGAGGATTGTTGCGGTGGGCGGCGACGGTGAAATCGAAGCGCTGGAACGCGACCTCAGGCCGGAGTTATCGGAGCATGTGCTCGTGATGCGCTCTCTGCCGCACTTCTGCGAGATTCTGCATCCTGAAGGGGGCAAGGAAAACGCCTTAGAGTGGATGTGCGAATACTTCGGGATTCAGCGCTCGGAGACTGCCGCATTCGGCAACGGGTACAACGATGTTCAGATGCTTGACTGGGTCAGCCTGGGGATTGCAGTCGGGGATGCCGTGCCGGAGGTTCTTGCGGTCGCTGACAGGATTGCACCGCCCTTCGAAGAACACGGAGTAGCGCAAGTGCTTGAAGAGTTACTTGAACAGGGCTTGATTGGATAGTCGCGATGGCATCCACTGAGACATCGAGCGGAGCGCGGCAAGCCCAAGATTGTGGTGCTTGGCAGCGTCAATATGGACCTCGTTGCGACGATGACGCGCATGCCGGAGCCGGGCGAGACCGTGAAGGGGGACGGCTTTTTTACTGCGGGAGGAGGCAAGGGCGCCAATCAGGCGGTTGCCGCTGCGCGGCTTGGCGCAGATGTGCGGATGGTGGGCAGAGTCGGCGATGATGACTTCGGGCGGACGCTGCTCAGCGGACTGCAGTCAGGAGGGGATAGATGTGAGGGATGTGGCAGTTGACGGGTCAAACGTGACAGGCGTTGCGATGATCATGGTGGATGCGGCTGGGCAGAACTGCATCGCGGCGGTGTATGGCGCGAATATGGCCTGCGACGATGAGCAACTAGACGCGGCGAAGCGGGCAATGGAATCTGCGGACGCGCTGATGCTGCAACTGAGACGCCGCCGCACTGTCTCGATTGCCGCAGCGAGTACATGCTCGCAGTCTTGGGGTGCGCGTAGTGTGGGACCCGGCACCGTCCGCAGCGATGCCAAAACGGGCTATGCAGTTGCAGATGTGATAACGCCAAACGAAACGGAGGCGGCAGAACTGACGGGTATCCGTGTCGTTGATGTGGATTCGGCGCGGGCGGCAGCGGACGCCCTGCTGGCGATGGGTGTGGGCACGGCGGTGGTGAAGATGGGGCAGCATGGTGTGTTTGCTGCCACGGCGAGCGAGCGATACTATGTGCCGCCGTTCGGCGTGGATGCGGTGGATAGTGTGGCGGCGGGCGATGCGTTTGGCGCGGGGTTGACCGTTGCATTGTCGGAAGCGCGCGGCCTTGAGGATGCGCTGAGGTTCGCTTCGGCAGCAGGCGCGCTTGCCGTTACGAAGCCGGGCGCTCAGGATGCGATGCCGTTTCGCCAAGAGGCTGATGCGCTTCTACACGCCACAAATGCTTGACGCATTTGGGTTGGTTGCAGGCTGCCTGGGTCCCAAGTTACGCTAATTCGGCGTGGTTTCTTTTTCCAGAACTCAAAGTACGTTCGTATCTGCCACTCAGGGTACTTTCGTTATTCTCTGCCAGTTTGCTCGTGAAGATCATGCTTACCTTCGTCAATTAGTTGAACATATAAACACTGCATTGATAGACTTAACGCTTGTGTGAAATAGATCCCCCTATCTGGAATGGAGATGATTTAGATGCGAATAATACGAGCATCAACAAACTGGAGACATGTTTTGATCCTTCTGCTCGCTGTAGCGGTGTCGGCGGCGTTGCTGTTTACGATGCTGTCAGGAGCCGATGGGACAAGGGTGGAAGCCCAGACGGCGGACACGCCCACGCCTGCGCCTACCGCGACGGCGACACCCGATAGTACGGAAGAGACCGATGCCAACGCTGACAGCGGTTCGGAATCGGAGCAGAGTGGAAAGGCCGATGCGTCTAAGTACGGGAATATGGACTCGATTCTGAACGACTTGGTGGAGCAGGTCGAAGGTGGAATTGCGAGTGCGAGGTCTGCAGCTTCTACGGCTCCGGTCAGCGATGATGAGTCTGTTGCGGTGTCGCTCTTCTTGGAAGAGGACTATGTAGAGGCAGTGCGGCAGTATCTCGACGAAAATGGGGCTTCTGTTCGCTTTGCTGAATTGGACACCATCGAGGCGTATGTGCCTGTCACGTTGCTTGGGAATGTGTCGCAGCAGGAGGGAGTTATAAGCGTCAGCACGATTGTCCCGCCGCAAGCCGCGCAGGAAACACTAACCAGCCCTGCCGTTGCCCTGCACGGCGCAGATTTCTGGCATCTCGCCGGTGTGAAGGGCGAAGGAATGAAGATCGGGATAATCGACATTGGGTTTTTAGGATTCCAGGACCTGATGGGGCTAGAGCTGCCGCCCGAGGAGAGGGTGCACGCGCTCTGCTTCACGGACCTTGGAACGTTGAGCAGCGACATCGACTGACTGCGAGATTGAGAGCGCTCACGGCAGCGCGGTGACCGAGGCGGCTTACGACATTGCTCCAGAAGCTACATATTACATAGCCAATCCGCCCTCCTGGGAGACCTCAGGCTAGCGACAATATGGATGGCGTCCGAAGGGGTGGACGTCATCAACCATTCGGTCGGCTGGCTATGGACAGGTCCAGGCGATGGGAGTTCGATAATTCGGACCAGCCCGCTGAACACTGTGCATCTCGCGGTGGCGAACGACATAACCTGGGTCAACGCAGCGGGCAATAATGCCACTTCGACGTGGTCCGGGGCATACTCAGACCCGGATGGCAACGATGTCCACAATTTCACAGATACCGACGAGTGCAACGACGTCCTTCTCGGTGCAGACGAGAGATTTATTGCGCAGCTGAGATGGGATGATGTATGGGGCGCTCCGACAAAAGACATCGACCTGTATCTAACCAACCAGGACACTGGGGAGCGTGTAGCGGGAAGTGACAGTTTCCAGCCTGAATACCCGATTCCTCTGGAAGTGTTCGCATTCAGGTCTGAGGAGAAGGCAGTCTACTGCTTGTCGGTAACAATCTATGACGGAGAGGCTCCTGACTGGATTCAGGTGCAAGCTTTCCGTGGACAAGATCTCGAACATGCCACTGCTTCCGGGAGCATATCCACTCCGGCGGAGAGCAGCAACCCCGGGTTGCTTGCAGTGGGCGCCTCGTGGGTCTACCAGCCGAGCGCACTTGAGGACTTCAGCAGCCAAGGTCCGGTCACACCGGATGTGGACACGATTAAGCCTGATGTTGTCGGTGCTAACGGTGCGTATTCGGTCGTATCTGGTGGGTCATTCTTCGGCACTAGTCAGGCTGCGCCGCACGTCGCTGGGATGGCTGCTCTGGCCAAGGAGCTGAATCCAGACAGCAATGCGGTGCAGATCGCAAACTACATCAGAGCGAACACGGTCGATCTAGGCGAGGAAGGCCCGGACTATGCCTGGGGGTATGGCTTCGCGGTTCTGCCTGCGTCCGATGCACCTTATGACCCGTGCCTAGCAGATTTGGGCGAGATCGACGACTCGGCGAGATCGAAGTTGAAGGGACATGGGTCAGCAGTTGCGTGTCTGACAGAGCGGCAGAACAGGGTACGGGCGAAAGATACGCGCGCTTCTACACCTTCGAGATTACGGAAGAAAGCAACGTTACAATCAGCTAACATCATCCGAGCAGGATACCTACCTCTACCTGACCGAGGGTGTTGGGAGGGATGACGACTTCATAGAGAAGAACGACGACGATCCCGGTTCGGGCACCAATTCGCTCATCGAGGTCGAAGACCTTGCGGCGGGCGAATATACGATAGAGGCGACGACTTTCGAAGCCGGGAAGACTGGTGACTTCAGGCTGGTTCTGAGCATTGAAGTCACCTCGCGGACGCCTGATCCACTGTGGGTGGATTTATCGAAGTCAGCTACGGGTCCGACCACGCGTGCGCGCTGAATGTGGACGGGACGATCGCGTGCTGGGGCTCGAATGAGCACGGGAAAGCCACGCCAGCAGTGGGCGAGTACAAGGCGGTGAGCAGTGGAGAACACGGCAGTTGCGGCATTCTGCGTGAGGACAGTGCGGTAGTCTGCTGGGGGATATTTACGGTTGGTCCGTAGAGACTAGGTGAGCGACCAAGTCAGTCTCGGCAAGGTTGACTTAAACAAAGGGCATAAACGAAGCGCGGACGCGGGATACATCGATCCTGCGTCCGCCTTCATTTTTACGAAGATTGCAATAAATTTGGCCTTATCAGTAGAGTGAGCGCGGGCATGTGCTCTCTGTCCATGAGTGAGAGCATCTGCTCGTTGATTCGCCTGACGATGCCGGGACCGCGGTAAATGAGGCTTGTGAGAATCTGGACGGTGGTTGCGCCAGCCTGAATTGCGGCAAGGGCGTCCTCACCCGAGAAGATGCCACCGCAGGCGTTGATTGCCAACCCGCTGCCCGTCTCAGCCCGGATGTCGGCGACCATCTGCAGCATGTCAGCGAATACCGGGCTTACCGCTTAGTCCGCCTGCGCCCACTGCAAGTCGGGAGTCGCGGGCAGGCCATGTATTAGTAACCGTGATGGCTTCAACACCCTGCTCTACGCAGACTTCCACAAGGCTGAACACCATGTCTTTCTGCTCACTGCCTATCGAGGGCGTTTCCAAGTATGGCGGGAGCTTGATAAACAGGGGCTTGCGCCTCTGTTCGTTGATCTGGGCAAGGAGCTGCCTGAGAGTATCTGCCTGCTGGAAGATGCGCAGACCCAGTGTATTCGGCGAGCTGATGTTGATTTCGATTGCGGTGGCGAGAGGCTCGAGGCGCCGATGGCAGCGCAGGATTTCGTCAGGCGCACGGCCGGAGACGCTGGCGACCACGGGTGTACCGTTCAGCAACGGCTCCGCCTGCTGGAGCCGCGAAGCGGTGTACTCCACACCTTTGCTGGGGAAGCCAAGAGAGTTAATGAGCGCTTCGTCGCTCTCATAACGGATTACGCGAGGCGCGGGATTGCCTGCTCTCGGCATCTCAGTCACGTGCCGCAGGTCAGGTAGCCGAATCCCAGGGAGGCGAGCGAAGGCAGGGATTCGCAGTCTTTGTCATACCCGGCGGCGAGTCCGACAGGATTTGCCAGCCTTATCCCCGCCAAGTCAACCTCAAGTCGGGAGTTTCGACCTGCAGGAGAGTAGATGCCGCACTCCAGACCTGACGCTGCTTGAGAGCGAGGTGCGCCACAGTCTGCGCCGTTTCAGGAGAAAGGCGGAATAGCAGCGGCTTTATGAAGGTGCTATAGGTGTCAGGATTGATGATAAGCAATTTAAGACCTCTTCACTTTGAGCTTCACTGAAAATTGTGCTTTCTGTAATTATATCAAGATGTTAACTTGGATAGACAGGCTGTCAGAGACAAGTCTCCTGCAAACTGCGGCCGTTGGTGAAAGGGGATGAATTGAGATAGGTGGATGCGTATAATGAGTTCAGATACCAGACGGAATAAGCGGGGCTGACGAAAATATGGATGTTACTTTCGAGAGGGGCACGGAGGATTCGCCTAAGGGTCATGCGTTCGTGTACTTCAGGAGTTCGATGAACGCCGGCGAAGTTTGGGCGAGCTACGTTGTGATACTGCCGATTACAGTGGATGTCACGAAATATGTGCCGCCATTCCTAATGAGCCAGATACCTGACGCAAGTATGAAGGATCTGTCGGCCTTCGCGTTCCCGCCAGCACCGGAGCAGATGGAGAGTTTCGAGCAGCTTCAGCAGCTTGCGGAGATGCGCGACGATGATGTGCTGTTCGCGGGCACATTCAACACATCGGACTTGCCTACGATGATGATGGCCGCGGGCGACGCGGTGCAGCAGTACACGGAGATCTATAACGGCGTTGTGGGACAGACCGGTGTTATAGATGCAACAAAGGTTGAGGATGCGATTGAAGGAGGCAGCGTTGGCATCAATGATGTGATGTACGGGTTGATGAGTGACAGCGACAAGCTGAGCGAATTGACAACCTTGGTGGGCAAACTGCGCTACGCGGTCGACAGCAATGAGGAGGCGCTAATTCGGGAGGCCGAGACGGACATCGGAATGCTTTCGCGGCACCTGGAATTCGACCACAAGACTGAGCGCATTGTCGAGGGAATAAAGCAGGGCAGCGATGACGCGCGGCGGCTGACGATGCTTTATGTGCAGCGATGCTACAGCATCGTGCGAGAAGACTACATCACGCTCGGCAATGTGGAACAGCAGATTGCGGCGATTGAGGCTGGTCAAGGATCGGCATGATATGCGGACCTGTGGCTCGACCGGCACGGCACGAACGTGTAGGTATGGACAGGATGGGTAGGATTACACCCCCATCCCTCTGGCGAGCTCAGGGCAGGCTCTAACCTTCCCCAATCAAAAGGGATGTGACAATGCGAGGGAGCTATGCCAGGACTTGCATTGCGTAGCGGGAGCGCAGCAGGTCGCCGGTCTCGAAGCGCTTGAGGTTGAGCATGGAAATGTCAACGCACTCCGCCCTTCCTTTGGTGATCAGTTCAGCCATCGCCTTGCCGATCATGGGGGATTCCTTGAAGCCGTGCCCACTGAAGCCGACGGCGCAGTAGAGGCCGTCTATGCCTTCGATGCGGTCGAGAACAGGATGCCAGTCAGGGGTTACTGTGAATGCGCCTGACCAGCCGCCGCGAAAGACGGCGCGGGACATCGCCGGGATGCGCCTGACGATTCCCTCGAATGCGGGCCGGACTACATCCATGTCTACACCCTGATTGAAGGTGTCGGCGTCCACGAACTCGTCCTCACCCGCGCCTATCATCGTCAGGTCACCAATGTCGGGGCGCGCAGAGAAGCCGTTGAGGTTGTCGGCAACGATGGGATGGTCAGCATCCGGTCCGGGCGGGCGGCGCAGCACGACTACCTGATGGCGCAGGGGGCGAATCGGGCACATCCACGCCTACGCCGCTCAAGAGCCTGTCGCTCCAGGGGCCGGCTGCGACAACGGCAATGGGGGTTTCGATGCGCCCGTCGGCGGTGAGGACTGCGGTGACCTTTGCCGCCACTGACTTCGATGCCGGTAACTGGCGTTGCGTCCTGAACTTGCGCTCCCATGTCGCGGGCGCGATTGGCAAAGCCGAGCGTTACTGAGTAGGGATCGGCATAGCCTGATTCGGACTCGTAGGCGAACGATTCGTCGCCCTCAACGGAGAGCATAGGGGCGAGTTCGCGCATATCCTCGATCGACACAATCTCGCTGGCTATGCCAAGTCGCCGGTGCATTGCGACATTCTCGCGCATCGCCTGCCTGTCGTCTCTGCCGACTATTAGGAAGTATCCGGTGCGTGTGTAGCCGGAAGGGGTGCCGGTAAGTTCCTCGAAGTTTTTTGAATATTTCGAGACTCTGCCAAGCAAGACTGGAGGTCACCTCGTTGGAGTAGTGCATGCGGAGGATTGCCTGCGACTTGCTTGTGGAGCCGGATGCAAGTACATCACGCTCAAGCAATAGGGTGTTCGTGAGGCCCTGGTCGGCGAGGTTGTACAGAATGCTGCATCCCATTACGCCGCCGCCGATGATTACTGCGTCCGCTGTGTTTGGCATGTGCTGTACCTCGTTGATCCCACGAGATGGACGAATTCAGATTATGGGCATGCCCTACCCGCGCGGCTCATCTATAAGCTCCGCCTGCCGCTCGACCCTTGAGCGGTGAGGTTCAGGATCGTAGAACTTTCCACGCACACTGTCAGTCCAGTCAGTCTGCTCAGGAATATCGCTGGTATCGATGTCCTCGTCAGACATGGCGTCGAGATTGCGAATGGCTTCCAACTCGATCTCCGACATTTCGCTTGCATCAGGCTTGTTCTTCATACTGTCTTCTCTCATTACTTGTTGTCTTCCGCGCACTGAGGATTCGCCCCGGAGCGTCATTCAATGGAGCCGTATGAACGACCATCAAGATATGATGCAGCACCTGTCCTATCGTCTTCCAGCGTTCTTCATACTCATAGTCGTCTTCAACAGAGTTGTGAAGGGGGTCTTGGAATACGCGAATTTGCCAACTCGAAGGGAATGTTGTGTTTGCGAAGGTTGCTTAGCGCCTTGTCATCGTCCCAATCCCAGAGCAAAGACAGCACCTCAAGCCAAGTTGTGCATTTCTCTGTTGGTTAAGACTATATCATAATAGGGGCGCATTCGCGCATGCGGCGATGTTATAATCGCACGCAAGCGGGCACACACAAGCGGCGGGCAATCTTAACTTACAACATGGGAGGCTGGACATGCCGAGGGCATCATTGGACTTGCAGAATTCGGACGATTTGAATGCAGTATCGGGGGAATGGCGGTTCGCGGTGGGACTGGTGCCGGGTGAGCCTAACGAAGGACTTGTCGCGCTGAGCGAGGGCAGCCCTGCGCGCCTGCCAGACTACGATGATTCCGGATGGGAAGTATGCGGGGACCTCGCGCAGTGGCACTCGCACGGGTTGTCATTCATCTGGTATCGCATCGAGATTACGATACCAGAAACAATCGGCGGGCGAGATGTACGAGGAACCAATTGCCTGTTCGAGACCTGCATCGACGACTACGGAGAGGTGTGGGTTAATGGCGAGCTGGACATGGCAAAGGGGACGGTGCAGGGGTTCAATATACCGCAGCGCGTGGTGGTGACCGCGGACCCGCAGCCCGGCGACAAGCATACCCTTGCGTTGCTCGCAATCAACGGGCCGATCGCGAGGCCAGGTGGCGCGGTCTTTGTGCGGTATGCAACTCTGGCATTCGAGTGGCGGGATCCAAGTTACTAGGACGGGACTTAGGAGGGTAAGTTGGCAGAGTTCAATATTGCGGGCAAGGCGCAGACAGTGCTGGGGGCTATCGAGCCTGAGCAGTTAGGGATCACGTTGACGCATGAGCACCTGCTTATAGATATGTCGCCGCTGTTTGGGCCGCCGGAGCAAGCCGGGGCGAAGGGGTTCTACTACGAGCCTATGTCGCTTGAGACCGCTGGGCGCATACGCCACTGGGCGGCTCCGAATCTGGACAATGCGCAGCTGACGGATGTGGATACGGCAATAGACGAGGCGAACATCTACAAGCAGTACGGCGGCGGCTCGCTGGTGGATGCGACCAGCATCGGCATCAAGCGGGACGCGATGGGACTGGCGCGCATTTCGCGGGCGACGGGCGTGAATATCATCATGGGGCGTCGTACTATGTGGACGCGGCGCATCCGGCGGCATGGACTGACATGAGCGAGGACGATGTGGTGCGGCAGATAGTGTCGGATGTAACCGTGGGCGTGGATGGGACGACGTTCAAGTCGGCGTAATAGGCGAGGTGGGATGCTCATGGCCGCTGATGCCGAACGAGCGCAAGGCACTGAGGGCGTCTGCGAGGGCGCAGCGGATCACGGGAGCGCCCATACTGATACATCCGGGAAGGGACGAGACGGCCCCATTAGAGATTATCGAGGTGCTGCGCGAGGCCGGAGCTGACCTGGAGCGCACAATTATCGGGCATTTGGACCGCACGGTTTTTCTACACGATACGCTGCGGCAGATTGGGGAGAGCGGCTGTTACCTGGAGTGGGACCTGTTCGGTTCAGAGCAGTCATACTATGGCGCGAATTCCGCGATTGACATGCCGAACGACGCCAAGCGAATGGATGACATAGCCTGGATTGCGGCTCAGGGCTATGAGCGCAAGATACTGGTGGCGCACGACATCTGCACGAAGAGCCGACTTGAGCGGTACGGCGGGCATGGATACGCCTACATACTGGGGAATATCGTGCCACGAATGAGAGCACGGGGGTTCAGCGAGGCGGCGGTCGAGAATATCCTTGTGAACAATCCGGCGACGGCGCTGACATTTGCCGCACCGGAGGAGGGGGGTTAGATGGCGGGGAAGATTGCCTTGGTGGGCGGCGACGAGTTTTTGCCTAGTTGCCGTCAGATGGATAACGAGCTGCTAAAGGCGACGGGGCATGTGCGCCCAAGGGTACTCATCGTGCCGACTGCGGCTGCAATGTCGCGGCCGGCTCTGGCAGCACAGCACGGCGTTCAGCAGTTCGAGGCGCTTGGGGCTGATGCGAGGCCCTTAATGGTAGTAAATTCCACAGAGGCCGACGACGAAGAGCTGGTTTCAGCGGTGGATAGCGCGGACATAGTGTATCTCTCGGGCGGCAACCCGGCTCACCTGTTGGAGGTGCTGCGCGGGTCGCTTCTCCTGGAGAAGATAATGCAGGGATTGGAGCGGGACCTCATTTTGGCCGGCTCGAGCGCGGGAGCGATGGTGATGGGCGAACGGATGCGCTTTCGGCAGTGGGGCGATGGGCTGGGCATCGTGCCAGGTGTGGTCGTGCTGCCGCATCACGAGCGCGCAAGCAGCAGCCAGACCGCGCGTGAAGTAAGTCTTGAGACTGCGGACAGCATAACAGCCTTGGGGATAGACGGGGCTACCGGCTGCTTCAGGGAGGGCGACGGGTGGCGCGTGCTCGGCGTCGGCAATGTAACAGTGTATCACGGGGGCGAGTATCAGAGGTCCGAGGCCGGGGATTACTTCGAGATAGAGGGAAAGTAGCGTATTCACAAGTACAGGCGAGGGAATTGCAATGCGACTGGAAGGTAAAGTTGCGCTGATTACGGGCGCAGGTTCGGGCATCGGCAGGGCGACGGCGAACAGGTTTGCGGCTGAGGGCGCGAGTATCGTGGCATCAGACATAAGCGAAGTGGCGGCGGTTGAGACGGTTGCAGCTATCAGAGAGAGTGGCGGCGAGGCTAGGGCAGTGAGCGGCGATGTCGCGGATTATTCGGACGCCAGAGCGATGGTGCAGGCCGCAATCGACGCTTACGGCAAGCTGGATGTGCTCGTGAACAGCGCGGGGATAAGCACAAGAAACGCGCTGCCGGAAGGGGCGTCGCACGAGGATATATGGGACAAGGTGATGGACGTGAACCTGAAGGGCACCTATCTAGTTTCGTGGCATGCGGTGCCGGAGATGGAGGCGGCGGGCGGCGGGTCTATCATCAACCTAGCGTCGATTATGGCGCTGGTGGGGTATCCGGTTGGAATGGGCGGCGGGTTCAATCCGTACAACGCATCGAAGGGTGGCGTGCTGCAGTTCACGCGCAACCTCGCCATTGATATGGCCCCAAAGCATATCCGCGTGAACTGCATTTGCCCGGGCTATGTGGAGACCAATATGACGCGGGCACTGACGGAGAACGCGGAGTCTTACGAGGCGCTGAAGGGGCGGCATCCGATGGGGCGGCTTGGGCAGCCGGCGGATATAGCGAACGCCGCGCTGTTCCTGGCGTCGGACGAGGCAGCATTCGTGACGGGCGCGCCGCTGATTGTGGATGGGGGATATACGGCACAGTAGGGAGTGGTCGATTCCACTAACCTAGGAGGCTGAATATACCTGCAGCGAGCGCACCTAGCGCAGTCAGAAGTGTAAGAACCAATAGTATAAGCCGCGTGTTACCAGTGAGCGCAACTCCGCCAGACTCGACTCCATGGACTCTACTTTGCCCACAAGATAGCCCATTGTGTATTCTTCGCTCCACTCCGGCTGCATTGCCAGCTCCCAACTCAATACTTCATGTGTCAGAATCACATGTTATCACATAAAACAACACTTTACTGAGAAGCAACCATCTGATTTTGTAGATATTTTTTCTCGGATGCCTATTCACTACTAGGGCAGGCTTACAAATGAATAAACACGGCTTTTCCATGCTTCGAATGCGATTTTGTCGAGGGTCTTCTTGTTGGGTTGGTCGATGTCGAGTCGGCGAGTCAGGGTCTTGTCGCTGAGGTCATGCATGAGACGACAGCGGTCAGTGAAGCCGGCTAGGGTGGAGTTTTCGCCGCCGAGCAGGATGTAGTCCATGTCTTTCTCGTAGGGCGCGAAGACGGTCCGCGCCATCTCGCAGGTCTTGTCGTAGAGTTCGCGAATCAGGCGTTCGCGGCTGCGCTCGAAGCGGCGCTGGGACTGTCCACCGGCGCGATGGCGGTTCTTCATATAGCGCGAATCGGTCTTAGACGCAATCAGGCGGTTTCCGCGCAGTACGCCGATAGCGTAGCGTCCTAGGCGCAGCAGCACGATGCCGAGGACATACTCGGTGTCGAGCATTTTGGTCAATGGCGAAACCACAAAGCCGGAGCGGCGGATATCATCTGGAAGCGGGAAAGACGGGCAGATTGCGACCGCCCTACTCTGTCCTTGAAACAGAACAAGCCCCGTGTCTGATTCTCCAATTTCACGCAGGACGATTGCTATCTCGTCTTCGCCTGCAAGCGCCGGTCGGATGCGCGGAGCTTGCGGATGCGCGCTTTGCCAGAGATGAGGGAGTGAAGTAGAGCGTCCTTTCGCACCAACCATCGTCGGATATTTCATCCAACAGACGCTTGAGGCGCGCCTTGCCGGTGGAATGACGCTCTACAAGTTCAAGCACGGATTAGCGGCTGCCGTTTGCGCCGAAGTAGTCGTAGCGGACCGCAGCGCGACGCATGGAGTCTTCGACGTCCTCTTCAAGCATATAGCCTTCGCCAGCAAGATGCTGCGCGGCACTCTTCGTCTGCGATACATAATCATCTTTGGAGTTGTATCGGTCGCTGATGCAGGACGGGGGTCGCCGGATGCCGCGCCCTTCGCCGGCGTCGCAGGGAATGGGCAGCACCCAGCCCGCAAGTCCACCCGTGATACCGATTACGAGGCCGGGCGCGCCAATGTCCGGGTGACGCAGATTCCAGCCAGTGTATGTCGCCACCGGCACCATGAGATCGGGAAGGCGTATGCCGCCAATCTCGTTGCAGTCGTCGTCCACGTTGGCGACGAGCGCGGGGAACTCTTCGCCCGCTACAGGCGGGAGCGTTGTTGTGCGTCCCTGCTTAGCCTCCGGTCCGTAGTCGAGGCGCATTGCGCGCGTTACTTTTTCGGGGAAGGCGACGCCGGGTATTCGCAGGAACTTGGATGCAAGTGTGTGCGATTCGACCGCCGTGCCGTCCGAGATGCGCGGATGCCTGCTTGCGGGAGCGGGTTTGCCCGTGCGAACCCATTCATCCAAGTTTTTAAGCGAGGCACGCAGCAGCGGGATTGTAGTCGATGATATTGAATGGCAATTGGCCGCGCATGCCGTCTTCGCGCGTTCCGATGGGCGGGAAGTTGCCAGAGCCGTGAGGCGAGCCTGCGAAGTGGTAGCGGCGCACGAAGTCGCTCTCTTCTGGGGCATCGCTCATATCGGCGAAGTTGGTGTGAATGAGGGCCGCATCTCCGCGCCAGTATTCTGCGGAAGTGTTGGTGAACATTATGCGAGGAAGATGCCCGCGCTCGTTGAGGCGATCAAGCAAGGATCCGCTCTCACCGGTTACAGGATCGGACTGCTCAGTGTCCGCGAAGGGGAAGAGCTTAGGGATGATGTAGCAGACATCCTTTGAGGGCTGGCCGAAGCGCAGGTTGAATTCACCTCTCATGCCACCAGCGACATGCGAAATGATGCCGTCCAGCGCCATGTTGCCATCCTCATCGGTGTTCGATCCAGTGTGGATGTACTCGCGGAGGAAGCGTCCGCTTTGGGATGCAGCCGAATGCGTGGGCGCGCTGTATGCCGCCCGCGCAGGGGTTGCCCTGCTCAGCGGATGCGTTCTTCAGGAAAGGAGACGATGTCGCGCATTGCGGTGCGAAGCCCAAGCCGACTATCCTGCTGCCGCGCGTGGTGTACACAAGCTGGTAGATACGACCCGGCTCAAAGCCTTCTTCCATGAAGATGTGGCAGGGGTCAGGCTCGACCGATGCGTCCTCGAAGCGCATGAAGCGCCACTTGTCGCGGGCGATAGGCTCGGATGGACTGTTGGGATGATCCCGCACGGTCAGGGAGGCTTCAGTCCTCGTCTTCATAGATAGCGGGATGAGGAGCGTGCTGTCTGTCGGCGAGCAGGAAGAACTGGGTGAAGTGCGTTGCCTGGAACTGGCACATGATTTTGCCGCTTATCGGATCGCCATCGCATCGACCGCTTCGGGGGTCTGCAAGCCGATGAGGCCGACGCCGCGGGGCACGTCCGCCTGCCAGCCGCCGAACAGCACTGAGTAGCCGTGCCGCATCAGGAAGCCGTTTCCGGGGTCGAGCGGGTCGGACGGCATTGTCGGCTTTCCTGTGTCGTTGAAGCGGCCCATGACGGTCTTTCGACCTCGGTTGACGACGTCATATAGGACGCTGCCGTTTCCATTCTCGATGCGTTCGGGTTTCAGCAGCGTGAAGTCTGAGGAGAACCAGACCTTGCCTTTGGAATCGCGAGGGGCGATATCTAGGTCAACTATGCCGTCATTAGCCGAGTGGATCGGATCAACGGCGTAATGAACGGTGCCGTCAATTTGCTCGTATGCTCCGACATCACCGAAGCTTTTTCCGCCCGCATAAGGGGAGCGTCTGCTGATTTCGAGTTGTACGACTGCCACTTGGGAGCCTCCTTAATTGAACTTTCGGGATTGAGAGGTTGTGAAGGATTATACATCAGCGTGATTTTATCATCGCAAGGGCGATTTGGGAAAAGGCTCGTATTACAGGCATTGCCGGACTTTCAGAAGTTGCGCTGATTTGACAGGGCACTCTAGTTGGGTGTTAAATGACCGAGTATATGGTATCCACACGAGACATTAGCCGCTGTCACAGAAAACGAAGGTTCAACTGCGGGGGAGTTTCACACGTCATTGGTCATCTCTCGGGCCGAGCGGGAGGTACTGACAATATCCCGATTGGATGACCGCGACACGAAGTTCGCTTCACCTCCGACAAGGCAGGGCAGTTTCGCCCTTCTTTATCCTCCCACTTATAGCGAGTCATTGTAATTCACAAACGCCTTTCAATACGAGACTAATTCGGCATCCGTTTCCATTTTCACCCCTGATAAGGGACTTCGAGTTGCTATGAGAGCTTGATACGCTCACTAAACTTTCGATGTCTTGTGCAGAAGGCGAGCCTCGTTCACAATAGAGGGCACAGAAAAGGCCGCTCATGACTCAGAACTACGACACAATCCAGATAGATGTCAGAAACCTCTGGAAGGTTTTTGGGAACAATCCGAGGCTTGTTTTCCAGGATAAGTACGCGTCGGCGAGCCGTGCGGAAATCCAGGAGGAGTTGGGTCAGGTGGTGGCGCTGCGAGATGTGTCATTCAAAGTGCAGAAGGGGCAGACCTTCGTGATTATGGGGCTGTCGGGCAGCGGCAAGTCAACTCTGGTGCGCTGCCTTATTCGCCTAATCGAATCCACGCAGGGGGAAGTGCTGTTCGATGGGGAGAATGTACTGACATTCTCTTCGGATAAGCTCATAGAGTTCCGGCGACAGAAGATAGCGATGGTGTTTCAGCATTATGGGCTTCTGCCGCACCGCCGCGTTCTGGACAATGTGGCTTATGGGCTGGAGATACGGGGCGTGGACAAAGATGAGCGGCATCAGCAGGCACTTGAAGCCATTGAGACGGTCGGATTGAAGGGCTGGGAGTACTACCTGCCGAGCGAGATGAGCGGCGGCATGCAGCAGCGAATCGGGCTGGCGCGGGCACTGGCGGCGAACTCTGAGGTGCTGCTGATGGATGAGCCGTTCAGCGGGCTTGATCCCCTGATACGGCGGGAGATGCAGGACGAGCTGATTTCCCTACAAGCATCTATTCAGAAGACAATTGTATTCATCACGCACGACCTGAACGAGGCGCTGAAGATAGGAGACCGCATTGCGATAATGCGGGACGGGGAGATCGTGCAGGAAGGGTCACCTGAGGAGATAGTAACGCTGCCTGCGGATGATTATGTTACTTCGTTCGTGCAGGATGTGTCGCGGTCGAAGGTCATACAGGCGAGAGCTATCATGCAGGAGCCCGACGCAGTGGTGAACGACTGGCAGGGGCCGCGCGCTGCGCTACATGCGATGCGCAGCGGCGATACCGATGTGCTGTTCGTGCTGGGACGCGACAATGTGCTGAAAGGCGTATTGACTGAAGATCAAGCGGGAAAGCTGGCACGGCAGAAGGTCGAATCGCTGCGGGGGCTGGAACTGGACCAAGTGATGACAGCAGACCCGGATTCCTATATCGAAGACCTGATTCCAATGGCGGCGCAGACTGAGCATCCAATAGCGGTAGTGAACGAGGAGGGGCGATTGCTGGGAGAGGTCCATAGAGGGGCGCTTCTGACGGGGATGTCGGACGAAGCGACGGAGGCGTAGCATGGCACAAGTCGAGAATCTGCGGCCGACATCGTCCGATTCTACACAGCGCGCTTCTTTCAGTAACGTGCCCAGAATCTACCACTGGCTGCTTGGCATAGGCTTTGTGATCATTGTGATGCTGGCATGCCTGCTTATGTGGGGTTCAGGAATTGAGTTCCCGACAACGGTGTCCAGCTCTGAGGTGGCAACAACGGGCGGTAATACAATCCTGATCGAGAGGTCGCTGCGTCAGGTTACGGGCCAGAGGATAGACGATTGGGCGAAATGGCTGACGAAAAACGGAGATTGGCTCTTCGACGGGGTGAAGTCGGGTATTCAGTACGCGCTGCGCTATATCGAGAATGTGCTGAAGTGGATACCGTGGCCTGCAATTCTTGTGGCGCTAGCGCTACTATCGTATGCGGTGGGCCGCTGGAGAATGCTGATTTTTACTTCGATAGCTGTGCTGTTCTTCGGCTTTATGGGGCTGTGGGAGAATACCATAGACACGGTTGCCCTGATGGTAGTGTCGGTGGTAATCGCGGTGGCTGCGGGACTTCCGCTCGGGGTCGTAGCGGCGCGCAGCCAGCTTGCGGACAACATCATGCGCCCAATACTGGACGCGATGCAGACGATGCCCAGCTTCGTGTATCTGCTGCCGGGCATACTGTTTTTCGGTCTTGGGTCGCCGGCGGGCATATTCGCAACGCTGATATATGCCATACCACCCGTGATTCGATTGACGAACTTAGGTATAAGGCAGGTGTCGGAGGAGACTGTCGAGGCAGCGAGGTCATTTGGCGCTTCGCCGTGGCAAGTGCTTACCACCGTGCAAATTCCGATGGCGTTGCCCACAATAATGGCGGGAATCAACCAGACAACTATGATGGCGCTTGCGATGGTAACGATCGCCAGCATGGTTGCGGCGGGCGGCTTGGGCGACAATGTGCTGCGCGCACTGCAGAAGAACCAGGTGGCGAAGGGCTTAATCTCCGGCTTGGCGATTGTATTCCTCGCCATAATAATTGACAGGCTCACTCAGTCAGTGGCGAACAAGCGCCAAGAGGCAATGATGAGCCCAGGATAAACAGGAGGCGATGAACTTTTGACATTACGGTACTGAGCATGGCTCAGATGAACGCCTGCACCAGGGCTAACCCTTTGGCATGCAGGAGCGTTATAAGGACAGAGAAGAAGCCGAAAGCCCGTAGCAACATATTGCGAGGGGCGAAATGAGTAAGGAGGAAATGGTTTGTTTACTAGAAGTAAACTTTTATTGTCGATGATGATAATGGCGATTATTGCAGTAGCGGCGATGGCTTGCTCGCAACCTACGCCGGCACCGGCACCGGGTATTGACGAGGCGCGACTACAGAGCATCGTAGAATCGGCGGTAGCGAAGTCTGCGCCGGCACCGGCGCCGCAGGTTACGGCGGAAGAGATTTCTACCATGGTTGAAAAGTCCATGATGGGCATGTCCGAGTCGCAGGTATCCGCCAGCGAGATTCAGGCCATGGTTGAAAAGGCGGTTGAATCAGCCGCGATGGAAGGCGCAAGTGCCGAAGAGATTTCGGCTATGGTTGAGAGCGCGGTGATGGCTGCAGCGGAAGACAGCATCACAGCCGAAGATGTCCAGTCTGCGATTTCCATGGCGGTCATGGAAGCTCAGGAATCCGCTGTAACAACCGAGGACGTGCAGTCCGCAGTTTCGTCTGCCGTCATGGAAGCATCTATGGAAGCATCTATGGAAGCATCTTCGGACGCACTGACGGCTGAGAAGGTACAGGAGATCGTCGCGATGGCGCTGGAAGACCGCGCAATGATGGAAGAGCCTCCGCGCGAGACGATCATCTTCAGCGACCTGAACTGGTCGAGCGCACAGCTGCAGAACCGAATAGCGCAGTATCTGGTGGAGAAGGGTTACGATTATCCGACAGATGTGGTGTTCGGCGCGACGCTACCGTTGTTCAATGGATTGCGGAACGGCGACACGCATGTGACGATGGAAATCTGGCTGCCCAACCAGGATGAAGCATGGAATGAGGCGCAGGCAGCAGGTGAAGTGTATCCAGTCGGCCTAAGCCTGGGCAAGGACTGGCAGTCGGCATTCGTTATTCCCAAGTATCTGCAAGAGCAGTACCCTGAACTGGACAGCGTGGATGACCTGACGGACCAGCAGTTCAAGGACCTCTTCAAGACGGCAGAGACGGGCGATAAGGCTCGCCTGGTATCCTGTGTCATCGGCTGGGCATGTGAAGTCGTGAACGCCGCGCAGGTTGCGGGCTACGGATTGGATGAGCATGTTCAGATAATCAATCCGGGTGACGGCGCTGCCCTGAACGCGGATGTATATGGCGCTTACGAGCGTCAGGAGCCCTGGCTGGGCTACCAGTGGGGCACCAATGACCCCGCTCTGAAGCTCGACCTGGTTCGCCTCGAAGAGCCAGCATACAGCGACCAGTGCTGGTTCACGACGAAGGCCTGCGCTTACGAAGACGCAACCATCCTCATCGCAGTAGTGCCGGACCTTCCCGCGAGGGCGCCGGACGTGATCGAGATGTTGCAGGCGTGGGACTTCAACATTGACGTCTATAAGGCCGCGGTGAAGTGGGGGGATGAAAACCCTGACGCGGACACGAACGCAACTGCCCTCTGGTGGCTGAGCTCCAACGAGGATATCTGGGGCGCATGGGTTACTTCCGAAGCGGCTGAGAGCATAAGCATTGCGCTGGCAGCAGGGGAAACCGCGGACGGCTGGCCTAGCGAGTAGGGGAAGAATTGCCGCGCGACTAAGCGGTAACGGCTAAGAACAGAGAGAGAGGCGGCTTTCAAAGTTGCCTCTCTCTGTTTGTGCAGCACAGTAGTGACCACTGAGCATTAGGCACGCATTAGAAATGCCACTGTCAGCGTTATTAGTTAGAGTGTTGGAGCCGCGCATGTTAAAATGGAGCGCAGGAGGCTTTGGACACCATGAGCAATAATTTTCGTGTGCGGTTCGCGCCAAGCCCGACGGGTGAGCCACACGTCGGCAACATCCGCACCGCCATATTCGACTGGCTACTTGCGAAGCGTCACGGCGGCGAGTTCATCGTGCGTATCGAAGATACTGACAGGGCGCGCGCGGTTGACGGCGCAGTCGAGGTTATCATCGAGGCGCTGAAGTGGCTTGGCCTGAGACTGGGACGAAGGTCCGGATGTCGGCGGGAAGTACGCACCATACAAGCAATCTGAGCGATTGGCGTTGTATTCTGAGCATGCCGAGCGGCTGGTTGAAGCCGGCTTCGCGTATAAGTGCTACTGCTCTCCCGAAAGGCTGGACGCGGTAAGAAAGTCTCGATCGAAACAGGACAATGCAACAGGGTACGACCGTAGGTGCCGTGATCTCAGCCAAGACGAGCGCGCTTGCCTTGAAGAAGAGTTGAAGTTACAGGGAACGGCCGGTCGTGCGCTTCAGGATGCCACTCGAAGGCACAACGACCGTGGACGACCTTGTGCGCGGCGAAGTTACATTCGAGAACCGCCTAGTGGACGACTTCGTCATGTTGAAGTCGGACGGCTTTCCCACATACCATCTCGCGCACCTCATAGACGACCATGAGATGCAGATTACGCATGTGCTGCGCGGCGAGGAGTGGCTGCCGAGCGTGCCACGACATCTTCAGCTTTACGAGGCGCTGGGATGGAAGCCGCCGCTTTTCGCGCACCTGCCAATCATACTCGCGCCGGACCGCTCCAAGCTCAGCAAGAGGCACGGCGCGACTTCCCTGCTCGACTACCGGGAGATGGGCTACCTGCCCCACACGATGGTCAACTTCCTGACACTGCTGGGCTGGTCGCTGGACGATAAGACAGAGTTGTTCACTCTAGATTCGCTCATCGAGAATTTTTCGATTGGGCGTGTCTCAAAGGCAGGGGCGATATTCAACACTGAGAAGCTGGACTGGATGAACGGACACTATATCCGCGAGATGAGCGCAGACGAACTCGCAGATACCCTGCTGGACTTCTGGCAGGCGTTCCCGCCTTTGGAAATCCCTACCCTGCCATCGCGCGAGCTTGCGCTGAAGATCGTGCCCTGGTTCAGGAGCGCCTGAAGACGCTGCGAGATGCCGCTCCGCTAGTAGCCTTCGTGTTCAAGGATGAGATTGAGTACGAGGCCGAGGAGCTCATTCAGCGCCGAATGGACGCCGACTCAACACGACGCTGTCTTGAGGCTGCACATGATGGGCTAGCTGCGATCGACGCATTCGACGCGGAGCCCATAGAGACATTGCTTCGCGGGATGGTGAAGGAGCTCGATGTCAAGGCGGGTCAGCTCTTCGGTTCGTTGCGCGTGGCGACCACCGGACAGCGAATCGCTCCGCCTCTGTTCGAGTCGCTTGAGGTGCTTGGACGCGAGCGAAGCCTTGAATTGATAGAATCCGCGCGCGACCGACTCTAAAGACAACCGAGACAGAAACGACGATAGGCAGGAGAGTACGATGGCGCTAAAAGAAACGCTGACCAACGACCTCAGAAACGCAATGCGGCAGCGCGACAACGTCAAGCGCGACACCATCCGCCTCCTTCTTTCTGCCATCGGCTACGAAGAGAAGGCACAACGCACGGACGCGCTCGAAGACGATACCGTTATGCAGGTGCTGAGCAAGCAGGCGCAGCAGCGGCGCGAAAGTATCGAGGCATATCAGAAAGGCAACCGCCCGGACCTTGTTGCGAAGGAAGAGGCTGAACTTGTCATCGTAAGCGAGTACCTGCCGCAACCCCTTTCCGCCGACGAGATTCAAGTGATTGTCCAGTCGGCGATTGCGGAAGTGAACGCTACGGGACCACAGGACATGGGCAAGGTGATGGGCAAGATCATGCCTCAGGTGCGTGCGCGCGCAGACGGCAAGCAGGTCAGCACCCTTGTCAGCCAGACACTCAGGGACCTTTAAGCATGAAATTCGGCGTTGTCGTATTTCCCGGTACATGGAGCGATGTTGACTGCTTCGATGTGCTTAACGACGTGTTCCATCAGCCGGTCGAGTATGTCTGGCACAAGGACACCGACCTATCGCCATATGACTGCATCATCCTGCCCGGTGGCTTCTCCTACGGCGACTACCTCCGGCCCGGAGCGATTGCGCGCTTCTCGCCGGCGATGCAGGCGGTGACAGACTTCGCCGCGAATGGTGGTCTTGTTATCGGCATCTGCAATGGCTTCCAGATTCTATGCGAGGCAGGGCTGTTGCCCGGTGTGCTGTTGCCAAACGACCACCTGCAATTTCGCTGCCAATGGACGACCTTGCGCGTGGAGAACGCCAACACAGCATTCACCGGAGCATCGACAGTCGGCCAGACGCTGCGGAGTCCCAATTTCTCATGGCGAAGGGAATTACTTCGCCGAAGCCGCTGTCATAGAGCAACTGGAAGAGCACAATCGCGTGGTTTTCAGGTATAGCAGTCCTGACGGCAGGATAACTCCTGACGCGAACCCCAATGGTTCACTGAACAACATAGCGGGTATTCTCAACGAGCGTGGCAATGTGCTGGGCATGATGCCTCACCCGGAGCGCTGCTGCGATGCACTTCTCGGCGGCGAGGACGGCAAGTTTATCTTCCAGTCGATGATTGACGCGCTTTCCGCACGAATTCTAAGTGGAGTTTCAGCCTAGTGCTCGGCGCTGCGCTTGCCCTGTCAGCCGCGCTAGGTTTCGGCGCAAGCGCAGTGTTTGCCCGCGTGGGGATGCAGTATGTTCGTCCGACGACGGGCACATTCATCTCGCTTTTGGTGGGCGTTTCAATCACACTGACGCTTGCGCTGGTGTTTAATTTCAACGATATTCTTGCACTCGGTGGCATAGCCTTTGCGTGGTTTCTGCTCAGCGGCACGTTGAATTTTCCGCTCGGACGCCTACTGAACTTCACAAGCGTAAGCAAGCTCGGTGTGGCGCGCGCCGCGCCGATAGTCGGCGCCTCTCCTTTGTTCGCAGCGGTCCTTGGCGTGACGGTCGGCGGAGAGACCATGAATCTTTTGATTTTCGCGGGCACCGTTACCATAATCTGCGGCATCGCACTCATCGTGGGGCAAAGATGACGATCGGTGGAATCGCGCGGCGCGAGGCGGTCATCGGCTATGGAGCTGCGATAGGCGCTGCTGCCTGCTATGGAACGCTTGCGGTGCTGGGGCGCAAGATTGCCACCGACATCGCCCCGCCTCTGGTCGCCAACTCGTTCTCCATGATTCTAGGGACTCTGGTGCTTGCAGCCATATTCCAGAGCCATATTCGCACCGACTTCAAGGTGCGCCCTGCAAAGAAGGGCTGGTTGTTCGTCGGGCTCGCGGGATGCGCCTCTACCTGGGGCGTTACCTGCTGGTTCCTCGCGCTGGGCGTGGCGCCTGCCATACTTGTTGCGCCACTTGCAGCCGTTTCACCACTCTTCTCCGTGCTTCTGGCACTGGTCTTCCTGCGGGGCATGGAGCGCGTAACCGTGCGAACTATTCTCGGCACACTGATGACCGTCGCCGGCGTCATTCTGATTACATTCGGCATACTATAATCCAGAGGCAGCATTAAACTATGGCAGTATCAAAGCAAGCGCTGGACGAACTCGCGATCACGGAAGCTGAATACGAGGCGATTGTCGAGAGGCTCGGCAGGGAGCCTAACCACCTGGAACTTGGGCTGTTCGGCTCACTTTGGAGCGAGCACTGCGGCTACAAGCACTCCAAGCCGTTGCTGCGACTGCTGCCCAGCGACAGCCCGCGCCTGCTTGTAACGCCCGGCAGCGAGAACGCGGGCGTGGTGGACATTGGGGACGGACTTGCCATCGTCATGAAGATCGAGTCGCACAACCACCCATCGGCAATCGAGCCGTATGAGGGCGCTGCGACAGGCGTCGGCGGGATAGTGCGCGACATATTCGCCATGGGAGCGAGGCCTATTGCGCTCATGAACTCCCTGCGGTTTGGTTCGCTGGACGATGCGCGCAATCGCTATTTGTTCGGCGGCGTAGTTGCGGGCATATCCGGCTATGGCAACTGTATCGGAATCCCCAATGTGGGCGGCGAGGTGTGCTTCTCAGACTCTTATTCCGGCAACCCTCTGGTCAACGCCATGTGCGTGGGCATAATCAGGGCGGGAGAATTGGTGCGCGCAACAACCGGAGGGCCGGGAAGCCTGCTGATGCTCGTTGGCTCCGACACTGGGCGTGACGGCATCCACGGCGCATCCGGGCTAGCGTCCCGCACTTTCGAGGAGGAGCGCGAACTGCGTCCCACGGTGCAGGTTGGCAACCCTTTTATGGAGAAGTCGCTGATCGAAGCGTGTCTTGAAGTCATCAAGACCGACCACATCATCGGACTGCAGGACCTCGGCGCGGCTGGTCTGACCAGCGCATCTGTGAAGCAGCATCCAACGGCGCGAGCGGCATAGAGATTGATGTCGGGCTTGTGCCGCGCCGCGAAACGGGGATGACACCGTACGAGGTAATGCTGTCAGAATCTCAAGAGCGCATGCTGGTGGTCGTCAAGCCGGGACATGAAGATGCGGTGAAGGCGATATTCGACAAGTGGGACTTGCAGTCAACGGTCATCGGCAAGGCAACTGACGACGGACTGGCGCGAATTATTGACAGTGGAGGCGACGGCGCATTGTTGCAGGGCGCACCTCTCGTCAGCACGCTGACAGACGCGCCGCAGTATCGCTTGCAGGGCGTGAAGGCGAAGTGGCTAACTGAGTTGCAAGAGCGGGACTTGTCTGAATTACCCCTGCCCAAACAGTCGCCAGAAGATGTACTGCTGGGTCTGCTTGCGTCTCCCAACATCGCAAGCAAGGAGTGGGTGTATCGCCAATACGACCATCAGGTTCAGACGAACACTGTGGCAGCGCCAGGCGCCGATGCCGCAGTGTTGCGCGTGAAAGGCACTGCGAAGGGCATCGCGCTGTCGACGGACGGCAATGGCAGGCTCTGCTATCTCGATCCGTTCATCGGGGGCATGATCGCGGTGGCGGAAGCATGCCGCAATGTGTCCTGCACCGGCGCCGAGCCGATAGCACTCACCGACTGCCTGAACTTCGGAAACCCGGAGAGCCGGAAACATATTACCAGCTTGAGCAGTGCATTCTCGGCATGGCAGAGGCATGCCGCGCGCTGAACGTGCCCGTCATAAGCGGCAATGTCAGCCTGTATAACGAGACGCAGGGTGAGAGTATTTACCCTACCCCCGTCATCGGCTGCCTAGGACTGCTCCATGAAGTTCGAGTCAATGTCGGAATCGGGTTTCAGAAGGCGGGCGACATCATAGTTCTGCTGGGCGCGTCTGAGCCGGAGTCGGACGCAGCATCACTAGCAGGTAGTGAATACCTCGAACTCATGCATGGCTTGGTCGCCGGAAATCCTAAGCTCGACATTGAAGGTGAAGCCGCATTGCAACGCGCCTGCCGCCGTTTGGCAACCGAAAGTGTCGTAAGCTCTGCCCACGACTGCTCGGAGGGCGGCTTGGCCGTGACGCTCGCAGAGTCATCCATCGCGGGTGGAATGGGCGTGGAGTGCGGTGATGACACCGCGCTGGGAAGCAAACTAGCTGGGTCCGGCAGCCGGTGGGACGCTGTCCTGTTTGGTGAAGCGCAGTCTCGCATCGTCGTGTCGCTGGACCCCGGACGGATGGAGAGGCTCGAAAGCCTTTGCACTCAGGAAGGCGTCGAGTGGGCTGTGCTAGGCAAAGTCACAGAGTCTCGCTTTGCGATTGGCAGCTTGATTGACTTACGAGTGTCCGAGATAGAAAGCACATGGCGTAGCGCCCTTCAAAAGAGGCTGTAAAGCCGAGAAGGGCCGAGCTCCAACGATGAGGTATCCAGTGAGTGGCGCGCTGAAACAGCGTTACACGCCATCCACAACGACCATATTGATTTCTGCCGAGCCGGCGCGAATATCGTCAAGTGCTGTGTAATCCGGTGAACTTAGCCACACTTTCACCTGCTCAACGCTGTCGAACTGCAAAATCGCCAGTCGCGGAGGCGCCCAGTCTCCCAGCACGACTTCAAGCGCACCGCCGCGCACCACGAACTTGCCCCCGTGCCCTTCGACCGTGGCTGTTACCTTTTCGAGAAACTCGCCGTAGAGTTCTGCATTCGTTATCTCGACATCGGTTATTACATAAGCTGCCATGCTTCGAAACTCCTTGCATGTGTGCTCGGGCTCGGTCTGTCGTTGACGCTATCAAGTGAGAAGCATTATGTAAAAAAGGGGGCGAGTTTTCTGGCAGTTGAGGGGGGCAAATTGACACGGTTTCGGCGTAGTGCTAAATTAGAAATGCTGGCAGTTGCGGTTTGCTTCTGCTAACCCTACTATGAAATGGGAGTGTCTATATTGCCTGCTTACGACTACAAGTGCAACAGTTGCAGTCATCGCTTCGAGGAGCGCCAGAGCTTCTACGCCGATCCAGTGGCGACATGCCCGGAATGCGAAAGCGAAGCCAGCCGACAGTTCGTAGCCGTGCCCATCGTATTCAAGGGCAGCGGCTTTTATGTGAACGACTACGGCAAGAGCAGCAGCTACAAGAGCACCAAGTCGGACACCAACGGCGCATCTGCCGACTCCGGTAAGAGTGAGGAGTCCTCATCTAAACCGGCGGAGAAGGCGAAGAGCAGCACATCCGGCTCGGACGAGTAGCACTTGCGCGCTCTCGTCCAGCGTGTATCGCAGGCGTCGGTCTCCATTGACGGCGAGATTACCGGCAGCATTGACGCTGGATTAGTGATACTCGTTGGCATCCACGAAGACGACGATGAGGAAGACGTCACTTACATCGTCAGCAAAACCCTCAATCTTCGAATATTCAGCAATAACACTGGCGGTGACGAAGCCGGCAGATTTGACCGCTCCGCGCTCGACATCCACGCCAACCTCCTGGTCATAAGCCAGTTCACACTCTACGGTGATACTCGCCGCGGACGGCGCCCTAGTTTCAGCCATGCGATGCCGCCGGAACCCGCCGCTGCGCTCTTCGACTGTACTCTGCGCCTATTCGAACAGACAGGGCTCAATGTGCAGACTGGGCAATTTCAGGCTCATATGCTCGTTTCAATCCACAACGATGGGCCCGGTTTCCATCATGATAGACTCTGCTGACAGGCACCGACCGAGACGGGGTTGAGGTAAAAGCATGAAGCAGTTCAAAGTGATTATCGAGAAGCACCCGGAAGGATATGTAGCCTATCCTTTGGGTCTAAAAGGAGTCGTGGTTGGACAAGGCGACACCTACGACGAGGCGCTGACTGATGTGAAATCCGCAATCAAGTTTCACATGGAAACCTTCGGAGATGATGAACTGGCGGAAGATTCACCGATACTTGAAGCCTTTGTAGCCGAAGCAGAAGTTAATGTTTGATGCCTGTCCGATTCCCAGTCGATGCGCCAAGACGCAGGGTAGTTCGAACACTCCAAAGAATTGGCTTTCGCATAGTACGGGAACGGCAGCACATAGTAATGGTTAGAGACAATCCAGACGGCACTAGGAACGCGCTGACAATACCAAATCATCCTAGAATAAAAGGCTCTACTCTGAGAACCATATGCACTCAGTCAGGCATCAGCAGGGCAGAATTCCTAGCAGCGTATACCATCTCGGGGTGACAAGCGACTTAGCGCGGCGACCAGAAGCCCATTATCCCCTCCCCTAAGACATGCGCCTCTGCCACCGGCTCCACATCTACAACAACGATGTGAAAAGCGGAATGCCCGGGATGGCTACTTATGGATGCCGTTACAGAATCCGTGAGCAGGTCGCCAGAGAAGACGATGCTAGAACTGTCCGGTGACCAAACCGAATGCGAGTAGGCATACTGGTCGAAGAACTGGAACATCGTGAGCTGCTCTGCCGAGGGCGCAAAGTCAACAAGCCGCATGCGCTCATCGCTCTCTACATCGTACAGCGCCCAACTCAGCGCTCCCTGCCTTTCTGATAAGGTGACGAACGCAATTTTTCGTGCCGTCCGGCGACCAGAAGAAGGCAAGTACGGGCAGAGGAAGTTCGACGGTCTCTTGCGACGAGCCCTACCGACACGATTGCAATGCCGCGATAAATCGGCAACGCGGTATTTCTGTACATCAGATACTGCGCCGCTTCCGCCACGGCCAGATGCTCGCCCGTTGACGACCACAGGAACGCCGCCTCCCCTTCCACGCTTCGAATCGGCGTTATGGACTGCACTCTATTACCGTCGAGTCGCGCGCTGGATACGCTTGCTCGAAGCGCCGCGGGCTGAGACCTCAGCGTGATTGAGTCATCCACAGGATGCAACGCGGGGACACGATAGCCTATTGCCCTAATGTCCAGCGGTTGCACCGTGGGTTCATCGCCTCTCGCGATAAGGAAGTGATCCATTCCTCTGTGCACAGCGAGCTTGGAAGAATCGTGAGACCACGACATCCAAAGCGGTCCGTCATCCAGAAGATGCCGCGCATCAGGGTCGTCGCGAAGATCATCCATGAAGAGACTCAATCCGGCGCTAGTGGTGGCTATGAACGCAAGACGCTCGCTATCAGGCGACCAGAGAGGATAGTGAACTACACCTTGCGCCAGTAAGCCAACTTGCCCCGGCTCGCTTGCATACACTACACGCTTTCCGCCTCCGGCGTTATCCGAAGCGTACAGATTTATCTGCAATTCGCCCTCGTCGTCCACCACGCCGGAATACACAAGGGAATTTGCGTCAGGCGACCATGTGGGCCAAGTGAAGAAGCCTTCGATATCGGGACTTATCTGCCTGACACCCAAGCCGTCTGGCTGCATCGTCATCACTTCGCCGTCCATATTAACGAAGGCGATCAAGTTGACGCCTGGGTCTGACGTCGGGCGCATAGCGGCGATGACGGCGGCGCTCACAAGAAATACTACGAGCGCGAGGATCCCGACGATAAGCCTCTTCAACTTAGAGCGCTCACGATGTGAAGTCGAGGCTGATGTCCAAGCCTTTGGCGGAATGGGTTAACGCGCCAACGGAAATGAGGTCCACGCCGGAAGCCGCCGCCGCTCGCACAGTTCGCAATGTGATATTGCCCGATGCCTCGGTAACTGCCTTGCCGCTAGCCATCCGCACGGCGACCGCCATTTCCTCCGGCTCCATGTTATCCAGCAGCAGGATCTTCGCGCCCGCCTCCAGCGCCTCTTCAACCTGCGCCAGATCTTCCACTTCCACTTCGACATTTATCGTGTGCGACTTTTCACGGTTGGCTTTGCGAACGACATCGCCAAGGGACATTCCAAATGCGTTCAGAGCTTCAATATGATTGTCCTTGATTAGGATGCCATCACCGAGATTTTGCCTGTGGTTGTAACCGCCGCCTACCCTGACGGCGTACTTCTCGAGCGCCCGCAGTCCGGGAGTCGTTTTGCGCGTATCCACAATTCGTACGTCGTATCCATCGACTTCTTGCACGTATTCCGCGGTCACGGTAGCTGTTCCCGACAGCATGCGAATGAAGTTGAGCGCGGTGCGTTCGGATTTGAGCAGCGGGTTCATCCGCCCGCTCACTGTGGCAATCAGGTCGTCCGGCCGGAGGCGCTCCCCATCCTGAATGTATGACTTCGCAGTTAGCGTGTTGTCAAATCGCTGGAACACGGCGAGTGCAACATCAAGTCCTGCCAGTATGCCCTCCTGCTTTGCAACGAACGAAGCCTTCCCTTGCATGTCGGGCGGAATCAGGATGTCGGTTGTGGGGTCGCCTATGGAAAGGTCCTCCGAAAGCGCGCGATCTATCAGCGTCTCGGTGTCCGGTGTCATCTGAAACAATGGGTTACTACCTCACTTAAAATCAAACCCATCTTGGCTCACATAAGCAAATATCCAAGATGGGTTCATATATCAAGTCGTTGTTGGATTGGCTAAATGGAATTGGCTAAACGACCGCAAGCATCCTATCGAGGGAAATGCGCGCCTGCTCAGCGGTGTCTTCGTCAACGGTTATCTGGTTCACGACTACGCCCTCGTTCAACCCGTCAAGCACCCAGCTCATGTAGGCAGGGTGAATGCGATACATGGTGGAGCAGGGACATACAACCGAGTCCAGGCAGAATATCTTCTTGTCCGGATTCTCGGCAGCGAGGCGGTTAACCATGCTAATCTCGGTTCCAACGGCAACGACGCTGCCGGGAGCGGAATCCGCGACCACACGCCTAATATACTCGGTCGAGCCGTTAGAGTCTGCCGCCTGCACAACTTCCATTGTGCATTCGGGATGCACGACCACATGCACATCGGGGTGCGCCGTTCTTGCCTGTTCGATCTGCTGTACCGTGAAGCGGGTGTGCACGGAGCAGTGCCCTTGCCAGAGGATTAGCCTGGCATTTCGCAACTCCTCGACGGTGTTGCCACCGAGAGGCTTGAACGGGTTCCAGACGACCATTTCGTCCAAGCCGATGCCCATCTTCAAGCCGGTGTTCCTGCCGAGATGCTGGTCTGGGAGGAACAGGATGCGCCGACCTCGCTCAAGCGCCCAATCGAAAGTCGCGGGCGCGTTGGACGAAGTGCAGACGATGCCGCCGTTGCGCCCACAGTGCGCTTTGATGGCGGCGGTTGAGTTCATGTACGTGATGGGGATGATGTCGCCATCGTCGCCCAGTTCGTCCTGCAAGTCGTCCCAACAGTCCAGCACATCGTCTATGCGCGCCATGTCCGCCATGGAACAGCCTGCAGTCAAGTTGGGCAGTATGACCCTCTGGTAAGGGGCGCTGAGGATGTCCGCGGTCTCTGCCATGAAGTGAACGCCGCAGAAGATAATGTTCTCGACGCTTTTCTGAGATGCTGCGTACTGCGACAGGTTGAACGAATCGCCCCTGTAATCGGCGTACTTGATAACCTCGTCGCGCTGGTAGTGATGACCTAGGATTACCGTGCTGTCACCAAGCTTCGCTCTCGCTTCGGCAATGCGTTCATCAAGCTCCTCAGGAGACATGCGCATGTAGCTGACCGGAAGCTTCTGCCAGCGCACACCGGCGCTGAACTCCTCCTCCAGAGTCTTCGCCCGCAGTTCCTCATCAGTCTGACAGAATGCCGACTGCTCAATCTCCGTGATGGGTATAGTTGGTATTCGCTGCTCGACAACCATAACGATAATCCCTCCAGACGCGCCAGACGGTTGTATGCACTAGCGCGTTATCGTCCCCTGCAGTGACCAGGGAGCTGTCTTCTCAATCGTTACATTGACCATTTTTCCGGCCAGGTCAGCTTCCGATACTTCGTCGTTGATGAAAACTAGCTTGTCGTTGCGATTGCGCCCGAACCATTTGCCGCGCTTGCGTCCTTCCACGAGCACATCGAACTTTCGTCCCAGCAAAGGCGCGTTTATTTCGGTCGCTATCCCTTCTTGTAGGATTTCGATTGCTTTCAGACGCAATTTCTTTTCGTCTTGCGGAACATCGTCAACCAGCATGCGTTCAGCAATCGTGCCGGGCCTGTTCGAGTATGCTGCCGCATGCACCTTGTCGAACTTGATGTCTTCGATGAGCGAGAGTGTTTGCTCGAACTGCGCGTCCGACTCGCCACAGAAGCCGACAATGACATCCGTGCTCAGTGACACATTCGGAATGCGCTCCCGAATCTTGTCTATGAGACGGCGATATTCGTCGTTGGTGTAGCCTCGCCGCATATCGGTAAGCACGCGGTCGTCCCCAGCTTGAAACGGCAGGTTGATGTGCTCGCACACCTTGTCGAGTTCCGCTACCGAGTCGATGATGTGGTCGCTCATGTCGTTGGGATGTGAGGTGAGGAAGCGCACACGCTCAAGCCCGAGAAACATCGTTGACAGCCGTGAGCAAGTCTCCCAGGTCATGTTCATCAGGCAGGTCATGACCGTAGGAGTCAACATTCTGACCCAGCAGGGTGACTTCCTTTACGCCGCGCTCGACCAGCATTTCGGCTTCGCGCACAATCTCCGCAACCGGGCGGCTGACTTCCCTGCCACGCCTATACGGGATTATGCAGAATGTGCAGAACTTGTCGCAGCCGTGAATTATGGGGATGTATGTCGCAACATCCGGGCGTGCTACGAGCGGACCGATACAGCCTTCAGTGTCGATATCCATGCGTTCGCCGAGCAGGTCTATCAGAGGCTGATACTGTTGCGGCTGCATGAAGACGTCAACGTAGGGGAAGCGTTTTTCGAGATCGTCCGTCTTGGGACCGACCATGCATCCCATCAGCGCCACAACCTTGTCCTGGTTGCGCTGCTTGAGCGGCTTCAGGCTGGTCATCATACCAACGACGCGATCTTCGGCGCTCTGGCGCACGACACAGCTGTTCAGCACGATGACATCCGCCTCTTTCGGCGATGGACGCGGGGCGAGTCCCATCTGCCCCAGCGCGCTCTCGAGGCGTTCAGAATCTGCCTTATTCATTTGGCAGCCGACAGTCCAGATGTAGTAACCGTCCATTTGTGAAAGTTTTCTCAATCGCAGGGTAAAAAAATAAATAAATGGCGGAGGGAATGGGATTCGAACCCATGAGGGCTTATTCAACCCTAACCACTTAGCAGGCGGCCGCACTAGACCTCTATGCGATCCCTCCGCGCTGATTTGATGAACTAATATAACAGACGGCGTGCATTATTGGCAACCATGATGATTGTGATTTTCATAACAATCATCGGCGATAGAGTGCAAATCAGTAATGTTTTCCAAATAGATGACAGTTGTTGTGCATTACACGCATATTCGTTGCAGGACTTCGCAATTCTGGCGGTAAGATATGTGAAGAATCAGTACTACTTCCAAGTGAAATGAGGATTCCACAACTACGATCCGCCAGCGGCGACTGCTGTTTCCTGCTTGGCGCACTCATCCTCCTGGCTGCCGACCCACACCTCGCCGCCTTCGAAGAATTCTTTCTTCCAGATAGGCACAATCTGCTTGATACGGTCTATGGCGTATGCGCTCGCCTCGAACGCCTCCTTGCGATGCGGGGAGGCTATGGCGACAACTAGGCTGAGGTCTCCAATTTCCAACCTGCCGAGCCGGTGTGCAATCGCGACATCGGAGATGCCCCATCGCTCACGAATCTCCTGAGCTATGCGAGCAAGCTGGTTGTCCGCCATTGGTCTGTATGCCTCATATTCGAGGTACAGAACCTTGCGCTCCGCGGTAGAGTCCCGCGTCGAGCCAAGAAAAGTGACGACTGCGCCGTTGCTGTCTTGCTTCACGCTGTCGGTTATTGCTTCGGGGCACAACTCATCGTTAGTAATCGTAATCATATCTTCACCGGCCGGGAGCTTACAGGAGGAAATGGTTCATTTGCAATGAACTTAGAACACGCTCAGCCACCGCTCACGGGCGGGATGAACGCCACTTCGTCATTTTCGCTGAGGGGGTAGTCGTGCTCCTGGTACTCTTCGTTCACAGCAATCATCAGGCGCGAAGAATCGCTGGAAATGGCAGGGTGGAGGCGGAGCAACTCGCGCGCAGCATCCGACACGGTTGCGTCATCAGTCAGGCTTATCTCCAAGTCAGACATACCTGCCTTCTCTTTGTAGCTGGCAAACAGCTTGACTCTGACTATCAGGCTGCCACCTCCTGCGTGTCTGGATTACTCTAATTATAACACGCCCTCGTTTGGGCAATTCTAATATGCAAGGGCACCGCCGTTGACAGTGGAAAGTCTGTCCGGTGATGAATGAAGCGTCGTCGGATGCGAGGAAAGCGCAGGTTGTCGCAATCTCTTCCGGAAGTCCCAGCCTACCTACAGGGATGCCCACGGCGCGGGCGCCTTCCGGCGCTGCGAACGAGTTGGTCTGCCCAGGAGGAGGGGAAGTGTCGAAGGCACCCGGCACGATGTGGTTGACGAGAATGTTGTACTCCGCAAGCTCGGCGGCGAGCGCGCGGGTGAGTCCAAGCGCGCCCATTTTGGAGGCGCAAACATGGCCCAGTGCGCCCTGCCTTTGAAGGCATTGAGACCCGAGACATTCACGATGCGCCCCCAACCCCGTTCAATCATGCCCGGTATTACCGCTTGGGAGGCGAAGAATGGTCCGTCGAGATTCACGGCGAGCACGCTGCGCCATTGCTCAACCGTCATATCTGTTATGGAGTCGACAGCGCGCAGTCCGGCATTGTTGATAAGGATGTCCACGCGCCCGAAAGCGGACAGCGCATCATCCACCATCGCATCCACCTGCTCTTTAACGCCAACATCGGCGATAATCGCAATTGCCTTGCCGCCGAACGATTCCACCTCACCTACCACAGATTCAGCCTCGTTGCGATTGCTTCGCGCATTGACCACCACGCTTGCGCCGCGCCGCGCCAATTCGAGTGCGGTTGCCCTGCCGATATTTCTGCCAGAGCCGGTTACAATTGCTACTTTGCCTTCTAGGGTCATTGCGCTAACTCCTGTATTGTCTTCTTATCTGACTTAACGTGGCGGTGGCGTTACATCGGCAGCATTGTATCAGACATTCAGCGCTGCCAAAGATGAAGTTGCTGAACGACGCCCTGCACCTACTGAGTTGCACATATATTACATATATATAGTTGGGGGAGGGTCGCCGTGATACAATACGCGCCATGAAATTAGCCATCCTGCCCCTTCTGCTGCTGCCGCTTTTGATAGCGGCATGTCTTGAGCTTACGCCCAACATCTCCACAGATTTTTCCGAGATAGAGGCGCGCGCGGTCTTCGAATCAGAGGTGCGGGACATGTGCGACCACAGGAAATCCCGCATTCCGCAATACTGCGCAGCATTGAAGAGGCAGGGCAGTCCCGACAATCGACCATTGGATATTTACTGTCGAAGAGATGGAAGCGCAGGTATTCCCTTCGGGGCTGATAACAGGCGATTACCATCGCCATGTACAGGAAAGTCTCTGCCGTTAAACGCACCGCCAAGTATTGCGCTATCGGTCAGAATATCTCGCCGGTTATTGGGTCCATCACAAGCACAATCCGGTTCACCTGTAGCCCAAGGGAATCGCGCACACCTACCAGAGATTCAAGAGCTTGCTTGCGTGTGCCCCAGCCAACTTCGCGAATTATTGCAGTCATCTCCTCGCCAAGCCTCGCGACCTGGGGTGTGCGCTCCTTGAACACCGCGTCCAATGCTGCCCATTCGTTGGCGGTAAGCGTGAAGTACAGCTCGCAGTAGCGAATTGCCCATGTGGTGAACCATGGTGTGCCATACTCTGGGGCTGGGCTGTTGGCGACTCCGTTCAGTGCGCCTTGCAGCATGCGCTGGCGTATGAAGTCGTTCTCGAAGCCCATCTCGCCGCGCAACAGTTCTTCAAGCGGTGGATGCAGCACCATCTCTTCAAGGTCTCCGCCGATTCGTTCCTCCACTGAACCGGGCGGATAGTGCCGCCCTCTCACCGTCTTCGGATAGCCGCGCTGTCGCTGAACGATATGAAACAGCTCGTGCGCCACGTGATACGCGAGGTCGTCATCGGGCAGGCCCGCCCACTCCGGATCGTTCGGCGCGCTGAGGTCGTATCCCTGATCACCGAAGACAACGCTGTGCCCCGTCTCGATCTGCTCGACTGCGACCGGGATCTCAGTGTGGAAACGCTCCCAGAACTGATCGAAAGGCGGCGGAAGTTGTCGTTCCAGAACTTTCATATCGTATCCACTGCCCCGCCTAATCTGCGGGCTGCGCTGAGGGCGCGACAACGGATTCTTCCACCTTTGGACGCTTGGCGGTGAGCATCAGGAATGCGCCAAGCACATTGAGAAATCCAAGAAGGCGAATGGTATGAAGTATGTACCTGTCGTATCGAACATGTACCCCGCGAAAAGCGGAGCGAATATCATTGCGATGTTGTTCGGCATCTGTGACAGACCCATAATCGTAGCAAACGCTTTGCGTCCGAAGTAGTCCCCTCGAATGGAAGTCAGGAGCGGTATGCGCCCGCCGAAACCGATGCCGTAGAGCAGCGCGAATATCAGCGCCATGTAAATCTGGTCCGACACGGCGATTATCATGATTGCCACGCCTTGCAGCAGAATGAAGAAGAATATCAGCGGCGGCTTTGGCATGCGGTCAGCAAGCCAGCCTGCGATGAACTGCGTCGGAAGCGCAAGAATGGTATATATGAGCACGATGGTGCCTGCGCCGCTCAGGGACATGCCCATGTCAGTGAGTTTTGGCGCGAGGTGCAGCGCCAGCGTAACAATGGACACGCTCGAAGACATGTGGACGACGGTCAGAATCCAGAAGGCTCGCGTCTTCAACGCCTGCATCGCCGTGAATTCCTGCTCATCGTCGCATCAAGCCGCGCGCTGTTCAGCCCTTCGTTCGGATGCCTGCCTCGCGCCCGGTCTGTCTCCATCAGGACTCAGGCCAATGTCTTCGGGCCTATCACGCAGCAGGGTGAATACCGGCAGAATTAATCCCGCAAGGAAGATGGATATGCCAAATGTAGTCCAGCGGAATCCGTACAGCTCAATGCCGAGCGCCAAAACGGGCACCAGCAGTCCGCCCGAGGTGTATGCCCGACATGGAGGTCGCTATCGCCAGTGAACGCTGCCGCACAAACCAGTTGTTCATAAGCGACATCAGGGCGAGCCAGCCGCCGACGCCAGACCCAAGGCTGATAGTGATGAATGAGATGTAAAACTGCCATACGCCGCTCTGTATTCTGAACAGGCCAAGGTCCCAAAAGGCGTTGTTGCCGACCTGTGAGAACATGAGGAAGCCGAACGCCATAAGCAGGTAGCCGAACAGGATCATGCGGCGGTTGCCCACCTTATCTATGAGCCAACCCTCGACGGGACCGATGACCGCACCCTGCGCCCGGGAAAGAGAGAAGGCGCCGGAGAGCACAGTGCGGCTCCAGCCGAATTCAGTTTGCAAGGCTACGAGGAAAGTTCCAAGCCCCTGGAAAGACGGACACTGCCATTAGTGTCAGCAGCACTACGGCGATGCCAACCAGCCACCAGCCATAGAAGACGCCGCGCACCATGCCAACAACATGGGATGGGGAACGCATGGTATCCATGGGAATTCGCATGGCGCAAGTGTACCCAGTTTGCGCGGTTATGCACAAGCGGTTAGTGGCGCATTACTAATATGGGGAGGACTGAGAGGAACAGCGTCAGTGCAAGAGCATGCCGCGCTCTGCTCCGCGTCTGATGCGCCCGTACTCTGAGCTTAGCTCAGCGCCGAGGATGAGGATTAGACCGCTCAGGTACGCCCATAGGAGCAAAACAACAACCGATGCAAGAGTACCGTACACGCTGCCAAAGTTTGTGAAGTTGTCCAGATACAGAATGAACAGGTTCTTCGTAGTCTCAAACAGCGCCGCTGCCACGATCGCGCCAATCCAGATGTACCGCCAGTATGTCTTGGTGTTGGGCACAAACTTGTAGAGCATCAGAAAGACTGCCAGCACAAGCACGAACGAACTTGCGTAGAGGATAACCAAGGCCGCTCGTCTTAACCAGCGTCTCTGCAAACGGAAAATCCAGATAAGCGAACCGTTCATACACACGCAGGAAAGTGGAGATGCTGGTGGAGAACAGGAACATCAAGCCCGTCAGCAGCGCCATTACCAACTGACGCGCCTTACTCAGATACAATGGTCTGTCCGTATGCACATCCCAGGCACGGTTGATAGAGCGGGTGATACCGCCGAAGACGGCGCTTCCTGTCCAGAATAGGCCTAAAAGGGCGAAAACGCCAATTGTTCCACGCGCATCTAGCACCACTTCGATGTTGGCAGCAATCAAACCTTCGGATCCCGGCAGGAAACTTGCAACCCAGTCGGTGATTGTCTGCTGGTTAGGCGCGTCATCAAGAAAGAAGGAAGTTATCGAGATCAGGCCAAGCGTGAGCGGGAAGAGCGAAACGAGCGCATAGTAGGACATCGCAGCCGCCATGTGAGTTGCATCATCGTCAGACATCTCTTGAAGCGTCCGCGCAATGAGCCTGAGCACAAACATGCGCCGCAACTTCTGCACAATGGTGCGCGTGCGGTAGCGGACAATCGTTTTCGGTCGCCTGAACATAGAATGGCTTCGTGTCATGTGCAGTCATAGGCTTGATGCATCATTATAGCAAACGTCATCATCAAGGACCGACATCGCCAGCCAGATGCCCAGCAACTCATTGACAGGCATTCAGGTGGCGCATAGCATCTCAATGTCTTTGACGCGGCAAATGCGACTACACGAGGAGGAAGATCGACTTGTCCCATATCAGCCTTCAATGCTCAGAATGCGCCGTATATCACCACGCTGACATGACAACACTGCACTGCGTTCAGTGTGGCAGCGTCCTCGATGTAGCCTACAGTTCGCCGGAGCATCAAAATGACACTTCCGATTTACCGACTCCATTGCACCACCTCGGGCGATGCGATTGCGCTTGGCGAGGGCAACACGCCCTCGGTGAATTTGGACAGTATCGGAAAGCGTCTCGGAGTTGATCGTCTTTACGCAAGCTGGAGATGATGAACCCAACAGGCTCGTTCAAGGACAGGGGCACAGCGGTTATGATGAGTGTCGCCAAAGAATTCGGCGTCTCCGAGGTGGTCGAGGATTCTTCGGGAATGCGGGGCATCGGTAGCCGCCTATGCAGCGCGCGCGGGGATTCAGGCGCATATCTTTGCACCCTCAAGCGCACCTGCTGCCAAGGTCAGCCAAATTGAAGTTTATGGAGCGAGGACACACCTGATAGACGGAGATCGGCAGGCAGTAACGGACGCCGCGATTGACTTCGCCGAGCGTAACGACATGGTTTACGCCTCGCACAATCTCAGCCCATACTTCACCGAGGGTACTAAGACTTTCGCTTACGAGGTTGCGGACCAGTTTGATGAGGACCTGCCGCGGCACATAGTCATACCTGTCGGCAACGGCTCGCTGCTTATCGGCGCGCACAGGGGATTCGTCGAACTCAGGAATTGCGGGCGTATATCTGCCATTCCAAAGCTACATGCGGTTCAAGCTAGCGCCGTAATGCCTCTCGCGGCGGCATTCATTGACGAGAGCCAGCCCGCACCGACCGCAAGCACCACGGTCGCCGGCGGCATAGCAGTTGCCAACCCGCCGCGTCTGCGCCAATCACTGCGCGCCTTGCGAGAAACGGGCGGTTCGGCAGTGGCTGTAGAGGAGTCCGACATCGTGCGCTGGCAGCGAGCTATCGCGGAGCAGGAGGGTATATTCGTCGAGCCGACGTCAGCCGCGGCGTTCGCAGGAGTGGAGGCACTCATAGGCAGCGGCACGATTCCGCCCGCAGAGTCGATTCTGGTTGCTGCAACGGGCTTTGGCTTGAAGGACGCTATTCCCCCGAGATGAGGCTAGCGGTAAGCCTCGATCGCCGCCTCGAAGCCGGGTAGCGCGCCTTCCAAAGTGTGGTCGTCCAAGCAGTAAGATATGCGGAAATAGCCAGGCAGTCCGAAGCCTCTCCCTGGCACGACAAGCACCTTGTGTTCCTGAAGCGCGGCGACGAATTCCACATCGTCGGGCGTGGGAGACGCCGGGAACATGTAGAAAGCACCTTGAGGCTTGACCATGTTGTAACCCATCTGCGTAAGACTGTCGTACAGGAAATCGCGCTTTCTCTGGTACTCGTCAATGTCCACGCTCACTGATTGCAACGCCCTGACTATGTGCTGCATCAGTGCGGGTGCGTTCACGAAGCCGAGCGTCCGATTGCAAAACACCAGCCCGTCCGCCAGTTCGCTCTTGTCTTCGTAGTCGGGATGCGCGGCAATATAACCGATGCGCTCGCCGGGCAGCGCGAGATCCTTGGAGTGTGATGTGGCTACGATGCTTCGCTGATGGTGATGGAATATGTGCGGATATTCCAAACCATCGTACAGCAACTTTCGATACGGCTCGTCGCTCACCAGAAAAATCTCGCGTCCGTGCTCCGCCTCCGCCTCTCTGATGAGAGAGCATATCTCGTCGAGCACCTCCGCGCTGTACAGCACATCCCGTGGGGTTATTCGGCGAGTTGATTAGTCACAGCCCTTGTTCGCTCATTGAGGGAATTTGCGGAGCGCCTGCATGTCCGGCAGAAAGTTCTCGTCCGGCGGCACAACGCGGCACGAGCCGCCGTGGTTGTCAGCATAGAAGTGATACTCGACGAAGAATGGCGAGAAGATGACAACCTCATCGCCCGGGTCGAGAAGCGTCTTTAGAACGACGTTCAGCGCGCCACCCGCACCGCATGTCATCACGATCTCATCTGCGGTGAAGTCGAGCCCCGTCTCTGTTGAGAGCTGTTCCGCCACTGCCGCGCGCGTCTCGGCATACCCTGCGTTCGGCATGTAGCGATGAATGCCGGGCGCAGGATCGTTGGCAATGCGCCGCAGCTCATCGAAGAACTCCTGTGGAGGCTGAATGACCGGATTGCCAAGCGACAGGTCGAAGACATTTTCGTCACCGAACTGCCGCTTCAGTTCGATACCCTCCTCGAACATTCTTCGTATCCAGGAGCCTTGCTCCATAAAGTTGCGTATTTTCTGTGATACAGCCATAGCCCAACTTTCGATGTGAGATGAAGCGACCTAGCCATGTAGTGACATGAGGCGACTTCGCCTTTAGTAATTTGAGGCGACCTCGCCATGTTCAAAATGAGGCGACCTCGCCTCAATAGGAATGGATTTTGCGACATTCACAGGGCGGTGTCAAATCTCCGAGTACGGGGTCCTACGTGCGGCGCGATGCCTGAACCCCGTGCGGGGAGTTGCCGTCTAATATCCAAGCCCATATCGAAGCCGACCGCCGGATGTCTTAGTTGAGGCGTCCCCTTAGTCTAGGGTCGAGGTGGTCACGCATGCCGTCGCCGAAGATGTTGAAGGCGAGAATCGTCAGTGTGATGGTTATGCCGGGGTAGAAGACAAGCCACCAAGGGGGTTTGAAGGCGTCGCCCAGCACACCTCCCAGCATGTTGCCAAGGCTTGGATTGGGTGGCGGTATGCCAAGGCCTAGGAAGCTTAGCGCAGCCTCGGCGAAAATCGCGCCGCCAAGGCTGACGCTGGCAAGCACCATCAAGGGAGCGATGCACTGCGGGGTTATGTGAACGAACATGATGCGCAGGGGCGATGCTCCCAAGGCGCGCCCTGCCTCTACATACTCCATCTCGCGTATGGACAGAGTTACGGACCGGATCACGCGAGTCGTGCCTGCAACGCCGGTGATGGCGATTGCGGCAATGACCGTGTAGAGCCCTGATCCCACTCCTACCAGGAGGAGCATCGCAAGTATGATGCCGGGGAACGACATGAGTATGTCGAGGAATCGTTGGCTTATCAGGTCGAATTTGCCGCCAGTATAGCCCGTCAGAATACCCCATGAGAAGCCAATCAACTTGCTAATGCTTACTGCCAAGACAGCGACATATAGCGATGTGCGCGAGCCTACGATGACGCGGCTAAGCACATCCCTTCCGAGGTGATCGCTGCCCAGGGGACGCTCCATCGAGGGTCCCTTCCTGAAGAACGAGGGGAAGGTTTCCAGAGGGTCGTTCGGCACGATCACATTGGCGAAAATGGCTAGCAGAATGAGAAATGCCAGAAACGCCGCAGCTACCGCGCCAATTGGAGAAGTGCGGAAAAATCTGGAGAGTAGTCCGAACGCATGGCGGAACCTGCCCGGTATGGAACTGCGACCAGGCTGCTGCCCGGGGATGCTGCCGATTTCCTTCATTGTTAAATGACCTTAAGAGCGATACAGCGGCGCTACTGATAGCGAATTCGCGGGTCCAGCAGGCCGTAAAGTAGATCAATGCCCAGATTGATTATCACGAAAGAGATTCCGTACAGCAGAACAACATTCTGGATAATCATCCAGTCGCGCTCGGCTATGCCGTTCACCAGGGTTGTGCCAAGTCCGGGAACGGCGAAGGCGCGCTCGACCGCAACCGAGCCGCCCAGCAGGAACGCCAATTGAATGCCTGAAATGGTTACAACCGGGAGGAGGGCGTTTCGCAAAGCGTGGCGCGCTATCACAGGCGTTCAGCCAGCCCTTTGGCCCTTGCGGTGCGCACATAGTCTTCGCTGAAGACTTCCAAAGAGTGGCTCGGCTCATGCGGGCAAGCTCGGCCCCCATATTGATTGCCATTACGACAGCGGGGCCTATCACTATCGTCAAGTTGCCCCAAGGGTCGTCCCATAGATGGATTATGGTCAGGGGCGGCCTCCACTGCCAGATGAGTACGGTAGCAAGAATTAGTGTGAGGCCCAGCCAGAAGCTCGGCACAGCCATGAAGAACGTAACGACCACACGAACCACATAGTCGATCCACGTGTTTCGCCACGCCGCCGCAATCAAGCCCACAGGCAACCCGATTATCCAAGAGAGTGCTACAGCGATCACCGCAATTTCAGCCGTAATGGGGCCGCGTCGCAGTATGGTGTCCCTGATGGGCCTGTCCTGCCAGAATGACCTGCCGAAATCGCCCTTCAGCACATCCCCAATCCAACTCGCGTATTGGAGGTATAGCGGCTTGTCCAAGCCCAGGCTCTCCCGTGCTCCCTTCAACTCTTCCTCGGTGAGGATGTGCAGCCCGGAGGACTCCCCGTAAATGGCGAGAAGGGGATCTCCGGGCAAAACGCGCATAGCAATGAATATGAGCGCGGTCACGCCAAACAGCGTGGGAATAGCCAACAGGAGGCGTTGGTAAAGATAATTACGCATGGTTTAATACGTTTCGACCAACCTTCCTGCGGCCTGACGTGTCACAAGGACTAATTTGCCTGTCGTCCGATTCGACGCCGTTCGGTTGATCTCCACAAGCGAAAATGCTCAATTCGGACATTTTATTCTTGGGAAATGTGCCCCCTCTTCGACTGCGCGGAGAGGGGGATTGCTTATGTCTGATTCAGTAACGGAAAAGTGATCGCTACTACCTGTCCAGCCAAGCGGTGTCGAGGCGCTCCCAGAGCACGTGCAGGCGGGTATCCATCGACATGCCCTTGACATCCTTGCTCCAAGCGGGAGAGTGGCCGCAGAAACCTATGTGGTAGAAGGGCGGATTCGCGTCAAGAATGTCCATACCCTGGTTGAATAGCTCGGCGCGCCCGAAGGGGTCGAGTTCAAGCGCGAGTTTATCCAGCACTGCGTCAAATTCCGGGTTGGCGTAGCGCGACCAGTTCTGTGATCCACCAGTCCTCAGATAGATGTTCCACATGGGGAATGGATCGAGTATCTGACCGGAATAGTCGCCGTTTCTGAACATGTCATAGTCGCCCTTGGATAGTATCTCACTTTGGAGCGCGCGCTCGACCAGCTTGATATCCGCGCGAATGTTCAGCGTCTTTCTCAACTCGTCCACAAACAAGGGAACGGCTACCTCTGCGGTGGTAGGCAGGTTCCACGTCGTGATAGTCGTCTCGAAACCATCCGGGTAGCCAGCTTCCGCCAGAAGGCGCTTCGCCTCAGCAATGTCTGCCTCCTTGTCCGCCCTAAAGCCGGGCATCTGAAGGATTGCGTTGGGGTCGGTGGCGAATGGGCTGGGCTTCGGAATCCAGCGAGTAACGAATGTGGGCTCCCAAACCGGAGTGTACCCATCTATCTGCGTCTGACGACTCACTGCGAGGTGTATCGCACGCCGCACTCTTGGATCACTGAAGGGGGCGCGCTCGTTGTTTATTGCGAAGTTATGGGAGTTGAGGCAGTCGTATGTAACCGCGCCCAAGTCCTGCCTCCGCTTCGCTTCAGCGTGCGTATCGGGTGATATATTCCAGGAGAAGTCCGCCTGTCCGGTCAATACGGCGGTTCCCTCTGTCAGGCCATGCGGGAACATGGAGCATTGTCAGGCTGTCCAGATAGGGAAGCTCCGGATTCCAATAGTCGGGGTTCGCCTCGAACTCCCACTTCTCACCGGGTTCATGGTTCACAAATCTGAAGACTCCCGTGCCCGGCGCAACTTCTATCTGCCGCAGGTCGTAGCTGTTCTCTTCGAGGGATTTGTTGGAGTAGATCAGCAGCGGTGAACTGGTGAGCAACTCCACGAAAAATGGCGTGGGCGCGTTCAGATTGAACTTCACAGTGTAGTCGTCGACCTTGTCCACCGTGTCTATCATCGGGAGCAGGTCCTTGCTCCTGCTGGATATTCCGGCTGGCGGGTTAATTATTCGCTCAAAGTTGGCGACAGCATCGACCGCGCTAAACGGCGTGCCGTCGTGGAATGTTACGCCTTCTCTGAGATTGAACGTGTATGCCTTGCCGTCTGGGGCAGCTTCCCAAGAAACGGCGAGGTCCGGAGCAATTGTGCGTAGTCCGTCTGCCAGGTTCTTGGTTACGAGCTTGTTGTACAAGTGTCCGAGAACATGCGGGCCCGCGCCCTGCTGGACATCGAAGTTGGTCATGGTTACACCGAAGGCCGTACGAAGGTTTCCACCGCGCTTCGGATTAGGCTCGGGCGCGCGCATCACGAAGGTGGCTTCCTGCGCCTGTCTCACCGGAGTGGCGACTACCACGACCTCTTTGATGACTTCCTTTACGACTTCGACTTCTCTGACGACTTCAACTTCTTTCACGACCTCCCGGTCAACGGGGACTTCCTTTACGACCTCAACTTCGACTTCTCTGACGACTTCGACTTCCTTCACGACCTCCCGGTCAACTTCGACTTCTCTGACGACTTCAACCTCTACGATCTGAGGCTCGGCAGAACCGCAAGCAACGATTGCCATACTTGAAATGATTGCAACTAAGACGAGAAGTAATAACGACAGTCGATTCATTTGTCCCTCCCCAAGAAGGCAATTAAGGTGCATCCACATATATCGCTTAAGTCGTCAGTTTGCTCGGTCTGCAAACCTGCGGCGATATTACACTGGGTATATAGTTATGTCAAACCACTTGCGAGTGGGCAAATAGAATGTATTGACTGTATGGACGAACATCAATATCGTCCGAAGCAACTAGGTTTGTCGAATAGGAATGCAAGCGCATATATGAGATTCCACGCACCTGAGTCTGACTATCCTCGCAGGAATAATAGGCCTTGGCTTTTGATACTCCCTGCGTCGGCCATCATTGGTATTTTCTGCTGATGGCGTCGGTAAGCATCTGGAATTACTTCGACATTTCGCTGCCGGTGTCTTTACCAACATCTTCGATCACTGAATCGGTGCAGCAAATTCAGGAAATTGCCAAGCCGCCAGCCGGCGATATTGAGTGGAGCTTCGACACGAGTGAAGCCATTTCCCGCCGCCGACGGCGTATCGCAGCATGGTAATTATCGTGGCAGGACAGCGAACTCAGACGGGGCGAATTATAGCCCTGGACATCGACTCTGGGCGGCCTGTCTGGACTTACCAACTTAACGGTGTCTCAGACTACCCACCAACTGCGGCGGGAGATATTCTATACACAGGCACCAGGGACGGACGGCTCATCGCACTGGAGAGCAGTACGGGGCGTGAGGTATGGTCTTATGAAACTGAAGACATTCCTTACGGAAGCCCTGTCGTACACGAGGGTCTGCTTTATGTTGCTTCCAGCAGAATACACGCACTGGACGCGCTTACCGGGGATGTGATATGGACTCACGAACCGGAGGGCGGCAAAGCCATCAGTCCGCTGGCCTACTCTCAAGGCATAGTCGCAGTGCTGAGCGACGAGAGTCACCTGAACCTGATAGATGCAGGAAAAGGGAAACGCCGCCTCACAACGCGCCTCTGGTTTGGAGTCGCGGGGATGCCCGTCATTGTGGGCGACATCGTTGCGGTCTCTGGTGATCGGGGAAGCGTTCAGGCCATTGAAATACACGCGCGGGACATTCCTATGGAAAAGGCATTGCGCTTCTGGTGGACCAAACTCTGGATTTGGAACTCTGCGCCGCGCCCGCCCGACCCTGTGGGGTATTCCTGGCATCACAGAGGCATCGGAGGTCTGACTGCGCGCATAGCAGCATCGGGCGATGGCAGGCTGTTTCTCGTCGCAAGGCATCCTGACTATGCAGAGACAGTGGTGGCGGTGGACGCAGCATCGGGGGAGGTCATCTGGAGGTTCTCATCGGAGACACCCGTTTCAGAGAACTTAGCATTGGCGGGCAAAACGCTTATCGTAGGGCAATCAGGCGGGCGCAGTCTATGGTCTGGATGCGTCGTCGGGCGTGGTCGATTGGCAGCTATCGCTGGGCTTTCCTGTGTCGGCGGTTGGCGTGGCAGACGAGAATTCGTTGCTGATTACGTCGGAAGATGGCATCGTTCATAGGATTCGCTAGAGAAAATACGGATACTGTCTCATCCAGCGTAGTAGGCATAGGGCGATATTCGTTAATCAAAGGCACACAGCGCCTCTCTTTTGCTGGCACATCGTACCTAAATGACCTGACGAAATGCACACTTGATCGTGCCAAACTCCATTGCAGATGGTATCCTACAAGGCAACAGCGGCTTAGTATGCCTGTGCCGTAATTTCCATGAGCGGGAGGCGGGAGTTGGACAAAGTAAGAATGGCAATTGTAGGCTGCGGCACAATCTCGCAGCTGAACGCGCCCGGCTACCTAATGCACGAACATTGCGAGATTACTGCGCTCTGCGACCCGCAGCCTGAACGCGCCGAGCAGCGCGCCAAGCAGTGGGGCATCAGCCCGCGCATCCACGCCAGCTACGAAGACCTACTCAACGACTCGGATGTGGACGCCATAGAGTTGCTCACGCCTACCCACCTGCACCCGCAGCAGATTGTGGACGGGCTGAACGCCGGCAAACATGTTTCCTGCCAGAAGCCGATCTCATCGACGGTCGCGGAAATCGACACGATTGAGTCGGCTCTTCAAAGCGCGACGACGAAGTACCGTACTACCGAGAACTTCCTGTACTACCCACCAATTGTGAAGGCCAAGGAATTGCTGGACGCGGGTGTTATAGGCGAGCCGTCAATGGTTCGCATCAGAACCGTGCGGGGCAGAGCTGGACAATCTCGCAGATTGTGGTATCGCCGGGAGCGTATACCTGGAGACGCGACCCCACACTACATGCAGGTGGGATGCTGTATGACGACGGCTGGCACAAGTACGCGACAGCCATAAACTGGATAGGTGAGGTCGAAAGTGTGCAGAGCATCGTCTCAAGGTCTGACGACTATCTGGACGAAACGCCCAGCGCGGCGATATGGAAGTTCAAAGACAGGAATTGCCTCGGCGTGCTGGAATACTCCTCCGCGCCAGAGATGACCATTCGAGGCAGGTACTACGCTGCGGACGAGTTCTTTGAGATTCAAGGCAGCAAGGGCGCAATATGGGTGACTCGCTGTACAGGGGAAATGCTTGACCTGCCGCCCGTGATGGTCGTCAAGGGCACGGAGACAACAGGAATCCAAGTTCCAATGGACTGGATTGAAGGCTTCAACGGCGCGGCCCGCCATTTCATCGATTGCATCATAAAGGACGAGCAGCCGGACATGGATATCGCCTTCTCTCGCCACACTATGCAGGTGGCGATGGCAGTCTATAAAGCCGCTGACGAAGAGCGACCTGTACAACCGTCAAGCCTGACTTAGACTCGCAAGAATTGATGAATACTGATTGCTGACAACCGACTATTTCCAGAGGATTGACATGCCAAATTTCGCAGCCAACCTTACTATGATGTTCAACGAGGTCGATTTCCTCGACCGCTTCGCCGCCGCCGCAAACTCCGGCTTTAAGGGAGTTGAGTACCTGTTCCCTTACGACTACGAACCTGCCCAACTCGCTGAGAAACTGGAGCAACACGGCCTCGCGCAAGTTCTTCACAACCTGCCGGCTGGCGACTGGGCGGCCGGCGAGCGCGGCATTGCCTGCCATCCGGACCGAGTTGGCGAGTTCCAGGAGGGCGTGGGCAAAGCTATCGAGTACGCCACCGCGCTGAACTGCCCGCAGGTCAACTGCCTGTCAGGCCTAGCCCAAGATGGCGTGTCAGACGAAGACAGGGACGCCACGATCATCAGCAACCTAAAGTTTGCCGCCGAGCACCTCGGAGCGGCGGGCATCCGGCTACTCATCGAGCCTATCAACACAATCGACATTCCCGGGTTCGTGCTCAACTATCCGGAGCAGGCGCGCGACCTCATCGAGCGCGTGGGTTCCGATAACCTATTCTTGCAGCACGACCTTTATCACATGCAGATTATGCAAGGCGATCTTGCCCGCAACATCGAACGCAACCAGGATATCATCCGACATATCCAGATAGCCGACAATCCGGGTCGCCATGAGCCGGGCACGGGGGAGATTAACTACTCCTACCTGTTCAAGTACCTCGACGACATTGGCTACGACGGCTGGATCGGCTGCGAGTATGTTCCGGCCTCCACGACGGATGCAGGACTAAGCTGGATCAAACCACATCTGTAAGATGTGACATCCGGATAACAGATTGCTGACTGCTGACACCTGATATCTAACTGAGAGGTCAACGATGGCAACGGCAATTCGAGAACAGACGGACCCCTATCTGGACCGCGACACGATTCTGAGACAGATTCAAGACCGTGTTCTTTGGCTGTCGATGCAGATGGTCCACTACGCGAACAACGTGCGCCATTCGCCGGACGGCAAGGTGGGCGGTCATCAGGCATCCAGCGCATCGGTCGTCACGATAATGACCTCGCTGTACTTCGACTACATGCGTGGCGGCGACAGGATTTCCGTCAAGCCCCACGCGTCCCCAGTCTATCACGCCATACAGTATCTGCTGGGAAATCTCGATGGGGAATATCTCAAGACTCTTCGGGGCTTCCACGGCTTGCAGGCATACCCGAGTCAGACTAAAGACCCTGATGCCGTGGATTTTTCCACCGGCTCTGTGGGGCTGGGACCCGTAGCGCCCAACTTTGCAGCCCTTACTGAGGAGTATCTGCGCTCACACCTCCACTTTTACAACCGCGCGCCGCGGCGATACATCAGCCTCGTGGGGGATGCAGAGCTGGACGAAGGTTCAATCTGGGAAGCCATAGCAGAGCCGGAAATGGCCGATCTGGACAATGTGCTGTGGGTCGTTGACCTCAACCGCCAAAGCCTCGACCGCATAATTCCTGGCATCCGCGTGGGAAGCTGGCGAGAGATGTTCGCAGCCAACGGATGGAATTTCCTGGATGTCAAATATGGTAGGCGCCTGCAGAGCGCCTTCGCCGAGCCCAATGGCGAATTGCTGCGAATGTGCATAGACGAAATGTCCAACGAAGCATACCAGCGGCTATTGCGTGTCGATCCCTCTACGCTGCGCGAATGGCTACCACGATCCAGCAGGTATCCACGAGACTTAGCGCGCTTCATCAGCAGGTGGGATGATGACGAGTTTCACAGCCTATTCAGTAACCTCGGGGGCCACGACTTCTCCATGCTGCGAGACGCATTCGCCCGCGCCGACGAGCTGCGAGGTCCAACTGTGGTGTTCGCCTACACATTCAAGGGCTGGATGCTGCCTTCCATTGGTGACCCGCGCAACCATTCCAACCTGCTGTCCACCACTCAGATGGATGAACTACGCGAGCGTGTAGGCCTATCGAAGAGTCAGGTGTGGAGCGGCTTCGCGCCCGATTCGGCGGCAGGCAGAAAATGTCTCGACACGGCCGACCATCTTCGCTCTTCCGAATCGCGCCCGTTCTCATCACTGGTTCACCGCCTTCCGACCGACCTCGACCATGAATACAGGGGAAGCATTTCCACACTTCAGATATACGGGTTGGTTCTTACAGATCTATCGCGCAACCTGCCCGAGGTCGCTGACCGCATCGTTACCGTCAGTCCTGATGTGGCAAGCTCCACAGGACTTGGAGGCTGGATAAACAGAGCAGGCGTGTGGAAGCGCACCGAGCCTGAGCTTCTACCAGAGGAAGAGGTCGCAAGCGCGCTCAGGTGGAACGAGTCGTCGCAGGGCCAGCATATCGAACTCGGTATCTCTGAAAACAACCTGTTCATGATGCTAGGGCAGCTAGGGCAGTCATTCGAGGCCAACGGCGAGCTGCTGTTCCCTATCGGATCGCTGTACGACCCATTCGTCAGGCGAGGGCTTGACGCATTCATGTACAGCATTTATGCAGGCGCGAAGTTCATCGTCGTGGGAACGCCGTCAGGCATCACACTTGCACCGGAAGGCGGCGCGCACCAGTCCTTGATTACACCGTCAATCGGGATTGAAATGCCGGAGCTTGACTTCTACGAGCCCTGCTTCGGCAAGGAAGTCGAATGGATTATGCTGAGCGCGCTCGAACAGGTTCGGCGGCGCAGGCGCTCAAGTTACTTGCGCTTAACCAGTAAGCGCGTTGACCAGTCGCTCTTGACCTTGCCGGAGGACGCCGGCGAGAGGGAGCAGCTACGACTTCAGGTGCTAAGTGGCGCTTACCGCCTCGTCAGCCGCGCATCGGAAGCGCACTACCAACCGGGCGAGAATGTGGTGAACATCATGGCCTGCGGCGCCATGATTCCTGAAGCAGTCGAGGCGAGCGAGGAATTGCTGCGCGAAGGAGTATTCGCAAACATCATCAACATTACCGGGCCAGGGCCCCTGTACAGGCACTATCAAGACAGTGTGCACTCCGCTGTCAGCGGCAATCCTAAGGGAACCCTTTATGTCGGACATCATTCCGACAGCCGAGCGCAAAGCGCCTGTCGTGACCGTCGCCGACGGCCATCCCCATTCGCTCGCATGGCTCGGCGGCGCGCTGGGCACAACTGTAACACCGCTCGGCGTGACCGAGTTCGGGCAGTCGGGCAGCAGGACGGAGCTTTATAAGGAGTACGCTATCGATGTTGACAGCATCATCGCCGCATGCTTCACCGCTCTAGACATATAGCGCACATCATCCTATTCTTCTAGGCTCAATCTTACTCTGCAAGCAAGGAGACTCGAAACTATGACGAAGGTGTTGGTTCTTCACGGACAAGGCATGGAATTGCGCGGCACAGTTGACATCGAAATCTTCGGCACGATGACGCTGCCTGAATACGATGAGCACATCCAAGAGTACGCATCGGAGGTGGGAGTGGACGTCGAGATATTCCACTCAAACGAGGAAGGCGAAGTTATAGCCAAGCTGAAGGGAACCGATGCAAACGCCGCTCTGATTAACCCCGGCGGTTACACGACCGGACATCCTGCCCTTGCCGACACGATTCGCGAAGCCCCGATTCCAACGCTGGAAATCCATATGTCCAACCCCGCGAGCAGGGGGCGCGTCTCCGAAATTGGCCCAGCATGCAGAGGTGTAATCACCGGCATGGGCATAGTGGGCTACAACCTCGGCTTGCAAGCCGCAAAGCAGCTAGCCAACGACTAGGATGCCGAGCATAGAATCGTTGGGCGTCGTTTTGCTCGGGTTCCTCTTGGGCAGCTTCCCCACTGCGTACCTGACGGGCAAGTGGCGGCGAGGCATCGACATTCGTGGCGTGGGCAGCGGCAACCCCGGAGCGACTAACATTGGGCGGGAAGTCGGCGTAGCCTCGGGCATTCTGGTGCTTGCCGTGGATGCCGCTAAGGGCGTAGTCGCCATCGTTGTTGGGCAGCGACTAGGTGTGCCACCAACTACGCTGTACTTTACGGCGCTGGCTGCAGTTGTGGCACACAACTTCTCACCATTTCTGGGTTTTCGAGGAGGCAAGGGCGCTGCAACCGTGCTGGGCATATCCATGCTTATGCTCTGGCAGATTACGGCAATCTCAGGAGCGATCGGTCTCCTGGCGCTTGCGGCGACGCGCCATGTTGTATGGGCAATGACTGCGGTCTTCATCGCGCTGAACGCGCTCACCATTGCCACGGGTCAGCCGCTTGGTCAGATCATCCTCTGCATAGTTCTGTCATTGCTCGTCGCGTGTACACACTTCGGACGCCAGCGCGCCTATCTGTTGCCCGCCCTCGCAAACAGAGACTGGCGCCGCTTCATGAGCATAGACTGACAAAAATGGGGTTCGACGTTCAATGTTGCAGACTCGCCGTCGATACGGGGACGGCAATGATGTTGCTGAAAGCCAGCAGGGATATCAAAAGTGCTGCAACAATGCCTTCGGGAGCCAACATCAGAAATCCCTTTGAGAAACCTGCTGAGTTTAGCTGCCTTGCAAAGCGGCATTACTCTCAATGGTTACATCCCCGTCCGACGAGATCGATCTGACCCGTGAGGCGCCGCTGTATGCTACAGCTCGCTGGGATGTCTCCACCGTTTGCCCTGGCTGCACGAGCAGCGCGGTGCCGTTCTCCACTGCTCCCGCCAATCCGCTGTTGCCATAGCTTGTGAATGGCTCTAATCCCACATTGTAAGTGCGTCCATACCAGGGATACCCGAAGCCGCCCCCGAACGAGTGCCAGTACCACAGGTACCTGAACACTTCCGTGGGATAGCGGAAGCCGAAGCCAATTCCTGTCTTCTGGTTGGTCACTGCGTACCATCCGTCCGGCATGTCCGCGATGTAGGACATATCGTAGGAGCGGAAACTCTTAGGAGGGATTCTGCTCAAGTCCCTGGGCGTTCCGTCTTTGAGTTGGGACATGGGCCACGGCGCATTAAAGCCCGATTTCAGCTTGTTGTTAGGATGCCAGTCTTCCAATTCTTCGTTGATGAGTGTCCCACCGGGAAGGTCTATGACGCAGTCTTCGCTCAGGAAAGGGGCGCCCAGCGCGATGTGCTCGCCCCATACGCAGTGGACGGGTTCCTCTCCCTCGTTAGTAAGGCGCGCCTCGATTTCGAGCACGGCGGAGCCGCTGCGCAGCGTCAGCGTCTTCTCGAAGAAGAAAGGAGTGCGGGCCGCTCGCACCCAGAAGCGCATTGAGACTACTTCAGTCGTGTCCTCGAGAATCACCGCATCCCACGGACCGTATTCACCTCGGCGTGCAGGCCCATGTCGGCGCCCATGTACTGGGTGGGGAATCCTCCCACCGGGCAGTACAGTCTGCCAGCCTCCTTCATAAACATCCATCCACAGACCTTCGCCAGACCCCGTAGTCGGCATGCGCACGGTCGGGTCGCGGACACCCCAAGGGGAACGCCAGAGGAAGTCCGTGTCCGAGGGCTTGTGCACGAACTGGTAAATGTCAGCGCCCTTGTCGATGAGCACCACGATCTCAGCAGCTCGTTTTCGATAACGGCGGTCTTGAGGCCGCGAAACGTCCAAGCGTCTGAAACACGACATCCGTGGTTGCGCTCGAGTTGGTATTGGGTCATATTCAGGTCTCCCTAGAGGCGGGCCGGCTCATCCAAGGTCAGGATATTGCAAGGGCAGTCCCCTGGCACCTGTCTCGTAGCGGGTGATGTGCCAGCGGCCCAGATTGGCGCTCAGCAGAATGTCCCGCTCCGCGCCACAGAACGCGATGTTTGTCGGTGCCGCAATGATCGTGCCTTCAAAGTCATCCGCAAGCACTTCGAGCTGCCCGGAAGCCGAGTATCGATAGATTCGATCAGGACGGTAGCAGGCCACGTACAGGTTCCCATCGGTGTCAAAAGCCACGCCGTCCGGCACCGCGCCGGGAATCTCAACGACAGTTCGCACAGATCCGGCGGAGCCATCCGGCGCTATTAAAATCTCGGAAATGCGAGGAGGATTCAGGCTCATCGCCACGAACAGGCTTGAACCGTCAGAACCCACGCAGAGGCCGTTGGGAAATTCGCAGAGTGAGCGAGTCCAGACCTCTGTCGCACCGCCGCGCATGATTCTGTATATCTTACCGTTGTCGGACTTCCAGTCGCCTGAGTCGCAGACGTAAAGGTTGCCGTCGGCGTCGAACGCCGGGTAGTTCGGATTGTTGAACGGCTCGCCCGGAGCACCGGTGGTGTACTTCGTCACGCCTCCGTCTGGAGAAATCTTCATGACCGCCTTGTTGCCGGTGTCGCAGGCATATATATTGTGCCGCGCGTCAAGAGCCAGACCGAGTATGAACCCACCGGTGTCCGCAATTTGAACTGCCTCTTTGCGCTCCACGTCGATCCGGTATATCTGGCCTGCCTCCCCACCCGCGTAGCAGTACCCGTCCGGTCCCCAGGCGATTCCCTCAACATGGTCAAGTCCATCGACGAGTACGGAGACATCGGTCTCGTTGTTCAATAGCGCCATGCCTGCTCCTCCAATCGAATAAGGAAGCGACTCAACTCTCGGGATCTTGGTAAAACCCTGAATTGAGGAAGCCGCCGTCTATGGGAATGCCCACGCCATTGATGTATCTCGCTTCCTTGCTGCACAGGAAGAGGACGAGATCGGCAACTTCTTCCGGCAGGACTTCACGCTTGATCGGGAAGCGCTTCAGCCTCTGTTCTCTCAGTTCCGGCTCTCTGCTGTACACCATCTCGGTCATGGGTGTCAGCGCGACGCCAGGGCAGACCGCGTTGACGTTGATTCCATACCGAGCCCACTCTAAGCCGAGCTGTCCCGCGAAATTAATGAGCGCTGCCTTCGCCGGGCCATAAGCGCCACGCTCGGGCACTGGCGCGGTAGCCGTAACCGATGACATCAGCACGACGCTGCCGCCGTCTCCTTGCTCGACCATCTGCCTGCCCGCTTCTCGGCAGAAAAGGAAAGCGCCCGTCAGATGCGCCTCCAGAGAGATATTCCACTGATCGAGCGACATATCGAGTATGGGCGCCTTGATGTTCGTACCAGCGCAATGAACCAGGAAGTCCACCCGTCCGAGATGGCTCACGACCGTCCTGACGGCACTGGTCACTGACATTTCATCCGTCACCTCAACCTGCACCGCGATTGCCTTGCCGCCATCAGAGGCAACTGACTGTGCCAATTGTTCTGCTGCTTCCTGGTTGATGTCGGCCACGGCGACAGCAGCGCCACGCGTAGAGAATTTGCGGCAGATTGCCGATCCCAAACCGCCAGCGCCTCCTGTGACGATAGCCACTTTCTGCTCCATACTTCCCTCCCTCTCGGCAGTAACAGGGGGTGCCCGTCTCAGAGCCGGTCTTCTGATCATGAAGTTGGCGAAACCTACTCCTGCGCCGCGCCCGCGCCTGAAGCCCACGCTCCGAGTGCCATAAATCCGCCATCCACGTTGACATGTTCCCCAGTCATGAAACTCGCCTTCTCACTCGCCAAGAACAGCACTACGTTGGCGACGTCCAGTCCCTGACCGACCCTGCCGATGGGGTGTCCTTTACCCCACTCGGCGACGATACGGTCAGGGTCGCCATCCTCCAGGCGAGCGACGGTTCGAACCATCTCAGTGTCGATAGTGCCTGGGCAGACTGCAAGCACCCGTATATTTTCCTCGGCGTAGTCGAGAGCCATCTGACGTGTCAGCGACAGCACACCGCCCTTGCTGGCAGCATAAGCAGGTACTAGTTTCTGTGACTGAAGGCCCTGAACGCTTGCGGTGTTGATTATCGCTCCCCCGCCCCGCTTCCGCATTTCAGGTATTGCGAACTTCGACATCATGTAGTAGCTCTTGAGGTTCACGTTCAAGATGCGATCCCACATCTCTTCCGACGTATCCTCGACGTTCCGGTACGAATCGGGTGACTGAATGCCAACATTGTTGAACAGCACATCCACACCGCCGAAAGCCTCGACCGTCTCCGCGACCACTCGACTGCACTCGGCAAGGAGCGAAACGTCTGCCACGACGAGGAGACCGCTCGTGCCCAGTTGATTCAGTTCGGTTTCAACTGCCCGACCCGCCTCCTCGTTAACGTCTGCGATGACGACGCTGGCACCCTCCTTGGCGAATTCGATCGCAGTGTCCCTTCCGATGCCATGAGCGCCACCAGTGACGATTACCACTTTTCCGTCGAATGTGCCCATCTATGCCCCCAACTTCATCAGCCATTGAGATTACAGTTCAACTCGCTGATGATCTCAGTACGTCCAGCCACTCAGCGTCCACACCCTGTCACGATGCATCCTTTCGTTCCAGCATTGCAAGGGCCGTGCATCCCCATGTTATTGCTTTCCATAATGCATGCCATTTTGGCGATGTAGTCATTTTCTGTCAATGCCTCCATCTGCAGGCATCTGGGGGAGCACATTTAACTGAGCCAATTTAAGAGCGTGCTGATCTGGGAAAGAATCGGCTCGCCATTCGTCCTACCCACGGACCAATGCGTTCCAGATTTGATCAGACACTGTGGCCGCGCCAGCGATAAATTGCTGGATTCGTTCACTAGGTTGTGTTGACATTTCATTTCAGCCAGATAAGGGTGCCGACAAAGTGTAGGAAAGCAAGGTACATCTTCGCTAACTTGTCGAACCGGCTGAAAATATGTCGATAATGCTTCATCTTATTTATGTAACACTCAACCAGGTGACGCTCTCCGTACAGATGCTCATCATATTGCAGTGGCTCTGTCCTGTTGGAACGAGGCGGTATCACAGGCGTGGCTCCCATCTCAACGATGCGCTCACGCAATCGCTGTGAGTCATATCCGCGGTCCGCTATCACATAGTCGCTCTCAATGCCGTCTATCAGTTCATCAGCCTGAGTGATGTCGTGTGCCTGACCCCCAGTGAGCGTGAATCTCAATGGATTGCCCAGAGCGTCAACACTCACATGCACCTTCGTGCTGAAGCCGCCTCGGCTTCTTCCCAGAGCCTGCGACTGCTGTCCCCCTTTTTATGCGGGGCACCCGCAGCACAGGGATGCGCACGCACTGTCGTGCTGTCTATTATCAGATGCTCCATATCCGGCTCTTTGGAGAAGTACAGATGCATCTTCTCCCAAACACCCTGCTCGCTCCATCTGGCAAAGCGCCTGTACACGCTGTACCACTTGCCGTATTCTGCCGGAAGCATCCTCCACGGAGCGCCTGACCTGCTCATCCACAGAACCCCTTCTATGAATCGTTTGCAGTCCCGCTCAGACTTGACATAGACGTTGGTCTCCTCTTTCAGGAAATCGAGTATCTTTGACCACTGGCCCAGAGTTAGTTTAGATGTTGACATGCTCCAAGTTTAATACAATTGTCAACACACCCTAGTCTCTGGATCGATAATCCGTCACAGGGTACACCGAGCCTGGGTTTCGGCGGTTGGTGGGAGAGACTTCGGCCTGAGCACTCAATGGAGTACAATCCTTGACAGTGCGTACTCCCATTAGTTAGGCTAAAATCACATTTAACGGGCTTGTAGCTCAGCGGCAGAGCGGTCGGCTCATAACCGATTGGTCCCAGGTTCGATCCCTGGCAAGCCCACTTCCCTCAGCCTTACCCCCATAAGAACGCTCAATTGCGCTTCACACCCACCGTCCCTCAATTTACTCTTCTCCACACCAAGCAAGGTGGAATCGCGTTGGTCTGTCGCGTGGTCGCATTGATGTTGCTGAGCGTCTTTATAATGGGACAAACGCCGGGGGACAGGCGCCGGGCGAACGCGAATCGGTCTTCGACAAGCCGCTGCAGCTCCACCGTGGTCCGGCTGGCCCGTACGAAGTTATCATTACAATACAGCCCCACAAGCCCAGAGTCGGCACTGTGCATTTCGGCGTAATGATCCTGGACCACTCTACGGAGACGCTGGTCGAGGATGCGCGCGTTCTCATCGTCGCCTACAACCCGAAGGCGAGCCGACATACCAGACACCTGCGCTAAACGACCCATCGACTCCGATTCACTACAAGGGCAATATCATCTTCCGTAGCTCAGGACAATGGTCATTGCTAACGAAAATAGTGACCGAAGAGCACGGGGAAGTAACTGCGACCACGCCAATCAACATCGCGGAAGCCGCCTCGGTGTCGAGCACTGAAGGACTGCTCGTCCTTGTGATAGTGATTCTCGCTATTGGCGGCGGCACGACCTATGTCATTTACAGCATCAAACGCCAGCAGCGGCTGAATTCCGCTAATCGCTGATGTCCTCCAGTACCAGCACCTCGCCCTCTCGATAAAAGCTCACTTCCACAGCCAATCCCAAAAGCTTGTGTTCGCTCAAGTGCGACGGCGTGAAACCCGGCACTACCTTACCTCTGCCCTCGAAGTGCCAAACTGCTCCACTCTCATCTTGCACTTCCAGCGCGTCCAGGGAAATCAGCGACTCCGCATCCACTTCCAACACAATCCCTCGCACCACCTCAACAAAGGGTCCTTCCTCGTTGGTGTCACTCGTTCCGTTGTCAGTGCAAGCTGAGGGTATTGCGAGCATTATCAGCACCATTGCAGTTGCGACAATTACTCGTCCACCAGTTAAGCGACACAGAAGAATGGCATTTCTATGGCATGAAACACTAGCGATTTTATTGGACATTTCTGATGTACTAATTAGATTGCAGTCTAAAAAAGGTCTAAATACGCGTTGAAGCAATTTCGTGTCTTGTGTCATTCTGACTTGTGTACGGAGGTGGAAGATGAAAAAATCCAGAATCGCGTTTTTTCTAGCAGCTATACTATTACTTTCGTGGTCTGTAAGCCAGACGGGGCTTCTGAGCGCTCAAAGCAACGACCCGCTCTACATAGTGGTCGTTGACCGGCATGCCTCGGGCATGTCCGAGAGCAACCGCGACATGACGGTCTCGTTTATCGGGCTGCTGTCCGAGTTGCGCGAGGACCAGAGCCTGGGCTTCATCACTACAGGTGATGAAGGCATTATAGGCCCGGCAGTCGCTGGCAGCGCGGAACACAAGAGCACATATCGAGAGGTCGTCAACAGGATAGAGGACTCGTCCGCCGTCCAAGTTGAAGATCTTTCGTCAGCCCTCTCTTATGCCCACGAACGCATGAAGTTCGAAGGCGCAGGCGACGGGTCAGCCGTGTACGTTGTGTCAGGTGGCGAAATAGATGGTGATGCCCCAGCAGCGGAATATCCGCTAGGCGATACCATCAATGACTTCAACAAGGAAGGCTGGCAGGTCTACGGAGTTGCGCTTCCAGGGTCTTCGACTTACGCCAAAGACTTCCTGCGAACCGTCTCAGGCGGCACCGGCGGCGAGATCTTCCCGCTTGCCACGCCGCAGGAGTTGAAAGTCATCGCGGACAAGATCCTGAGTAGTGACGCAAAGGGCTCGCTTTTCGAGATTGGTCAGGACGAACTCGCTCCTAATGACGTGTTCACTGCCTCCCTCGATATACCGCCGAGCACCACAGAGTCTTCGATCGTGTTCTTCAAGCAGGGTTCGACGGGATCATTGAGTCTCCAGAATCCGTCAGGTGTTACAGCGGCCGAGGGCGACCGCGTACTATCCAGTGTTGTGGAAACACCGCATGTTGTGATTTGGACACTGACTGACCCGATTCCGGGTGAGTGGACGGTGGATGTGCGAGGCGGCGACGGCTTCATTTCGGCGTGGCACTATCCCAAGAACAAGCTGGACCTGCATCTTGTGTCGTTCGATACGATTCCGCACGACCAGAGCACGGAATTCGTTGTGTACATCTCAGACGGATCGGAGCGCGTGAGCGTGACTGACGCCGATCTGAGAGCTACGATCGTGTCTCCCAGTGGACAGACATTCACGCACACCCTGAATGACAACGGCGAACTTGGGGATGCGATTGCCGGCGACGCCTACTATTCTACGACGGTGCCACCGCTCGGCAGCGAGGGCCATTACAAGGTAGAGTTGGAAATGCACTGGCCGCAGCACCTGCATACCATTTCGACTCACAAGTCCATTTCGGCACAGGCATTCCCCGTGCTCGACGTGAATCTAGCGCACACGGACGCGCTGGTACCCGGAGAGCGAGTGATCATCGGCACAGCAGAAGTAAAGGTAAACGACCAGCCATATGGCATACCCATAAACCTGCTCTCAGCGGATATTTCCTCTGAAAGCGGAGCAGGCGTGATAGAGCTCATTCCGCAAGAACTGCTCAACACGGGACACGCCTGGGCATTCGACATCGTGTTCACGCCGGACGTAGAGGAACTTCACACTGCGTTGTTCCAGCTGAACATGAAGTACGCGGCTCGCGATTACAACTTCACCACGAACTCTGAGGTATTGTCATCATACCCGGCGCCTCCCGCGAGGCCTGAGCCTGTGGTAGTAGTGCAGCAAGCGGCGCCTCCGGCACCTGCGCCGCCACCGCCACCTGCGCCCGCGCCGCCGGTAATTGAGCCGCCCGCGCCTGAAGAGAGCAGCGACTTCCCGTTGTTGATATTCATATACTCTGTGGCGGGTGTAGCAGCCATACTTATGATGGCAGGCATAATATACGCAATATATGGGCTGACAAGGCCAACTCCATACGGCTACATATACGATGACGATAATGAATTGCTCGTGGATTTCACCACGCTTGAGCGTTCGTTCCTGACTCTCGTAAATTCGAAGAATCTTCTCCAGGGAGAGGAACTAGGAATACCTGAGTTGCACGGGCTGTCATTCTACTTCAGCAAAGAAGATGTGGAGATACGCAGCTCGCAGACAGAGCCTAGTATTCGAATTAACAACAGGCCACTCATCAGCGGCGAGGAGTTGAGCGCCGGCAACCAGTCCTGGATTGGTACACAGGGCAAGCTGTTCAGCCTGCACCTGACGAAGCCAGCCGATGAGACCGAACCGTACATCGCTCCGGTGGTAGGCGACGACTAAATCGATTAGCAGTAGCTCGCGTGGCGAGAGCGAGAATAACAGAGGCGCTGGCAAGCATATTGCCAGCGCCTCTGTTTCTGCACGATCGCGTTCATGCAATCAGAAATAGGTCAGAGCTATTCGGACTCGTCGATACGGATTGTCTTCATAGCGTCGCCCGGTGTCCTCTGGCGCATAGGGTCTCGGACCGTAATGCCATTCACCACATCCATTCCAGACACCACCCTGCCGAACACAGAGTGGTGGTCGTCCAGGTGCGGTGTGGGAACGAAGGTAATGAAGAACTGGCTACCGTTAGTTCCACGTCCGCCCCGAACGCCTGCATTTGCCATCGACAAAACGCCCGGGCGTGTCGTGGCGCAGACTCGTATGAAACTCGTCGTCGAACTGGTAGCCCGGCCCACCGCTACCTGAGCCTGTCGGATCACCACCTTGCGCCATGAAGCCGGGAATGACACGGTGGAAGGTTATGCCGTCATAGTAGCCTTCACGCGCCAGAAATACGAAGTTGTTCACGGTTATAGGTGCATCGGCAGCGAACAGCTCTATCTCTATCTCGCGGCCATTCTCCAATTCAATAGTCGCTGTGTACTTTTTGCCCTGATCTATCGCCATCGCTGGCGGAGCACTGTATTGCTTGCTTACCACAATTCCTCCAATCGGTCTTCAATAAACTATTTTTCTTCGATTCTAATCGTCTTGATTACATCGCCCGGGGTGGTCGCGCTGCCAGGGTCTCTCAGGCTGATGCCCATCACGACATCCATACTGCCTTCTTCAACTCTGCCGAACACAGAGTGGCAGGATTCAGCCGCGCAGTCCTTTTCCGAACCGTCCAGATTGTATCCGTCAAGGGAATGTGTCTCGCGGAAAGTTATGAAGAACTGGCTGCCGTTGGTTCCTTGCCCGTTTCGCATGCCCGCGTTGGCCATCGAGAGTATGCCGGGGCCTTCGTGTCGCAGGTCGGGGCTAAGTTCGTTGTCGAAGCGGTATCCCGGGCCACCTCCACCCGTGCCTGTCGGGTCGCCCGTCTGCGCCATAAAGCCTTCTAGCACGCGGTGAAAGGTTACTCCATCATAGAAGCCTTCGTTAGCAAGGAAGACGAAGTTGTTCACCGTCGTAGGCGCTCCGTCCTCAAACAAGTCTATGACAATCTCGCCACCCTTCTCCAGCTCAATGACCGCCGTGAAGTCTTTGCTCGTGTCAATCGTCATTGGTGGCGGCGAGTCCCACTCCTTGATCGCGGGTTCAGATGCAGGCGCCGGTGCCGCAGCAGCCGGCTGAGTGGGCGCAGGCTGAGCAGGCGCGGCAGTGGGCGCTTCCGGCGCACCAAGTTCCGGCTCGCCAGAACTGCAAGCCATTGCCAGCAGCGCAAGCCCCGCCGCAGCCACAAACGCAATTTTCCATGAGTGTCTCATTAGCATTTTCTTCACAAAACCTCCCAGTAAAATGACGCTGCAATAGGCGCGTCAACGGGACTATTCTACAATCACCGCAAGTTAATCGCTACCCTACCCTATCGTCTCCACTGACATTAGTCAGTGGTATATGCGAGGTGCAGCGTCTGTTCAACAATGTAAACGGCTTTCGGTGCAGATCAGGTTGACAGACTTGTTGCTTATGTATTCAGAGTGTAAGGATGTCCGCAGGTAACGCCGATTGTTCCCGCTGTGTTATAAATGAGGTAAGACCTCCTACAGCAGAAGTGCCAATTAGCAGGACATACTATCAGTACGTCAGATTCGACCGCCAAGCAACTAAAACGCAGCGCCACATCCGCCCGCCACGCGCGAAAGGCAATGGTGGAGATGCGCGCGCTGACGAAGCGTTACGAAGAGGGGACCGAGGCGCGCTCAGTCATCGAGCGCGCAGACGCCGAGATTCATCGCGGCGAATTCGTCGCGCTTGCGGGTCCCAGCGGCTCCGGCAAGACCACGCTGCTCAACCTCATCAGCGGAATTGACACGCCAACAAGCGGAGATGTGCTGATAGACTCCGTGCCTATTACGAAACTCTCTGAGAAAGATCGCACGCTATTCAGGCGAAAGAACATCGGCTTCGTCTTCCAGTTCTTCAATCTGATTCCTACACTGAGCGTAAAGGAGAACCTACTTCTGCCACTCCAGCTCAATAGCTTTCCAAGCGCCGAGTCGGACGATAGAGTCATGTACCTGCTGGAACGGATTGGCATGGGAGATCGGATTGACAGCTATCCGGACAGGCTTTCAGGCGGCGAGAAGCAGCGCGTTGCCATTGCCCGCGCTCTCGCCCACAACCCGCCGCTCATCCTTGCCGACGAGCCTACCGGCAACCTCGACGCCGATACGGGTAGGGCGATCCTGTCCCTTCTAAAGAGCCTTATAGATGGCAGCGGCAAGACGATGGTCATCGTGTCTCACAGTGATGTAGTCGCGGGGATGGCAGATCGAGTGCTTGCAATGGAGGATGGGAAGCTGGTGGAACGAATCCGAGGCGATGGATATGTCAATAATCGACTGGATTCTTGACTGGGTTGCCACGAATGCGGGGCGCGATATATGAGCAAAACGCTGTGGCTTTCAAGCGCACGCTACATCATCAGCCGACCGTGGCAAACGGCGCTCTCAGTTCTGGGAATAACACTCGGCGTCGCCATAGTGGTCGCCATAGACCTAGGCAATCAGAGCGCCAAGCATGCGTTCAGCCTGTCCAGCGACGCCGTTTCCGGCAAGGCTACCCATCGGATTGTCGGCGGACCCGGAGGTCTGCCCGAGGATGTCTATCGGGAGTTGCGTGTAGAGTTGGGTGTCAGGGCGTCCGCGCCTGTCGTGGAGGGCTACGCCTACTTGCCCGAAGGGACGCACGACGGCGGAGCGCTTCGCATACTTGGAATTGACCCGCTTGCTGACGCTCAGTTCCGTCCATACACTCGCAGCAGCCCGCAAGTTGGCAGAGCGAATGCACCTGTGCAGAACGTCGCATCCTTGCTCGTCATACCCAACAGCGCACTTATATCGGTCGAGACCGCTAAGGAACTGGGGCTGCAGGCGGGGGATCCCGTCAAACTCAGGATTTCGGATAAGCCGCACCTGGTTGAGATCGCAGGTCTGATAACCCCTCGCAACAGCCTGAGCAGCGAAACACTCAAGAACCTGGTCATAACGGACATTTCCACGGCTCAGGGAGCTCATCGGATATGAAGGGCGTCTGAGTCATATCGACCTGATTGTATCTTCCGACGAGAACGGCGATGAGTCGCTAGCACGCATACGTCGCGTTCTGCCCGCCGAGGCGACACTCGTCAGTTCGGCGACCCGCTCAGAGACTATCGACGAGCTTACGAGTTCATTCGACGACAACCTGTTTGTCATAAGCCTCCTAGGTCTGATCGTCGGCGCGTTCCTGATATACAACGCGATGGCATTCTCAGTAGTGCAGCGCCGTCCGGTAATTGGAGCGCTGCGTGCTCTGGGCGTAACAAGGCAGCAGATTTTCGCTCTTGTGCTCAGTGAGGCGCTGGTTATTGGACTTATCGGCTCTGTCATAGGCGTGCTGCTCGGTATAGTAATCGGGCGCGGAATACTGAATATCATCACGCAGACCATTACAGACCTCTTCTTCGTGGTATCGGTGCAGGAACTCTCCATTCCGGTGTGGTCGCTCGTGAAGGGCGCGCTGCTAGGGCTGTTCGCAACATTGGCTGCGGCGTTCGTGCCTGCACTTGAAGCGACCGGCGTTTCCGCACGAGAAACGTTGTCACGTTCGCACCTTGAAGAGCGCTTCAGAGGCGCCATACCGCTTGCCTCTGCCGCCGGAGTTGCTCTGGCAGCCATCGGCGTGGCGCTCATACTTTTACCAGCCAAGTCTCTAATTCTGGCCTTCACGGGCATAGGCGCGCTTGTTCTGGGCTATGCGATGCTCACGCCCGCGTGCGTCATTTTGTTCAGCAAGGCGCTCGCGCCGCCCATGCGCGCTATATTTGGCGCAATGGGTGCGATGGCAGCACGGGGGATAGCCGCATCCATCAGCCGTACGGCTGTCGCTATCGCCGCCCTCGCTGTCGCTATATCCATCACGATTTCCATAGATACGATGGTGCAGAGCTTCCGTGGCACAGTCGTTCAGTGGTTGGATAATTCGCTAGGCTCGGACCTATACATATCTCCGACCTCGTTCAATTCGCGAGGGAGGCGCGACAGGTCTGTCGCCTCAGTTCGTCGAGCGCATACGAGCGGTTGACGCTGTTGCAGCGTCCGCACTGTTCGCAATGCGCGTGTCAACTCGCCGAGCGGTGAGGTGGAACTGCTGGCATTTGACACAAGCTACGATAATTTCGTTCGCTACAACTCGTTCAAGGAGGGAAGCCCCGCGCTGATCTGGGACGATCTGCAAAGCGGCGGCGCCGTAGCCGTGTCCGAGCCTTATGCGTACCACAATGATAAGAGCATCAGGATCAACGATTAGACTGCACACATCCGAGGGGGAACGAGAATTTCGCATCGCGGGCATCTACTACGACTACCGTAACTCAGCGAACGGCAAGGTGATGATGAGCGGCAGCGCTGTACAATCGCTACTGGAACGACGCCAATGTCACCGGAATAGGCGTGACGGCGGCAGACGGAGTTGCCGTGCGCGACCTGAAGAAGGCAATCAGTCGCGCAATCGGCAACGGTGCTGAGGTCGAAATCCGCTCCAACGCCGAATTAAAAGCTGCTGCGCTGGAGGTTTTCGAGCGAAGTTTCGCCATTACGTCGGTTGTGCATGCGCTGTCAATAGCGGTGGCATTCGTGGGTGTGCTGAGCGCACTGATGGCGATGCAGATGGAGCGATCGACCGAATTCGGAACGCTTCGCGCCATAGGCTTCACGCCGACACAGGTGTGGCTGATGTTCACAACGCAGACCGGGATGATGGGCATAGCCGCGGGCCTGCTCGCGGTGCCACTGGGCTTGATACAGGGAGCAGTCCTGATATTCGTTGTCAATCGCAGATCGTTCGGCTGGTCGATGGATATGGAAATCTACCCGATGATGCTGGCGCAGGCGGTCGTGATTGCCGCCGCCGCCGCTCTGCTCGCATCAGTCTATCCTGCATTCAGGATGTCGCGCTCGTCGCCCGCCGAGGTGCTGCATGAAGAATAGCCTCTTGCGGCTAGTATTAATCGCGGCGAGCCTAGCGATAGTGATAGCGGGGTTGGGAGGCGCTGCTTATGCGCTGGCAGGCCCCGGGAATGCGGAGGTCAGCGCGAGCCTGACTCTCGCCGATGCGCTGACGCGAACGACGCAGGCTTCGAGAAGGTCACTGAACCACGTAAGTTTACTTTCCTGATGACCACGGTCCGCACCCTGAGTACGCCCTCGAATGGTGGTATTACACGGGCAATCTCGATACGGCCGAAGGGAGGCACTTCGGATACGAGCTGACCTTCTTCAGAATAGGCTTGACCGCGGACGAGGCGCAGCGAACATCAGAGTGGGCTTCGAAGCAGATGTACACCGCTCACTTCGCGCTGACCGATGTGGAGGGCAACGACTTCTATTCTTTCGAGCGCTACAGCCGCGACGCGCTAGGATTGGCAGGCGTAGTCGGCGCGCCCTTCCGCGTCTGGCTTGAGGACTGGTCGGTCGAAGCCATGGGGGAAAGCGCCTTGCCAATGCGACTTTACGCCAGCGAGTAGGCGTGAGATCAATCTGACACTGAGCAGCGAAAAGGGCATTGTGCTTCAAGGCGAAGATGGTTTCAGCCGCAAGGGCACTGGCGCAGGGGAAGCGTCCTACTATACTCTCTGACGCGAATGCCAACGGACGGGACGATAACGGTGAACGGCAAAGCGCATACGGTAAGTGGTATGAGCTGGCTCGACAGAGAATGGAGTTCGGCGCAGCTTTCGGACGAGCATGCAGGCTGGGACTGGTTCGCACTCCAGCTTTCTGATGGGCGCGACATTATGTACGGCGTGTTGCGTCCCCGTGATGACACAGGCAGCGCTTTCCACCTGGGCACGGTGGTCGAGGCAAACGGCGACTATGCGAGCATCGACGGACAAGGCGTTCAGGTCGATGTACTAGACCAGTGGCAAAGTCCGCGAGGTGGTACATACCCGTCCCGCTGGCGATTCCAAATGCCGGCAGAGGGCCTAGATATTGAGATCACTCCATACATCGGCGACCAGGAACTCGATACCATCGTCCGCTACTGGGAAGGCGCGGTGCGAATAGACGGCACTTCCTCGGGACAGCCCATTTCCGGCAGCGGCTATGTCGAGTTGACCGGATACGCCGATTAACCTTCGTTCAGGAATTGCACCGCCGCATCAGCATCCAGCAGCGGATAAATGTCGAACTCCGCAGGTATCATCTCGGACCACTCTGTCAGGAGCCGATGAAGCTCCTCGTTGGATTCGACATCGAAGAGCGCCACGGCTCCCGTCCTGTGCGTGCATAGAAAGCCCTCGCAAGTCCTCTATCGAGCTTGTCCTGCGCCCAGGGCCAGTACTTCTTCCTAGTTTCCCGCACTTCAGAGGGTCGAGTCGGATGCGGGCTGCTGATTGCCAGAAACAGCATGCGTCAGTTCCTTCCTGAATCTCAGGCTTGCTTAAATATTTGGGATTTCTAGCAGCATATTCTACAACAATCAGGCGGCACAACGACTGGTCTGCCAGTCTATAAACATAGCCTTCCAGCATTTGCAGACGATGACAACGCTGTGATAATCTCATACGCGGCATATCGCCAGCGTCCGAAGGAGCAACCACATGAATATCAACTTCACCTGCATTGTGCAGGAAGGCGTCGTACCTGACGACCTCCGTGTCAAGCTGGCAGGCGAAATCAAGCGTATCAGCGCCTCCGTCCTCAGCATAGCCGAAGATGGTATAGACGTCAGTTATTACGAGGTTCGCAACGGCTTTGGCTTCCGAGGAGGCGAAGTATCCACGACGTCAACGGTCCGAGGACAACTCACTAAGCCGATAGACCAAGATACACGCGTAAACCTGATGACTCAGATACTGAACGATGTGGGTCGCCGAAACAGGATGCGAAATTGACGAGCTACTAGTGTCCGCGCGTGACCCGCAGTAATCCAATATCATCAGGCAGGAAATAGGCAGACAAGGCATCAAAAAAGAAAGGGAAGAATATGCCGTATTACAAGTGCATCGTACCTGAAGGCTCCGTAGAGTTCGAGAAGAGGAAGGCAGTCGCCAAGGCCTTCACTGACATCCACTGTGGCAGCACAGGCGCGCCGCGAACCTTCGTGCATTGCGAGTTCATTGAGTACCCCGCGGGCGGCGACAACGGCTACGACAGCGACGCTACATACTACATGGACGGCGGCAACCGCGCTGGCAGGCCCGAGGAAGTCAAGCAGAAGCTGCTTAGCGACCTCATTGGCGCCTTTGTCGAGATTACCGGCATCTCTCCGGACGACATTGACGGCAGGATCACCGAGGGCAAGGCATCTCAGACCATGGAAGGCGGTCATGTGCTGCCCGAACCCGGCGAAGAGGGCCCTGAATGGTTCG